CCCCCCGGCAAGCATGGCGCAAGCACTGGGATTGGGCGCAGGTTTCAAGGCTTTGGTGCCTACGCTGGCCATCATTTATGGAGGACAAGCAGTGGCCAGCGTGCCCGCCATCGCATACAAGACCGAAAAGGTAAAAAGTCAAGAGCGCATGCATGTATGCCGTGCTCCCGTGCGTGCTTCGTGCTCACACACACACACACACACACTTCTCCCTCGCTTGCCCTCTCCTTCACTCTTCCCTCCTGTTTCGCTCGGTCCACCCGCACCGGCACCGGCACCGGCACCGGCAGTTCTACGATCTGACAGGTTCGCTGGGATTCTTTTCAGGCGTAGCAGCCTCTCTCTACTCCCCTTACCTCACCCGTCGTTTCATCCAAGGCGACAAATCAGCCATCCTGCCCAATCTCCGCAGCTTTGCACCTAGACAGCTCATAGCCAGCGCTCTGGTCGTCGCTTGGGCCGCTCGCTTGGGAAGCTTCTTGGCGCTGAGGATACAAAAGAGCGGAAAGGATGAGAGGTTCGATGAGATCAAGCAGAGCCCTGTCAAATTCTTTGGCGCTTGGTGAGTGGGGTCGCGGTCGCGCGCATGTGTGGGTGGTTGGGACGTGGGGAGTGAGAGTGGCTTGCGGGAAGTGAGAGCGCGAAAGAGGCTTCCGCTTTTTGCTCACCTGCTCACCTGCTCACCTGCTCACCTGTTTGCCGGACCTCCCCGTAGGATGGCTCAAGCCACTTGGATCACCCTTACCGCCCTGCCTGTATGGCTGATCAACGTCTTGCCAGCCAAGGCTCATCCTGCGCTCGGCATCGTCGACGTTGCAGCGCTAGGTCTTTGGGCTGCAGGTTGGGGACTGGAAATCGTTGCAGATAGGCAAAAGAGCGCTTGGAGGTGAGTCGTTGTAGGCTCAGCGCGACGCTCCGCAGGGCGAGTGGGCGTGGCCAACCAGCGAGGCGTATAAGCGACTGCCGCGAGGATGGAAAAGGGCGATTGACGATGCTGTGCGAGTGGTTGTAACGGGCATGCAATCCTCACACCATTCTCCTTCTACTTCGCCCCCCACCCCCAACAGAGAAGCGCAAAAGGCTGGCAAGCACGATGAGAAGTTCATCAGCTCTGGTACCTGGTCCGTCAGTCGTCATCCAAAGTGAGTTGGACATGGCAATCGTTGGCCCCCACTGCGCATCCGCGCCTCTTCGAGAAAACTAATGTCTCTTCTCCCTTTGGCCCCTCCTTCGCTGCATCGCGCAGCTACGCTGGCGAAGTGACGCTCTGGTCTGCCCAATTCCTCCTCTCTGTCCGAGCACTCTCTTCCAGTTCCTCTGTGGGCATCCTGGGCCCTGCACCCGTGCTGCTCGGTCTAGCAGCTGTAGGACCGCTGTTCGAGTACTCGCTTATCCGCTTCGCAAGCGGCGTACCCTTGCTCGAAAAGGGCATGGACAAGAAGCTGGGAGATGAGTGAGTGGGCGGGGTTGCAGGTGCAGGTGCAGGTGCAGGTGCACGGAAGGACTGCTTGGGGTGGCGATGGTGGTTATGCATGCGCATTTGCGAGGGCGAAACCAGAAATGCTGAATTTGCTTCCTTCTTCTTCTCCTCCTCCTTCTTCTTCGCCCCTCTCTTTGACAACAGCCCCAAGTACAAAAAGTACAAGGAGACGGTACCCTGCTTTTGGCCAATCGTCGGATCTACAAAGTGAAAGCTGGGGCACGGAGACGCACGCGCAGCCAGCAATGCAGAGGCCGATGAGAAACTTTCGTGCAATGCTTCAGCAACTGCCGTTGTTTCTTTCTTTGAAGCTTTCAGCTTCAAGCAGGCGAGGGCGGCACGACGCAAACGACAATGCACGCTCTGTAATAGTCAAAAGGTGCGCGCTAGAATACGATGGAGTGATCGAGTGGGCGAGGGACAAGAGGTTTCGATCTTGCTTGCTTTGCTGGGGTGGGCGGGCAAGCGCAGAAAGTCGAAGCTCGTGATCGGCGAGGGGGGAAAAGAGAAGATGCTGCTGCGCATGGCACGTTCACTGTAGGTCTTTGTTTGCGGGAGCAAGTTTGAACATTTGACAAAGTCAGGAGCGGGTGCGAGAAGGGGAGAAGGTAAAGGGAGGAAGCTTGCGAGGCCCGAACAGACTTTAGCGCGCATGGATGGGCCCCCCGCGCTCTCTGTGCTTCATGGTCCGTGTGATTGCGCTTCTCTCCCCCCCCCCACCACCCCCTCGCCGTCCTTGTTGCCGCTGCTTGCTGCTGCGGCATTGGCGAGCAAAGATCGCCCTCAGAAGCAGGACTTTCTGAAATAGTCCAATAGCGAACGGGAAAGGCCGGGCGCGGGTGTATTGTTCGACGTGCGCTGCTCGCCACGCCCTTCCTTCCCCCTTTGGATGCTTCGTCCGGGGGCCTGCGTCCGGGGCCTGCCTGGCCTTTTTGGCGCATATCGTTCCACTGCGCAAAGGCGTGGATCCTGAGTGGCGAAACGGGTAAATCGCAGCTCGGAGGAGAAAGGGGGGCGCGAGAGTGGGGCGAGTGGGGCGAGTGGCGAACGGTGAATGGCGCAGAGCAGGGCCGGGGCCGGGGCCGGGGCCGGTGCCGCGTTTAGCACGGGGGGGGGGGGACCACATTTACGTATTTTCAAATGCCCTTGGCTTGGTTTTTTCAGAACGGATGCTTGCTTTTGTACGACCCGCCCTAGCGCAAGCTCTTCCGCCCATTGCGCAGAGCGCGGACGGTCGAAGAGACTTTGCGAGCTGGGGGGGGGGGGGAAACAAGCAAACAGGACGGCGGGCGCACCGCTTCGCGCTCGTTGCGGCGCTGCGCCGCTCGGCGTTCGCCAATACACAAGTTCGTGGGCGGGCGGGGCGAGGCAATGTTGGCGTAAAGAGTCCGCGCGCGGGTTCGGAATCGTGTGGAGAGGAGGGCGCTTCGACACGCCACTCACCACTGTCGGAAGCGCTGCGTTTACTGGCACGTTGAACATGATGCTGCATCGGATCATTCACGATTGGCGGCCGTTGGGTCATCCGCGAGTATGCTGCGGGGAGGGTGGGTGCGCGCAGCGCCCGACGTCTTGCACGGCTTGCACCCCTACCGCTCGACGCACATCTCTCTTTGCAACCAGTCCTGCTGTTGGACTCACACACACACACACACACACACACACACACACACACCCCGGCATTTCTAAGCTTTCGTGTGACCGTCTCAATATCTTGTTCCTTCGAAGTGTGGAACAAGGTGAGTCATCGGTGCGGACGTGTGCTCCATAGCCATGCGAGGCGAGCTGACCGAGCAGAGCAACGGAACCCCCCCGCCCCGCTTCGCTTCCGTAGATCTGACTCGTTACGCAACACGAAGAATCCATAGCGATGATCAGACTGATCAAGATATTTGCCCTCGTTGAAGTGGTGCTGGGCATCACCTCCAACGCCCAAGGGCAGCCCCTGGCGCAAGTTCGACGAGCAAGCGCGCAACGATTTTCATCCGAGCTTCGCACGAGTCCCTCTCTCGCCCTACCGGTAGCTGCTAGAGGCACCTCCTGGAAGCCTCAAAAGCAGCAGCAGCAGCAGCAGCAGCAGCAGCAGCAGCAGCAGCAACGACTTCAACGACGTTTTCTAGGCAAGCTTTTTTCTTGCTTTACAGGAGGGGCGTGCAAAAAGACGGTCAAAAGTCCGGAACATTCTCACAGGTGGTACGAAGAGCAGACGATTCCGGACATGACGCCTCACGACGATCACTCCATGGTCGGCATGACGCCAGTGATGTTTAGGAACAAGATCAGGTATCCCACTAGCCTTAGACCGACGGTCAGAGATTAACAACAACGAAAACGAAAATCAAGAAAGACGTGGGGGCGCCTCTTGAGCATGCATCGTCGGGCTCGGAGTGGGAGCGCACTGAGCGCCTCGCGCTGTGTAGCTCAGGACAGCAAAGACGACCAGAGATCATCATCACAAAGTCCCCGCCTCTCCTCGTTGCAGCCAGCTCTGCTTGGCGCTCAAAACCTCCTCTGCAGTCCGACGAGTCCGCAAAAGGATCTAGCCGGTGTAAGTGCAATGGCACGTGATCGCGACGCTTCAACCGTCCGTCCCGTCTGTCCGTCCGTCATTGACAAACCACCAAAGCGAAGCCTCGAAGTTTGCAATATGAATGCCCTTCACATGAACACTCGAGAGTGCGGATTTTGCTCGGCGCGAATGCGCGCTTGCGACTGTTATCGGCCGAATCGGTCAACAAGCTGCCAGTCTGTTTTCCCATCTCATCGAAGGACGCTTGATGGTGACTGCAATTGGGGGACTCGTTAGTGTGACGGTACGTGGCAGAAGAGGTCTGCTTATGTTTGCCCAAGCGTAACGCTTGATTAGAACCGAAGCAAGGGTCGGGGAACGATTAGTAACAGCCAATCACGAATGCTGCGGTTGCTCTTTCTGGACACGAGTTGGCGAATCGCCGAGAAAGTTGCAGTCTTGCTTTCTCAACTGCCTAGTCTGTCCCCCCAAGCCTCGTTAGTCGTTCCTGACATCTTGAAGTGTATCGGATCCTATTTTGTTCTGTTCCCGATGTAAGCACCGCTGGCTGGCTGGCTGGCTGCTCCTCGAACCCTGCACTCGAGACTGTTGAGTTTCGAGTTGCGGTTCCTCGCATCACATCCGCCATCGCGCGATCATTCTTTCCGTCATGAGAAGATGTGTGACTGCGTTGCGTCACGGTCCAACGATCACTACTACAATAGCCACGCAGAATGGCGAAGGCCAAAAATCCTCGAGCGAAGCCTTTCGACCGCGCCGGATTCACATTTCCCACGCTATAAACACCACCCCGTTGGGGGCGACGCTGCATGAGCCGGAGAAGCCCACCGCTGCTGCTGCTGCTGCTGCTGTAGCTGCTGCTGTTGTGGTCCCACTCGCATCTTTCGACCGGTTCTGATTCTGATTTCGATTCGCCTTCTAGTATTTTTTTTTTTTTTTTGATTTCTTGGCGATTGCCATGGAAACGAATGAATGGCCGCCCCAGCTCGAATTCAAGAATCCAGCGCCTCCGCTCACACCGCACCCTGATCAACGGCAAGTTCGGACCGTGCTCTGCTGCACCTGCACCTGCACCTGCATCTGCACCTGCATCTGCACCTGCACCCGCATTCAGCCGCGCAGCACAAGAACATGACAATCACCAATCGTGAATCGTGAATCGTGAATCGTGAATCGTGAAGCTTTGATGCGAGGATGCAACGGGGACTAATAATGATCGCGTAGGCCTCTTGCGCCATGCCATCTACTGTATGCCTCTACGACGTACTGTATCTACGGCTGGGCAATTGCCCGTAAAGTACTCGTGACTGTAAATGCAATCACGAATGCTCCCTCCATCTCAAGTGGCGCGAAAGGCTGTGTGTGCAGCTACGCTTGCTTGACCCTACCAATCGTGAATCACGAATGTGTGACCGTGGATGATCCCCCCCCCCTGTCTCGCTCGTCTCGGTCGGGCTCTTTGAATGCCTATGAGATCGCAAAGACTTGCCGTTCCCTCGCTCGCCAATCGTGGCCCGGAGCATGGTCAGCACAGTCGCGGTGCACGAGTGCACGAGTAATGCAGATCGTGATGTGATTCCCGAGTCGCTTACGCTTTGCATGGTCACGAGTCACACAGTCGAGTATAGCAGCGCAGCATGAAGGCCACGCAGCCATCTGCAAGCAGCAGGGTTTTGCTTGCTTGGCAAGACGCGCGCGTCATCGATGAAGCTGCGTGCATCGATCGCGCTACCGCGGTAAAAGAAGAAAATGACGTATGTATGCATCGTCAGGGACCCTGCAGGTACTGTATGCAAGCGCAGGCGCATTCGGCGGGCGGGCGGGCGGGCACGCGCCGCATCATCGCGCGATCGACGCTCGAGCAACTCTGACGGCTCATCTATAGAAAACGAAGATTTGAATTGAAGCGTCCGCGCGATCGATGCACAACCGAACCTGCATTTGGAGATTCATCAATAATTCTGATCCACTAGCTCACACTCACACTCGTGCAGTATCTTGCAATTCACAATTGAAAGCGGAGCTATGCAAATGCAAGCATGCTGCACGCACCTTCATCACCGCATCAAGTTGTCCGCACGCAGCCGCACCTGGCCGGGGGGCTGGCTGCTGCATGTACCGCTCCGCTCCCGCTCCGCACCTTCCCTCCCTCTTGTACCGCCCGCTGTGCCGCCCCGCCCTGTCCGCTCTTGACCGACGGCATCATCAGGGTTTTGTGATGTCAACGTGAATGGACCGCGTATTGTCCCCCTCAAGAAATCGCAAGTTGTGATTTACAGGACCCTCTCTCTCTCTCTCTCTGAACCGGCTCGCTTGCCCCGACTGTGCCCGCCTTTCGGGTGATTGATTCTTGTTTTGAAATACCGGCACCGGCACCGGTACTCAGACTGTAGGTGCAATATGCATGCATGCGCTCGGCGATTTGGCACATCCTCCTGCTGCTGCGAAGGGCCGCTGTGCTGTGCTGTGCTGTGCTGTGCTGTGCTGTGCTGTGCTGTGCACCTGGACTGAGCACTCGCACTCGCACTGTGACTCGCACTCGCACCCGCACTCGCGCTCCAGTGCCTGGGACCCGTTAACGCGAGGCCCTGCCTCCACCCCATGACACCCGCGCTCGCGATCGATCGAAGGGGGCTGGCTCCCTTCCTCCTCCTCTTTTTGAGCTGTCTTTGCCCCGCACCCGCACCCGATCTCTCGGCACGCCTCGACCTCATGAGAGATCAAAGTCGAGTCGCGCTGCATGGATACATAAGCACCCACGTCACAGACAATTCATCTTATAGCTAGCTGGCCTTGCGTAGTGCTGTTTACCACCATCCCACATCACTCGTCCGCTCGGCTGTTCGACCGTAGAGACGTGTTGGGAGAGCCCCCCCATCGAGTGCGCATTGCTTTTCCCACAGACCGCTAGAGCAGTAGCTCTTCGCACCCCCTCTCCTCCTGCCTCTTTGCCACCCGCGACCTCGATTGCTGCAAGATGGCAGCGGGATCGTCTAGCGACGCGTCGTCGTCACAAGTCGCACCTAGCCAGAGCAAGGAGATGAAGGACCCCAACGACACCAAGAAAACCGTCGTCGAAACCGTCGTCGATGCTGCCGTCACCACTCCCGATTCGGAAGAGACGCAGACGCAAGCGGAAAAGAGGGGAGAGCAGCAGCAGCAGCAAGAAGAAGAAGAAGAGCCAGAGGAGCCCATCGAGCACCGCACGAGGAGCGGCAAGTTTATGGGCAAGTTTGCGCCGGATGGTAGACGCGTGTTGACGGATGAAGATGAAGGTGCGGACAAGGTGCTGGGCGTGAGTTTCCCAGAGTGGAAAAAGTGGTGGATCATCACCGTCATCTTTATGGTGCAGCTGTCCATGAACTTCAATACGGGCGTCTACCAAAACGGTGTGGGCAAGTTTCCCGAAGAGTGGGGCTTGTCCGAACAAGGCGCGCGCGTAGGAGCTGCCGTCTTTTTGATCGCATACGCTTTCGGATCTCAACTCTGGGCTCCCTGGTCCGAAGAGCTTGGAAGGAGAATCGTCATGCAGATCTCTCTAGGTCTGGTCAACATCTTTCAACTTCCCTGCGCCCTAGCGCCCAACTACGGATCCGTCGTCGTTGCAAGGGTCTTTGGAGGTCTGTTCAGCGCTGGAGGCAGCGTCACGTTGGGAATGGTGGCGGACATGTGGGAAGCGGAGAACCAGGCGTATCCCATCGCCTACGTCGTCTTTTCAAGCGTCGGCGGCTCTTCGCTCGGCCCTCTCATCGGTCCCTTTGCCGAGGCGTATCTCTCTTGGCACTGGATCTTTTGGCTGCAACTCATCTTTGGTGGCTTCGTCCAAGCCGTGCACTTCTTCACAGTGCCCGAGACCCGCTCTTCCGTCCTGCTGGATCGCGAAGCCAAACGGCGGCGCAAGGAGGAGGGCCAGGAGATTTGGGGTCCAAACGAGGTCCGCGGCAGGCGCTTCACCGTCAGAGGTATCCTGACCACCTGGTTGAGACCTTTCGAAATGCTCTTCACCGAGCCAATCGTGCTTTGCTGCTCCCTGCTCAGCGGCTTCTCCGACTCTCTCGTCTTCGTCTTCATCGAGTCTTTCAAGCTGGTGTACGAGCAATGGGGCTTCATGGCACCGCGCACCGCTCTCACCTTTGTGCCCATCTGGATCGGCTACATGATCTGCTGGGCTTCCATGATCATCCCCATCGAGCGTTTCAAGAGAAAGGCCAAGCGCGATCCTGACAGCGTCACTCCGGAATCTAGACTCTGGTGGCTGCTCTTTACAGCTCCTCTGGAGCCCATCGGTCTCTTTATCTACGCTTGGACCTCTTTCGGACCAGATCACGGGCCCGGCATTCCCGTATACGCTCCCATGGTAGGCTCGGTGCTCGTAGCCATCGCCAACTACGCCATCTACATGGCCACCATCGACTACATGGTCGCAGCTTACGGACCCTACTCTTCATCGGCTACCGGTGGCAATGCCTTTGCGCGTAATGGCCTCGCAGGCGTGGCGACGATGTACGCCATCCCTCTCTACAGCAACCTTGGTTACCAGTGGGCGAGCACCTTTTTGGCTCTCGTCGGCATCTTTGTCGTCATTCCCATCTTCGTATTCTACTTCAAGGGAGCCTACGTGCGCAGCAAGTCCAAGTTTGCAAACAGTCTGTCGGACGAGAGGAAGGCTAGAGGAGGTCATCGTGTGGTCGAGGATGAAGGGGAGAACGAGTATGGCGATATCGAGGGTCTGCATCATAGACGAACACATGCAGAGAAGAGAAACACGTCGGCGCCGGATGTGCAAGACGAGAAGTCGGCAACTGTGGCGTGAGCACCGCCCCCCGACTCCCTGCATTATCATTTCCTTGTTCATATCTTTGCGCTCGGTGTCAGCACGCCCTTTGTACCCATACGATTCTCTGGTGAATGCACAGTGTCTCCATCGTTTTTTTTTGGGAATTGAAGCACACCGCGGCAAATCGTGCTGCTTTCCAGTCCGAGAGCGCGTGGTTTCGCGACGCACCAGCTGCTGATCTTCTGAGTGCCGCCGAGACGACGATTTATTTGAGCAAGAGACCTGTTCAGCGCAGCGCTCACCTTACCGCCTTTCTTCATGACCTCATATCCGAATCAAGTCTTCCATCAGAGCGAGCTGGTCAGAGCTCCGAGGATTCGCTCGTCACTAGGACATGGTAAACGGCGTTCACCCTTGCCAGCTGAGCCGAGCCAACGCTCAGAAGCAGCAAGCTCAGCTCAGCTCAGCTCAGCTCAGCTCAGCTCAGGGCCCGGTCGTTCAAGGTCTCGTAGACAGGCCTGTTCATTGACTCTTGGCCCTAGTAAGATGCAAACCCGCCACACTTGCGCAAATGCGAAGAAGAAACTTGACCCTCGTGCCGCGTTTGCCGGGCGGGGGCTGACTTAGAAGCGCCGACATCGGCGTAAGCGTAGCCATGGCGCGAGTGCGAATGACTCTCTGCCAGCAGCCAAAAAAAAAGTCGTCGACGTGCATTGTTCGATGTGGCAGAATCTTGCATATGCCCAGCTTCCTGCTGCGGTCCCTTTTTGGGAAAAAGCCGTCTTTGAAAGGCGCCGCCCCGCGCTCGACGCTTACCATCGCGTGCTGGCTGCTTTGCTTGGCCTGGGACCTGCTGCTGCTGCTGCTGCTGCTGCTGCGAGGAAGCCAGAAGATTCGGACTGGAGCGTCGATCCTTTGAGCTTTTGTGCCTGTTTGTGCGCTCGAACCGACTCTTTCAGATCGCCCATGCTGTCATGCTCGGCTTTTTTGTAAGCGTAGCTCGATAGGCTGTCAGAGCTGATGCTGTACTCCGTCACCGGCGAGCCTCTGCGAGGTGGCGAAGGTCCTGGATCGCTAAAGTCCGTCTTGCCACAGCCTAGGCAACTCAAATTACCTCCTCGCCAAGTCGTCGTCGTCGCTGATGCTTTTTCTTCCTGCTTGATGAGAACTTTTTTGGCAAGGCTCGAAAGGAGTGGCGCCCTTTTCCAAATCGACGACCAGGAAGGCGTAGCAGCAGCAGCAGCAGCAGCAGCAGCGTCGGGTTTTGCTTTCGAGACCCGCGTGTCCGGCGTAGGGGGCGTCTGCATGGCGTGGGCAGATCTTGTGCCGAGAAGAACAGCAATGACGAGTATGTGAATGCTCGCAGCGAGATGCAGTCCTCGAGACATTTTTGCGACTAGTGTGGATCGTCCTCGGTCAGCGCGCCACTCGAAGAGAGGTAGGGCTCGTTGTAGAGCTACTCACAGGCTCGAAGGGAATCTCAAGGCAAGTAGGACTGATCGTAAAGACTTGGCAGAAGCGTCGCAGACCTGTCAATGTTGAGAAGAGAAGAAATGAGCTGCGCGAATGGTGTAGAAGAGGATGTTTGCAAAACTCTTCAGTGGGTTTCAGACACGGACCGAATTGTCTGATGCAGCAGAACAAGTTCAGATGTGGCCAACTGTCAGCACCCTAACGCCAAGCTTCACGGTGGGCACTTTTTCTTCGTCAATCAACTATCCTCCATCCACGCGCGTGTGTACCGGCACGGCAATGCTCGACGGATGGGCGCCAAACGCCAATGCGCACTGCTATCAGCAAAAGCAACTACAAGCAGAGCGCCGCCACCCTAGCTCAGCCGAGAGACGGCGGTGAAAGACACACCCGTCAGGCGTCGACGCTCGTCGTTGCGCTCGACGAGCTTCCCTTTTGCTTCAGCTACTAATCCTCCCGCGTTGTGAACAACCGACCTGAGGAGAAGGTGTCACACTCGCGGCTCTACTCGTATTTCGGACCGTCTGCATGTCTTGTGCGAGCTACGTCAATGATGCGTACAGTGGTATGGTAGGTAGCCACTCGGATCGAAGTCCCGCAGAGTTCCCTTGCTTGCAGTACGCGCTTTGTATGACGTGTCCTCAACGCTCGGATTCGTCTCGAAGCAGCCGACCAATCGGCAGGCTGTCGCCAGGCTCTGCTGAAGCGCAATCAGAAATCCGGCCTCAAAGCTTGTAAAGCCGTACCATCACCCACTTTTCCCACTCTTCCACGCTCAAACCGAGCGTTTCGTCTTCATTGCCTCGGAATCCTCTTGATCGCGCATAGCTTGACCTCTCAGCCCATCCAAAAACCTCTCGGCCGTGGACCTATCCGGCTTTCCCAGTTCGAAGGCTCGAGCAGTGGCTTCTTTGGTGCTCGCATCGTACATGCCCTTGATGCCGATATGAGTCGGCGTGCGAATCTTGCCCACGATCTTATTTCCGCGCACCGCATCGTACAATCTGGGTCGACCGCCAATGTAGATGGGTCTTTGAGACTCGATCTGCTGCAATCCCGCCGAAGCGGGCTTGTGCTTGACCAAGTGGGATCGTAGAAATGTCCACTCTTCACCCGGTTTGGCGTAGAAGGTGCTGCCCGTCGCATGGGACAGGGCGTTGGAAGATTTGGCCGATGGAGCAGGCTGCACCACATGCTCCCTCACCTCCTCTCCACTCCTTTGCTTGCCCCACAAACGCTTGTACTCCCATCCATTCTCGTGTTACATGTTTCTCGCGGCCTTGAGCAGAGGATTGGCAGCAACGTAATCCTTCATGTCTATCTTGAAGGAAGGGAGCTCTGCGACTTGCGCTAGCTGCGTCGACGTCGCCTTCGACTTTTCATCCAAACCGTGCTCTGGCGTATGGTTGTCCGAGTGCGCGAAGATCTGATGATGCGCCTTGCTGTTCAATCTCACGTGTTCGGACACGCGAAAGCAGTCGAGGCACTGCATTCGTTTGTTTGTAAAGAGCTGCGTATCAAAAGCCTGTATAGACTTGGAGACGAGGTGCGCCCGGGGAGGAGCATGTACTCACCTCTTTGATCAAAGGATGACCCACCACGCAAGCCGCCAGAAGGAGCCCGAGGACAGCTTGCGGAGCCCAAGTGGCTGCAGCCGACAAGCTCGACCTCATACCCAATGCTGCTTCTCCTTCGTTGCTAGAGACGGGGATCTGCTAGGCGAGAGAAGCGAAGGCTAAGAGCGTCAGAGAGGTCTTGTCCGAAGCAGCCGAGATCGCACTGCAGAGCACAAGAGCACGTCGGGCGGAGTCGTCGCGTCAAGAGGTCCTTGCCCGATGTTGTCGAAGGGCAAGAGTGGCTGCACGGAGTCGCAAACGAAGCAATACATCGACTTGAACGAAGAAGCGCCCTCTTCCACACTAAGGATCAGGGAGAAGCACCTTGCAAGTAAGCGAGTCGGTGCGGATTGCGATCACAAGTCTACCGACAACCGACTGCGCTTCATGGCCGCTAAACGATCACCAAAGAGCAGAGATGTACGGCGCGCTACGGATCATTGCTTGGTGGCGTGAAGCTCCCAGTCTGTGCTCTGTTTTGGTGATGCGGGTGCACAGATGCCATGTTGCTGGGGTGACGACAAACATTCTCGGCACGTGCGCACGCCGAAGCCAGCCGTCTGAGAAAGAGGCCTTTTCCATCCAAGCACGACCCGATCGGTACAAGGAGGGCCAGTGCCGACGTGAAGCGCAAAGCGAAAACAAGACCGATTGCGATTGCAATGTACCCCCACCCCCGCTCCTGTGCGCTTCGAGATGAAGAACCGTCAAGTCGATGATGCCCTTTTTCACACTCCTTGCACACTCCATGCAGGTGCGGTGGCGACCAGCCGTCGCGCATTGTGCTCCGCACTCGGCAGGTCGAATCCTCTGCATCATTGCCCGCTCCACCTTGCGCGTCCTTCGCGATATCCGGTCCCCCCGCCATCCCACGCCACGCCACCCACATCACCGCCGCCGCCGCCGCCGCCGCCGCCGCCAACCCAGCGATCCATCGCGGTGGAGATCAAGTTGACATCGATGCTGGTTGATCCCGACGCAGCGTACCGCCACCGGGACGAAAGATGGTAGCGTATGTCTGGTTGCTAGCGGCTAGCTAGCACCCACCACTCACCACTCGCAACAACATAGCAAAACGGGAGCATGCGACATCACGCAGAGGGCGTCGAGATCAGCGCTTAATTCCCCTTCACACATTCCACAAGGAGCGCATCGACGCGATCAAGGAGCAATCGAATGGAATGTCATGCCTTTCATCGTCTATGCCTAGGCTTCTTGCTCTTCGCTTTAAAGTATCCCCTGCCTCCCGAAGCGTTCCTCTCTTGTTGCTGATGTGCACAGGGCGGTGCGGCAGCGCCAAAGTAAGCTCAGATGTCTTCTTACCACTGGCCAAGCCGCACAGCTCAGCTCACTACTCACCTCGTTGAACTTGCGCTTGGCATAAGCCGCAGCTTCTGAATCTTTCACGACCTCTTCCAGTGCCGAGGTGCCCGCACTGTACTTTGGCAAGATGGACCCAGGTTCGATCTCAGAGCCCACGATCCTCCCCAACTGCAGCATCGCAAAAGGGCACGCCAAGTCAGGATTCCTTGGACGCACTGCTCTTTTCGCGAGCACAGATCCCCGCTTCTGCGCAACCTGCGCTGCCCGCAAAGACTCACCTGCGCATACTTTGGCATGCCCTTCTCCACCTTGCCTCCACCCTTGTAGAACCTCTTTGGATCCAGCGCATTCCTCAATCGGATAGCCTGCACTTCTCTTCGCATCTCTTCCGCCGTGCGTCCCCTAGGATTGGTGGCGTACCTGCTAGCTGCCAAAGTGCTCGCTCCCACGCTGCCCGATTTGGAGTCCGCGCCCGGAAATGCCGGCATGCCGTACCAGCCGGGACCGGCCGTTTGTGCTCGTTTCTGAAAATTTTTGGGGGGGGGGGGGAGGCATTGGTCAGCCGCGCAAAGTCAGTACGTTGCGAAGGGTGTTGATGCGACGATGAATGCACAAAAACAAGCGCAAGGAAGGTGCGAAAGTGCCTGGGAGCTCACGCATCTCACGCAACGTCCGCCCCCCCTTCTCACTCACAACTTTTGCCTGCCTCTTTTCTGCTCGCGTCCTTTTCCTGCCAGAGTCGTCTGGCACGCTCCTGCCACCGCTCAGCTTGGCCAAGTGCGAGTCCACCGCATCTTGCTTGGCTTTGCTCTCGTGTCTAGGATGTGCAAAAGTCCATGCGACGGCCGCGTATGCTATCAGCGGGCGCGCGCACAGTGTGGAGGTTCCTTTCACGAACCCATGGCCGCCGCATACACTCACCTTGTCAGCTTGTCCTGCTGCTGCTCCGCTGCCGACTGGTCCATGCTGTGCGCGCCTCCGTGCGGATGCCTATGCCCGCGCAAGCTCAGACTGACCAGATCCTCATCGCCGTCCAAGCCTGCGCTCCGCTTTGATCCGCTCTTGGCTTGCTCAGCAGCAAGAGCAGCTCGGAACAATCGCTGCACCTCTTCATCCTCGTCCTCGTCATGCTCCTCCGAACAGGACACGTCCTCGTCCGAGTCTGCGCACGAGTTTGAAGCGCTGGAGCTGGAGCTGGAGCTGGAGCTGGAGCTGGAGCTGGAGCTGGATGCAACATCGCTCGCGCCTTGCCCATTCACCCCATTGACCCTGCCATTGGCAAATCTGCTGCTGCTGCTGCTGCTGCTGCTGGGGGTGGTAGGCATGGCAGAACGAGATGACAGGAATGATCGCGAGTGGAAGAGGAGAAGGGGATTGGGCGGGCGCTTGATGTCGAGTGAATGTTGAATGAAGCGGGAGGATGTCGTCTTGATCGTTGCCGAGGATGAAGCTTGCTTGGCTTGACAGTGTTGAGTGGCATTCGATCCGCCCATCCCACTCGTGATCGCCCTGCACTCACGACTCGGCAAAATCGTGTATCGAGAATGAGAATGATGAATGATGAACGAGCGAGCGAGCGGCAGCATCCAAAGCAGGGAGATCAAGGGATGTGACGATTGAATGATTTCCTCATTTTTGATTTCTTTGAAATTCGCGCCGTTCTTGAGATGAAATTCTTGCGTGGATTCACGTGATTGACGCGATGCACCACAGCCTCATGACAACCATGAACACAACTTTTCACGTGTTCGGCCGAGTTGAGTGAGCCACACGAAGACGCACCGCACCGCACAGCACCGCACCGCACCGCGCACCGCACCGCACCGCACCGCACGGTCACGCGACCGACCGTCGAGTACTCGATTCTTGATTCAAAAATTGATTTGATTGCCATGGCAAGCATGCATGCATGCATTCATGCTTGATCGACGCGACGATGAACATGTGCGCACGCGCTCACAACGACGGTCAATGAGAGCGCACGTTTGCTCGCGTGTGCGTGCTGCGTGTGCACGTCCGCGTGACCAGACCACATCCACACCCACATCACCACACCACACCACACCACACCGCACCACACCACACCGCACCACACCGCACCACACCGCACCGCACCACACCACACCGCACCAGCAAAACGTCGGCCGCCGGCTCGCCTCGTGTGCTCAAAGGCGAGCGCACGCGACATGGCACACACACGCGCCCATGCGCCGGCCTGGCGGATGCTGCATGCTGCATGCTGCATGCTGCTGCTGCTGCTGCTGCTGCCAGTCAAAGTGCCCACCTCCGGTCGGAGACGGAAGGCAAGGATGGTTTGGTAGGCGGGGTGGGCGCACTCGCACGCACGCACGCACGCACGCACGCACGCACGCAAATGGCAATCGATTTCTGATTCAAGTTTCACATTTGCATTTGTGTGATTCGCATTCAATTCCCAGCTGTGGTGATGGTGGTGGTGGTGGTGGTCATGATGAGCACGCTGCTGCACATTCATCTCATCTCATCCAGCTCCTCCTCCTCCTCCTCCTCCTCCTCCTCAACTGCATCATCCCTTCAAGCCACCTTTCACCTCACATCTCTTGACTTGCTCTTAGAGGTCGTCACTCATCTCTGGTCGCGAGCGAGTCAGTCAGTCAGTCAGTCAGTCAGTCAGTCAGTCAGTCAGTCAGTCAGTCAGTCAGTCAGTCAGTCAGCAAGCAAGCAAGCAGGCAGGCAAGGCCAGGCTCGTGATTCGCGCAGCTTTACAACCGCATACAATCCCAATCTCTTTCAGCAATTTACCACCCGCACTCAAATGTCGCTCGGCGTAAAGACGGCTCACATATCGTCGGCGTCGGCATCGGCGTCGGCAGCAGCAGCAGCAGCAGCAGCAGCAGCAGCAGCAGGGGCCTCCTCTGTCTCCTCCTCCTCCTCCTCCTCAACATCGACACCGCGAAAGCGAAACAATGATCATCTAGCAGCGCTCGACATGCAAGCCATGCAAGCCTTTCCAAGCACCGCCTCTTCCTCCATCGACATCACACCACCCAGCAGCAAGGTCAAAACGCCGCGGGATAGCAAGAGGCGAGCAACGCACTCGCAGATCGAACGAAGAAGGAGGGAAAAGATCAACGAGTGTCTGATCACGCTTTGTCAAGTCATTCCTGCTTGCGTGAGGGAGGTGCAAGGAAGAAGAAGGGCTGCTGCTGCTGCTGCTTCTGCTTCTCATGATGGTGATGATGATGATGATGATGGTCACAATGCTTTGCATCGAGGTGTCGCAGGTGCTGGTGCGGATGGAGCGGGTGCGATGGGGAGTGGAGAAAAGGCAAAGAGGAAAAGGGTGCGCAAACGTAAAGAGGGGAAAAAGAATGATGACAACAAGGAGGAAGAGCTGGGTCTGCACAAACTCGAAGTGCTTACGCACGCCATTGGTGAGCTTGACTGGTGGACTTGGACGAGTGGGCAGCTAGGCAGACGGCAGACGGCAGACGGCAGACGAGAGACCGGGGCAGATGAAGTGCCAGCCAGCCAGCCAGCCAGCCAGCCAATCACTGACCCATCCATCCATCCATCCATCCATCCATCCATCCATCCATCCATCGCGCGTCCTCGCCTTTGGTGCAGACTACATCTACGAGCTGCAAGCACGCATCGCTGAGCTGGAGAGGAGAATGATGACATCGCATCCATACCCATCTCCATCTCCATATCCATCTGCCTCGCCCGCATTCACCCATTTCACCGCCACTCCTTCGCTCATGAGCGCATCGTCCACAGTTCTCACCTCCCCTATCATGTCCCTCTCCGCCGAATCTCCTATTCTGCGCAGAGGAAGCAGCAGCGGTAGCGGCAGCGGCAGCGGCAGCGGCAGCGGCAACGGTCTTGCGGCGTACAGCGTTAGCGGTAGCAGTGCGCATTCAGCAGCTTACAAACACGATGCGCGAAGACCGAGCACATCGCATGTCAACATCAACGGTGCTACTCCCGTCTGGCCCATGTTGCCCAGCTCCGTCTTGCCTCTTCCTCCTCCTGCTGCTGCTGCTGCTGCTGCTCATTCCACCTCTGCCTACAGGCGCCACGACGATGGGCGGACCAACAGAGAGACCATCAAGACCTCCCCCTTCATCAACGCTTCCACAACCTCCTCCGCCACATCGCGGTCCACCAGCATTTCGGCATCCGCATCCGCATCCGCTCCCGCCTCTGCCACCTCTTCTCCCAATTTCGAAGCCGTCGGATCTCGCAAACGATCCTCCACCCATTTCCAGCCTCTATCGTTCAACGACGGCTCGCGCGACGTCAAATCTCGTCCCTCTTCCTCTTCGAGCCAACAAGATGCGGCGGCGGCGGTCAGCGATTCGAGGAGCAGGGCGGCCAGTTCCGCAGCTATGCAAGTCCCCGCACCTGCGCTCAAGCAGACTCAAGCGACGCCTCGCACCTTGCTCAGGGGTCTCGCACCTTTACCTCTGGCACAGCGCACGAGCAGAGCGGAAGATGCCGAACTCTTGTTGAGCTTCAGCACCAGTCCTGATGCGCTCAGACCTGTGCAGAGCAGCGCGACGGACGTGAGCAGTCTTGGGAATAGGCTCGGCGGCAGCAGCGGCAGCAGCACCTCTGCTTGCGCTTCTGGTCCTGGTGCTCAGAGCAGCAGGAGATTGTCAACGACGACGACGTCGACGAGCTCGAGCAACGAGGGCTTTCTGCACCCCTCGGACGCTACCACTGCGACTGCGACTGCGACGAGTCCCGAAGCGCTCAGACCTGTCAGCAACGTCAGGCAACCGCCGCATAGCCCCGCATTGCCTCCACCGAGAGTCTCGGCAGATTGACCCTTGTCGTCACAAAATACATGCCACCGCAACGCGACGCGACGCCTCGGCCCCCTGTTTTGCGACGGGGTCGTGAGCGTAGTTCGGACTTTTTTCCCTCCCTCCCTCCTCCTCCTTTCCCCTTTCCCTTCTTGTTTGGATGAAGACTAGTTTGCCACGTCGCTCGCGTTGCGTCGAACCATCATAAAAGTTGCTCATGCTCGTGCTCGTGCTCGTGCTCGTGCTCTCTCTCTCTTTCCCCCTTTCTCTCATCACCAAGCATGTACATTTGGAATCCATTTGCGGTCATTATTGGGATCACCCACCTTGTGAGCTAGCCTTACGAAGCAAGCTCATTGCTCTCTCTCTCTCGACGTGTATCGTTGCGAGTCGAGTCGGGACATTGACCAGACGCGGGTATGACTCGATGCAATTGACGGTGAGGCATCTTACGCACGAGGAGAAGAGGGGTCCAAGGAACGATGAGAACAAGATCAAGAAAAGGAAAGAGGGGATTACGAAGACGGGGTCTCGCCGCCGTCGGGGTGCGGGCGGCCCCCTCTTTCTCCCACCCCACCCCACCCCCCTCCCTCCCTCTCTCTCTCTCTAATTCTTTCTCCTGGAAAAAGTGATTTTGCTCTTATCCTCTTCCGGATCCTTGGCCAGCACACCGTTCCAGGCCCAGTTGATGTAACCTCCATCGCCGTACCGCTTGATCCAACCATCTTGAAATCCGTACACTTCGTAACCTATCGTGCCGCCCACTTGAATGTCCACCTCTTTGTGCTCGTGAAACCAATCCACGCCTTTTGTGCCTCCTGGGTGGAAATCGTGCTTGGGATGAACGATCAGGATGTTCGTATCCGGGCTGTGCGGAGGGGGGGGGAAAGGGGGAGTCCAAGTCGCGACTTGGTCAGTTGTCAAGGACTTTTGCGAGCGCGGGATAGGATAGGGGCAGAGAAGGTCCCTTCCTTCCACTTGAAGAGCCATCGCAACGTCGAGCTGAGCTGAGCTCAAGCGAGCGGAACTTGGCGCGCGAAACTCACTACTCTTTGGACATGTCGTTGACCGTATCCTGTGTAAACCTGATACGCATCGCCTTGTCCTGCTTCGCCTTCTCCACAAGATTGCCGATGACTTTTTCAAGCAAGCGCGCGAATCGAGCAATCCCTTGAACGATGGCCGGCGCTAGTCGCTTGTCCAGATGCGCGCTCGTATCGTACAGCGCTAGCGAGTTGGACATGTAATCCGTCGGCATGGCTTTGCTCGAGCTGCTCAGCAGCGTCAAGCTCAGCAGAGCTGCTAGGGCGAGCAGTCCGGCGAGACGCATGTTTTGAACGCGGGAAGAGGTGGGATGATGGAGGGGGCTGAGGCGAAGATTCAAACGGTGGGTCTGGGCCGTAGTTGGAGGGCGATTCGAAAGGAATTCCTTTTGAGGCAAGGAGGGGGAACTAGAACCAGCTAGTTGTGTGGGTAAGAATGAAAATGGGGGGCAAACGGGTGGCCGACTGAGGCCTTGAGACAAAGGGAAGGGAATGGCGGGGAGGAGAGGATGGAAAGAACCTGCTTTCTTGGTGGGGGGAGGAGGGGAGAGGAGACTTGCGAGCAGGGGATGGTAAAGTGAGCATCTTATACACAGTGCACCCAATGACGAGCGACGTAGCGCAATCGTAAAGGGAGCTCCTTTCCTGAATCTCGCCTTGCCGCCTCCCCCTTACTCGTGACGGCTGACTGACTGGCCGAGAGGGAGTGAGTGGATGGATACTAGAGATGAAGCACCAATAAGCCCCCCAAGCCAGCACCTCGGCGTCGAATCACGAGGTCGGCTATCAAGGATGCGCCGTACGTGCATGCACTACTCGTGACTACTCTTGACTACTATGCTCGCACTGTGACTGTTGATGACGAACTGCTTCCTTATCCTCCGAACACACACACAAGACTTGAAAGTCCGAATACTCCGAGACATCACCGCGCCCCCGCACCGCCTGCGACTTGTTGGTACGGGTACATTGCACAAGTCGTGATCGTTGCTGCAACTGATGACTGTGAAGCACAGCATGCCGCGACACACACACACAACAAGCCTCTCTCTGCTGCCTGATGGACGCTTAATTGCGTGCATGCACGCCTTGCACGCACAACGCGTACAATCAAGTCGTGACTCGTCGTGAAGTCAGAGTGAAGGGTGCGGCGGAGGGCAGTTCTGTGCCTCGATCGATCGATCGATTGTGAATCCAATTTGACCGCGTGGTTATGCCGCCCTCGAAACGCGCTAAGGTGCGGGCGCGGGTGCGGGTGCGGGTGCGGGTGTGGGTGCGAGTGCCGGGCGTGTGTGAGCAAGTTTCTTGAGGTGCCGCGAACTCACTGCATGCATGACGACTTGTCACGCAAACTGCGAGTTTGAGTCACAGATTGGGGCCCGGGTTTCGCGAGCAAGGATCATAAATGTTGAGACTCATCGACTGGGCAAGTCGCCATCCAGTCAAGTGCGGCTGGCTGCTGGACCTCGTGATTCCAGCATGCAAATGATAGCCGAACGCGAGTCAAAGTTGAGTGCTTGCTTGCTTGCGTTGCATGCACCAGTCTTGAGTGACGCTTCGAGCTCCTCCATTGCCGAGAGCCGACCAAGTTGGCCAGCCAGCCAGCCAGCCAGCCAGCCAGCCATCATGCAGGAATGCAACAAGGCGTCAAGACCTCGTGCTCCGTCCCTCCTTTTTCCTTTCCTTCGCTCGCATCCACGCCGTTACCCCCCCCCGCGCCGCACGCCTCGATCTTGCAAAACGTATGCGTACGCGCGTGAGTCAAGTGCTTTGCCAACATGCATGTTACCGTATAGCGGCCTATTGGCGAAACTTGGACATTCACATTCACATTGTCGTCATGACTCGCCAACTAGCTGTCGACTCTGACTGCGACTCAGACTGGTGAGGTGACCGCCACACGAAAGACGACGCCATGCAGCTTCCCTTACCAGCATGCATACACTTTTGCTAGCGCGCGCGCCCCCGGGATGTCGCGGCGTAGTGGGCGCAATCATGCATGACATTGCAGCAATCAAACTTTTTCTGGGGCCTGCCTGCGTATACATGCCATGCAACGAACGACACGCGCGCTTCGTGCGTATAGTGCACCGTGACGCAACGTCCATCGATGCTCGTCATCTCCGCTCACAATCTCACACACCCATCCACGCCGCCCTGATGTCGCCCAGCATGCACAATCTCTGTTCTGCATGCTCTTGCAAGAGGATTGTGCGCGGCATACAGTCGAGTCACGAGTCAATCAAGGTGCATGTTACACTCCTCCACTCATTGACCAGGTGGAAGGCAGGCAGGCAGGCAGGCTGCGATTCACGTCGAACGCTTGAATCACGTCTCTGAGCGCAGCATCGGGTCAAGACAAAGCCGCAAAAGACCTCGCAAGTGGTCCGCAGTGACGTCTCGTACGCCGAGCTATATAGCAACACGACGTCCCTCGCCAAAAGTCCCAGTCACGAGTCGCTCCTGCAGCGTGGCCCATTGGTGATGGCAAGGATGGAGTTCAATTACTTTTTTCGTCGAGCGTCTTCATGCGTGCGCTGCGTGCGTCCCATGGTCGGCACGCGGGGCTCGTAAGGCGAACGGCTCCCCTTGCCGATCGCTGAATAGTGTCCGACCTGAGCCAGCTCTTTGCTCAATTCCGACATGTTCGCAGCCTTCTCATCGTTGTAGTATCGAATATCTGGAGTCTGCACACCACCTTTAGCTCTTCGGAGTGTGGCCTGGCCGACTCGCGTTGATGGCGCCCAAAGTCGGGTGGGATGTCTGATGTTGTCAGAGCTTTCAATGGGTGACACCTTCATCCTTGCGTCCTTGTCCGACTTCGATTCCAGGTGCAGCGCATCTTTTTCATCGACGAACACGTCAAAGTCGTGCTTTGGATGCAGCAAGACTTGCCTCGTGCCGGACAATGATCGAGCAATAGTCGCGCCGTGCACGCTCGACTCGGGGGTCCCGGCTACGCGAAGCTGTTCGACTCTTGCGCTGGACTGGCCGTGGAGAGTCGTCCCGCTCGTCTTGACGTGATCGTCGATTGACCGCTGATGTGCTGCTTCCTGAAACGCGTCTTGGGCCTGCTCTTGACCCTGCACAACATACGGTTCCTTTCTACTTTTGCCCATCTTGTGATCAAGCTGAGCCAGCGTTCTGCTCAGCCTGCCCATGTCCGTCGGCTCCGTCAGTCTATAGTGTCGCAAATCATGCTGTACCAAGGCGACCGGGAATTTGTTGGAATGATGCATGATGACCACCCCTTCAGGCGCCGCCCAAATGCGAGCTCGCCGTCCCTCCGAGTCTGGCACAAAGCCTTGAAGCGCAACACGCTTCGAAGTGCCTTTTGCGGAATGCAGCTCCATCCTGTCCTCCCAGCTATGGCTATGGATCGTCAGATCATGGCCTGGATGCAAGAGCACTTGCGCCTTGCCCGAGAATGTACGCGATAGCGTTGCACCAGGAATCACAGACTCGGGTGTGCCTGCAGGAATCCTTATAGCGCCCACTTCCGCCTTGGGATTCGCCCCCAGAGAAGGACCGTGCACCTGGCGCTGATGAGAAACGACCTCCTCAGGCTTTATGAGAGGCTGAATCACTGAATCATTTGTGGCCTCTTTGCCTATACCAGCGAACAATCGGGTCAGCTGTGCGAGAGAGAATGTTGTTCATCGAGTAAGGGAAGCGTGAAAACAATCTTCTGCAACCTCCGCACCAAACTCACTCTCTTTAAAGTGGAAGGCTCGCCAGGTGACATGCGTCGATCCATACGCGCCGGCGAGTTCGATTCAGATGTGAATCGCACTGGCGAGTGGCTTTGCCCCGACCCCTGAAGGTGAACGCGAGAGGCGGGCAGTTTGAAGGTCCTCCCGATAAGGGAGTTAGCAGGAATGTGAGCAAGACTCTTCGACCACGCGAGCGAATCGTCACCAGGATGGCTATCGTAAAATCTGACGTCGGATCTTCTGTACTCGACTAATTCCCTTTGTCCGTGCTGATTGATTCGTGTAGCAGGATTAAAGGAAGGCCATTCAATGTTGCGCAAAGGCACCCAGATGCGTGTCCTTTGCTTGAGCTCGGATTCCGGCGAGTGAGGATCATAAGGTAAGCTTTTCGTGCTGACTGGGCCCTCTTTGGCTCTCAAGAGCTCGCCCGTCGTTGCCCCAGGATGCGCTTTAGCTACAATGTGGAGCTGCTGCTTCGCGGCATCCACCTCCATCTCGATGTGGTGATTTGGATGCAGCAAAATTTGACGCGAGCCTGAAGCTGTCCTCGACAGGCTAGCGCCAGGCAGTACGGTGTCGGGATGACCAGGCAGGAGGTTCGAAGTGACCATCGACGTGCCAGGCTTTACGCCGAGCGTGCTTCCACTGTGGTAGCGGTGATAGCCTCCCACGAACTTTTCCTCGTCTTTCTCAAGCAGTGGAGCCGCGTGATCTTCTGATGTAGCGGGTCTACGGAGGACGCGTGACAACTTTCTTGACAGGAATTGGTGTCAGCATCCTTCAAAGTCCAGTATCCACTGAACGGGCCGTGCTGACCTTGTTGAGAGGCTGCCTCTCGCTAGTGAATAGGCGCCGCTGTAAGCTGTGTGTGGACGGAATGGAAGACTCAACCGTCCTACCCGTGAATTTGTGGGCACGTCTCACAAACGTAGCCCGCTTCTGCAATGCAAAGCGACCACAAAAGGATAAAGGATGTCAGCGCAACGGCGACACAACGACCAAAGACAATGACGCGAATTTCCGTAGCATTTCACTAGCGCTTGGACAGACTCAAGCTCGACTAACGTGTACAAGCGTGGAAGCGGCGCCGGCAACGGACTCGTCACGACGGTTGAGCAAATCTCGACCGGGTGGGCTTCCCGGCGCTCGCTGATGCAACCCGTCACCCTCGCCATGGAGAGGAGACCCATGATGCGCCGGAATTGCCGACCCACTGTCTACTACACGAGGTGACGAGTTGCCTTGATGCGCGTCAAAGTCGTGGTGCTCGTCCATGTCGAAAGCTTTGTGCTTGTCCTTGCCAATGTTGGTGCTGCTGGGGACATGCGCAGAAGCGATCGACTGTTCTCCAGCATCGAAAGGGCGCTTTGGTTGGTAGTAACGCAGCTCTGGCAGAGGGAACTTTCTCTCGCGTTCAGTTCCAAAGTATGGGCTCGCGGGCTTATAGTCGACGTGATAGTTTGGAGGTGACCACATGACGGTGGGCTTGCGCTCCATGGATTCCGAAAGCGACCACTTTCCGGTAGCATTGTCTTTGACTTTCAGTTTTGGCACATCCACATCGTCGTACTGAGTATAAGACGGATCGTGGCCTGGGTGGACGAGAACTTGCTGTCTACCGGAAGCCGTGTGGGAGAGCGTCGCGCCAGGCAGAGTCTTGTGGGCTACACCAGGTGCAAGAGGCTGCTTCGGTCTCTTCTGCCACCACTTCACTGCAGGCTCGCTCGAACTCCCCCCAGGAGTCTTGATTGCCGTGGTTCCCACGGACTCCAGTTCCCTATCGGGCGCACGTGAGCTGCTGCGCCAAGAGGTGATGCGGCGGTAGGAAGCAAGCAGAGGTTTGCTGTTGTACCACTTGTCCTCCGTCGCTGCGGCGGGGGCAGCAGCACCGTCTGCGGCAGTCTGTGGGATACATGACGCGGTCAGTGGCCTCCGAGTCCGACACGATGGCGATGCTTGAACGGTTCTCAGACTCACTTCGGGCAGCTTGGCAGCGCCGAAAAAACGGGATCCCCCCAGGGGAACTGCAGATACCTGCAGTAGTGCCTGCAGAAGGGCGAGGCATACCAGACCTCTGAGAAGATAAGTGTTGAAAGGCATTTCGTGCAAAAAATTGCCCACCAGTGGGTAGTGAAGGCAAGGAGGCGAAGTAGGCGAACACGGGCACGCGTCAAAGTGCCGTCTTGGGTACTGAGGAGACGGAGAGAGATCAGACGATGGACGAATCGCTTCACGCCCTGTTAAATACTTTTGGTGGAAATTTGGCAAGTCGGATGATGATGTTGGAGATTGCAGGTTGCAGGTTGCGCACAGCGTCCAAGGCTATGTGTAACAGCATCTTGTCCGCTGCCATATGTGGCAAGCGCCCCATCGACGGACCTCTGAGGTTGAATGTGATGGCAAATTCGTGCAGTACGTAGGATATACCGCCAAATTCGGTCCTGACGGAGATTTTTCGGGCAATCAGCCTCCGCGTACTCGGGCAGCGGCAAGGCGAGAATCTCGCGGGTGAGGGCGCGCTGACTGACTGCGTCGCCGTACCCATTGTGGCACGCAGGTAGCCATGGCTCCTTCAAGGTGCCTCGCGACACCCGCAAGTCGTGATGGTATGGCGTTCAAAGGGGTGCGAGACCCCACACCTGTCTAACATACTTGCTGTGCAAGCTTTGACTCAACCGAGACGTGCCACAGAGTCGCGCTGTGAGTCGTCATGATTGATGAGTGGCAACCGCTGTTGTGCGGATCAGCATGCGAAGAGGGGTGGCGCGACACTCCATGCCTGCGCATCTCACAGATCCCGCACGGCTTGAGAGCCTTCCGCCGCCACTTGACCATTCGCACATCACACTGCGTCTAGTGCCGTGATCAAGAGCAGCTGCGACTCGGTGCTTCTCCGGACGCTGTCACCTTCGACATGCGACGTGACGAACAGCCGCTTGCTACCACGCCGGAACCGACAAGGTAGCCCGCCACTGCGCATCAATTGAGCCAGAGCCACATCGTTCATGCTCTTGAACTCTGCTGAGTGGCGAAGCTTTTTGACTGACCTTGCATTACCCTCCCATGATGCCGCCTTGAGGCTTTTGACACCTTCAAGCCCTGATTCGAGATCGGACCGCGCGGCGCGGGGGCAAGTCCGCTCACGACTCAGACTACCTGTGCTGTATGCCTAGATCCACGTGATTTATAAAGGACGCAAACACACCTGAGGACTGTGACTGGTGCAAGTCGAGAACGCTGGAAGGCTTACAACGTGAACTCATCCATCCATGATGGAGATTAGAGAGCAGATGGCAAAGTGGTGCGCAACGCGACACCGTGCAGCTATACGTGTTGCTTGTGCTTGCATGTTCCGCGATTTTGGATGCTTAGTTGTGAGGTCCAGCGCGTTGGAACTTCTCCCGACTCGCGCGTCGCGCTGAACTTGTATGCGCGGGCCTTCTCGCGCGATCCGCTCGTCGTTGCCCACCTTCGTTCCTTTTCGCCAAGTTCATCTGACTTGTAATTGCCCTTCAAGATTGGATTGTCTTCAACACAGCTCGAGAATTCTGGCCACAAATCTTCAATGGATACCAGACATCGATTTCAGATTCAGGTATCAATCCGCAGAACCTTTAACTTTCAAGACGGCTTTTTGAATACCACGCGCAGTCTAAAATCGCTCAGTCAAAGTCACACGTCGAGAATCAAGGAGCGAATGTATTCGACGCGAGCAACTCGCCGCGGGTTGGATATGAGTGTTCCGAGACAGTGACGAAGGGATGGGGAGCAAGACACTAAGCACGCTTTATGGCACGTTTTATTGAGTCCCTGGCCAGAGAGCGCTGAGAGTGGAACAAAAGAGGACCTGGCTTTCGAGACGTTTGAGGCGGCGGTGCGAGTGTCAAGGCGGCTAGTTGCCATGTTCTCGTTCAACAGCGAGCCAAACGGGTCGAGACGTCGCTCACGACTCAGTTGCCAGGAGGAGAATGCGACTGTAGGGAACGAAGTAGCATCTTATCAGAACATCCAGCGTCTGCAACCATAGCAAATCGCAGTATCGATGTTGTATCGCGTCGCCATACTGTTCATCCATCACCACTGAGGCGAACAGCGCGAAAGGGTCATCCTCTTGAAGAGACATACTCACAGTGAAGTGACAGCTAATGAGAAATCCATACGCTTGACAGGACCGGCCGAACAGAAGCATCCACCTCTGTCCACCACGCTGCGATCACTCCTGCAAGCGCTCTACACGGAAATTACCGTGCAGACTGATCAGGAGGAGTCAAGTCGTTGGCCCATCTAATCTTATCTTTGTCGCGATTGAGGCATTCGGCTATTTCACCTTTGTCCGGCCTAGTGAAAGCGCCACCAAACCCGGTGGTGTAATCGTTGATGAGTTCATGGGTATAGCTTCTTCTCTCTGCGCCAAAGCGCACGCAAGAGACGGACACGTAGTGCGCCATTGTACTTGGCCAGCCGCAGTAGTCCAGCATCACCATGCCACCTCCGTGCGGGGTCAATTGGAAGCAGTGGTCCATCCAAAATGTCTGAAAAGCTCTGATGTCCATCTCTGGTGGCGGTTTGATGACATCCATCGCTTGGAAAAGTCGATAACCGTTGGGTCCGTATAGACCGCCTTGAGAAGTCACCTTTATGAAAGGCCCGCTCTCTTGACCTGCTGCCCCGTCATTACCTGCCTTGACATTCGTGCCTTGCAAGGGCGGGCCGTGCTTGGGTATGTGGCGCTGAGCGGTAGGTTGAGGAAGGCCCATGACTGACTGCATCAGCATCGTTGCGAGCATGGAGAGACCGATCGCTCTCGCATGGCGGCTGTACGGTCCTCCCAAATCCGACATATGAATTGGCCCTGAGGTGGTTGCTGCAATTAGATCAGCTGAGCAAATGGGAATGACGGAAGAGTTGCGAAAGAGAGGGCAAGATCCAGGCGGGCCCGAGAAAAGGGTGTCAGGGAGATAAACGGCCGGAGAAAAGATGGCGAAGCGAGCGGCGAATTATGAGGAGGTCGGTCATCACGACAGCATTGTTGTATTCTGCGTGGTGAAGGGCAAAGTGCCATGCCGCTGACACGCGAAGTCTACGCCAGGATTGCTGGATGTCTCGTAGCATGGTGAAAGGAGGGACACGCGCTTTGGTCCTTTGCCGGCTCCTCGCTGTGACTGTCTGGATCGTCGCAGCGACCTTGATGGCGCTATCATGATGTGGTCACTTGCACACCGGGTGAATTGAGTGAGTGCCCTGACCTTTCCTCTCCCTCGGTTACCGGCGCCTCCCTCCTCATCGATCACTACCATGAAAAGCCTGCCAATGCGCTCACAAGAAGTCGTGGTGCCAGGGTGAAGTTCAAGTGACCGGCGCAGACCAAATTGTCCATCGTTGAGCGCGCGGTAACTTTCCAGTGATCGACCCAGATGCACAGATCAACGTGATCCGAGCGCGGAGTAGGTTGTCTACTTGTGCCTTGCGCTGGAAAGAGGTAATAGCCTAGAGGTACCGAGTAGGATGACACTTGTCGCCTTTGGGTCCGGGTAGAACCATCTTTCACGCAGGCCAAGAGAAGAGGAGCCTCATAAGCAATGTGAGAGTATCCGCTCAGGGAGCGACGTTCGACTTGGGTGGCCGAGCCGCGCATGTACGTGACAGCCGATGATCAAGCAGGTGGCACGCGTGTCGAGGATACCAACTTCTCGTCAAATCCATGCACGTCGAACAAATGTTATCACTGGAGAGAAGCAAGCAAGAGATTTTAATCTACGCATGATGCGTTTTGGTATGCGGTATCGAACTAAAGACTTGGTCACAGCGAGCTACAAAAGGTTGAACGCGACTTATGACATCGTAAGGGGAAGCGGGGCAGTTCGGGGTGTTGTAATAATTTCGAGGCCTTGCGATGAGGTCTGCCTGGGAATATGATGTTGAGACGGCCAACGGCTACACGCGTAAATTCGGCACTATTGGATTGCAAGCACGGGGCAGGTATGCGCATCGAGCTATTGTGCTGCTTCATGCTCATGTGGCCTCCTATGTATTTCTCGCTCCTGCGCAGAGTCCCGATTCGAGTCTGTTAGTGACTAAGCAACCTCGACAGCACGAACCTTAGCCCCGGACTCGAAGTTCACTACACTGACGACCGCCGCGTGTTGCACTCACTGTGAGGTCCTACCGAGAAATCTACGACGTGTATTCTTCTCCGACTGTGAGACACTCCGTCACCTCTTCGTCGCTTGGTCTACTGAACCCCAGACGTTTGCTATAGTCTTCGATGAATTCTTGAGTGTAGGATCGTCTCTCGGCTCCAAAGCGGACGCATGAGACGTCTGCAAAATTTGCGATGTGAGTCTTCTTACCCACGCCGCAAAAATTGGGCCAGACAAGTCCGCCTCCATGTGGTGTCATCTGGAAGCAGCGGTCCATCCAGAAAACGGTGAATTCGTCAATGTCCATCTGGGGAGGGAGCTTGATTCGATCTAGTTTCGAGATCAAGTGGTGGCCATTAGGACCGTACAAGCCAGTCTTGGAAGTGACTCTCATGAATGTTCCAGCCTCCTCCGATCCCCCCATACCGCCTTTCGTCTGGAGATGACCTCCCGTGTGAATTCCGGGAGGGTTGGACACTGTGCCGCCCGTGCCAGGCTCAGGATTGCCAGGGTCCGTGTGAGAGTGAGAGATTGATGGACCATGCTTTGGCACGAATCGTTCCGGCCTTGGGTGTGGGTGAGGGCGCCCAAAGAGCGAAGAGGATAGGGCGCAAAGAGCAAGGAGCATGAATAGCAATGCCATGCTGTCGCTTTCCGTCACGTGTCAGACTTGCCGCGCCAGGAATGGCTTGATATTGTGGGAGAGGGATTGTTGGTGATGCCGTGAAGGGTAGAAGGTGGTCAGCGGTCGTAAGTCGGAATCAGAAAGCGGTGGTGGGTGGGAGACGAGGTATTCAAGGGAATAGCAAGGGCAGCGGGTGAAAGTGGGCCCCACGGAGGGATGGATGACAAATTTAAGAAGCGAGTGTCACGCACCCTGTGACTGCTTCCGGTACGCTCGCTGATTCACTGATGAGAGTAAAATCACTTGTCCCTGGAGCGCGAAGCGACCAAAAGCACGGAGAACGTGACGGACGCTATCAGAGGTCTCTGAATTTGCATGAGCAGCGCGGGTCGTGCAGGCGTTGTAACGGTCAAGACGGCGTCGACCCCCATGTGTCTGCTCGCGTACGTGTTCGTCTGTTCGCGTTCGTGCGCCCCATCGCTCACACGCGACCAAGTGATCTCGACCTTCGCTTCCCACGAGCCGGTGGGCCTGATATGTCTGCGCAGGCCACGGGCAGGAACTTCGGCAATGATGAGTCAGATGATGGGATAAAAGTACGGGGTTCGAAGCGCCGACCAATATTCAGGGCCATTTCGTTCCTGCGAATCTTTTTTGGGGGGCGGTCAGAGTGCTCAACGTTTTCCCACGGCATGCTCGTGTATCGCTAATGTCTCAGAGTCCAGATCAGAGCGCGGTTTGTGTCGCGTCTGACTCAGCGAAGTGTCCATTCAGGATCGGGATTGCGTGGTGCCGCTGATCAGAAGGTGCGTGCGTGGCGCGTATGGACGAGGAGAGTCGCGAGACTCGGTCTGAGACGTGTCGAGGAACCGGGTGCCCTTTGTGTTGTGCTGCTCTTGGAGGCGATGTGAATGTGATGTGGATGCTGCTGCGTGGATGAGCGGTGCAATGTCGGTCATCAATGATCGATATCTACAATTGTTGGCAGGATCGTCTGCCAGGCGAGTGCATACATGGTTCGCAATCTGGATGCTTCCACCTGAGCAGGACGCCTGGCCGCAACAGGCGTGCATGTCGGCCTCACGAATGAATGATCACCGCCCGGCCCGCAACGGCATCCAACCACGTCTGTCATGGCTGGCACATATGCCACTCGCTCTCCTCCGACAACCAAAGGTCGAGTCACAGTGTGGTAAGTCTGAAGAGAGGCCCTTCTTAACATTCAAGGATTGTGAGTAATCATCATAGTCGTGGGTGAGAGTGACAGGCGCGGGCGTGAGTTGTGGAGTCGTAGAGTCACGAGTGAGTCGAGGAGTGGTGAGGCAAGGCAAAGCCCAGATTATTAAGGTTCCCATCTGCACTTGCGGCGGCGGCGGAGTTGCGGTGGTGCTGCTGCATGCGTCGTGCATTCACATTTCAAGATTCACATTCTGATTCAAGATTCGTGATTCAGATGCAAGATTGAGCATTCACGGTTACTCGAGGTTAAAAGATTCACATTCGGGATTTCATATCTCTGTAAGGGTGCGCGGCAGTGCGGCACCCGCACGAGAAGCGGGATCAAAGGCGCGCGGCGGCGGCGGCGCTCAGAAGAATCTTGAATTAAGCGTCTACAGTATATACATACGCGGGCGAGCGCGCATACATATATACACATGCATGGGGCGGAGGATGCATGATCATGCAAGGTTCATTCGTGATTCATGGCTCGACGAGCAAGCAAGCAAAGGTGATGGTTGGTTGGATGATTCGTCATTCACGATTGTTACACACGCACGCACGCACGCACGCATACACACACACACACTCCCCTCGCCTCATTCGCGACTCTAGCAGACAAACATCCATCACCTCTCTCCGTGCTTGCGTGACTGGCTTCAACGTTTGGCAACCGGCAGTCAGAGTGTGAGTCGGCCCAAGATGATGTCCTCACTGCCATCCATCCTGTCCACCGACAGCAACGACTTCGAAGCTGCGGGAGCTGCCTACGCACAAGCTGGTCCATCTCGCTCCAGCTTGCCACGCATGCATATGCACATGCCACTCGACGATCATTCCCGCGCTTCCATCTTTCAGTCCGACCAGTCGTACGAGGAGCAGCTAGACCAGCATCGCAGCGCCAGGCAGCCGCAGCCGCCGCCCAAGATATCCAAGCGCATCAACAAGCGCTTGCAACTCGCAGCCGCACTCATCGAAGCTGACAATGACGACATCGAGGAGCGCAATCTTGCACACCAAGCGTCGCTGCTGCGCGCCAGGCAACAGCAGCAGCAGCAGCAAGCGGACCCCGACGCACCAGGTCCTGCTCCCCTTCCTCAACCAAAGCTGGCCAGTCAGAGCGTCATCTTTGCGCCTTTTAGAGATGAGCCGCAGCATTCGGCTGCATCAGCGCATACACGTCGAAGAACGGCAAGCAATGCCAGCAGGCTCAGTCGACTCAGTGGGGGCGTGACTGCCAACGAAGAGGGGCGCAGACCGAGCATCGACTTTTTGGGCGTCAAGCTGCCGACGGACAAGAAGAATCCCCGCACATCGTCCATGGGCAGTCGACCAGCAAGCGCAGCCGGCTTCTCCCGTCACTCTCGAGCAAATAGCCTGATGAGCGCCACTGGCCCTTTGCGCCCAGGCGATACTGTGTGGGGTGGTCCAGCTGGCGATGGCAGCAGGCCCGGCAGCGCTCTGTCGCACTCGAGGCATGGCTCGCTACACACCATGGCAGCTGCGGCTGCTTCTGAAGGGGGTGAAAGCGAGGCGGGATCGGAAGAGGCGCTCAGTGAATGGGGAGTGGACAAATTCCTATCCAAAGATGCTAGGGAGAAGCTCAGTGCGGGTCGCAGGAGTCGCGCCAACAGCACCGTCGGCATCACCACTGTCCCCGCTTCCGCTTCAAGACCTGCGTCGGTCATCAGCGTGAGCGCTCCCGCGCGTCCACAGAGCATGATTCGCACGCATTCCGAGATAGGTACTGGAGCTACGGGGATCCCAAATGGACCAGACGGGTCGGTCTCTGCAGCTCAAGCGCAGCTTCTAGCACGAATCAAGATGTATCGAGAAAGGCAGGAGAATCTGCCCCCCAGCGAATGGTCCGGTCCGGGACCTGCTGCCGATGCCACCGAGGTTGCCAAGCATCTCGCCATCGATGAACACTCAACACCTGCGGCTGCACGACCGGACAGCAGCGCGGCAGCCCTGGCAGCGAGCAAGCGCAGCTTAGCGTTTCCATCTGCAGATGGGGAGACCCACGACGTTGCGAAAGCCCAGCGCAGCCCGATTCAGAACGTTGTGGCGTCCATCTTTGGGGTTCCCCCACCGCGTTTCAGCAGCACCGGAGGCCTCGACGCTTTGAGCCGGGACGCGTCTGCCGGCGGTGCTGGCTTGATCGGGCTAGACGGGACAGGCACAAGCACTTCTGCGGCGGCAAACGAGTCCCAACTATCAGCAGACATCAGACCCGTCACGCATCTTCGCAGCGCCACCGTCGAGAGTACCAACACTGTAGCCTCGGCGATGAGCTTGCAGCGTCGAGACAGCTCCATGGGAATCTTTGGTGAGAGCTGGTCAGACCAGGAGGACGAGGATGAGGTGCCTAGCACCGAGCTCCAAGATCAGACCATTACGCGGTCTGCTTCTCAAGGCGATACTACGGTTCGTAGAGACCACGTCAATCAAAGCTCACGAACACAGGACGCCGAAGAGATTGGCAATCTGCAGGGACCCTTCGCGGAACCCAGTGTGGTGGTCGACTCGATCGAAGAATCTGTGCCAAGTGACATGGCGGGTGTCGGGTCCTTCTCTCGAGGTCAGTCGAGGCGCAATTCCCTCATGACTGGCGCACCTGGCATGCTGTGGGCAGACACTGCGAACGAGGCGCCTTCTCTGCGGCCAGGCGAGATGTTGCATTCAAGTCGTCCAGGCACTCCTGGCGGACTTGGCAGTAGCCGAGGTTCAGGACAAGCCACGCCCATCCTTGGTGAAGGCGCTTCGCTTCCCCTCGACCCCTATGCCAGCATGTCCATAGGCCCTAGCCCGTATCCTGCTGCACATAGAGCATCGCCTGCTGCGCGGCTCTTGGAGCTTGGTAGCGACCCTTATGCTGTCGCGGAAAGGTTGGGGCCCTACCCTCGAGGTATCGCTCAGTCGACGCCAGAGTCCCTGGCCCCTACTTCTAAAGCGCGTAGAAAGTCAGCAGCCACGACCAACATGTCGACTAAGCAGCTACAACAAATGGCGCGCCAATCAGCGTTTGGCGGGTACTACGGCATTGGATCGCCAGGAGATAGTCCACCACTCCAGGCCGCTGATGACGCGGAGCTCCTCAGCGCCGCTGGCTTGGATCCACTCAGCGCCATTGCGGAGCCACGCTTGTTGGATGCAGGAGTCGGAGAGGCGAGCCAGGAGTATGCAGCTTTGGCCGAGCATTTAGCCGAACATGACCGCCGGGAAGCCTCAGCATCTAACGATGTCCCTAATCCCAAACCTCGACCGTTTTCAAGCTTTTTTGGAACAGCATCAACGAATGACAAGCGTGCAAGCAACGCAGGACCTTCCATTCTTGCGACCGCTGCGGCCCTGCGCGCCTCGGCCGTGCCGGATCTCTCGTCTGTCCGGTGGGGTACCAAAAGGCGTACAGCTGCGCCTGCCACCACAGTCGAACCGCCCTCCACGGATTACGCAGACCACGCAAAGGAGGACCCTTTGTCGGCCGCTGGGAAAGCTGCCAGGGGCAATTCTAGAAGCCTGTTCAATCCCATCAGCACTTTAATGGGCTCGGGCAGCAACGCTCTCATCGAGAAGCTGCAAAAAGCGGCCGATGAGCAGCAGCGCCACCAGCAAGCTGCACCACTCGTAACAGAGGTGGATGATAGCGAGTTCAGTCCTCCTGTCAAGGGTCCTCTGAGACCTCGCGGCCTCGAAGCTCGCATCCCCAGCGATCTGGTGATGCCCACGCCCCTCGAGGGCAGTCCTTACGCTCCAAGAATCAGGCTCACAGATGCGCATGGCCGCGACATCCGCGAGCTGCGGGCAAGTCTCGCTCAAAGAAGTGGCAAAAAGACGGGCCTGTATGTACCTGAAGGCTTCGTGCTGCACGACGGCAGAGGTCTGCCACCTGTAAAGCAGCTGACAATTGGAGCAAGCGGAGCGCCGAAGTTGGCATTCATGGAGGGCGATGGAAATCAGAAGCACGATACCGTCATGGCAGCCCTACTCGCCGACAGCCGTCGAACTATCAATGTGCCCGCAGCTGCACCTGCCGGCATTGGACGCCGAGCGGCTGCGCCTTCGACTGCTCTGTTCCGAAACCAGCTAGTCCAACACGACGATGAGCGCACTGGTTGGGGTTGGGAGGCTGGCACGCAGACTGGCGAAGTGGGCAATGCTAGCTCTTCTGAGGACGGGAACGTTCCTCTTGCGGACCTCAAGAAGCTCACACGTGCAGCAAAGCGAGCAGCTCGCAAGACAGAGAAGGAACGTCGGAAGCGCAAAAAAGCGAGAGCAGAGCGGAGGCGCAAACGAAGAATTGCCGAGACCAGTGGCACTTCATACGAAGCTCTCGGCGTCGAAAGTGACAGCCCTGCCGAAGATCTTGATCTGTCCGAAGATTCAGAACCGGAGGATGACCTTGCTGAAGACGAGGAATCTGCAAGCGAAGACAGCTTCAATTCTGAGGATGAGAAGCGTTGGGTCGACGACAAGAAACCGGCCGGCAAATTGTTCGGCAAGAGTCTGATTGATGTTGCCGACGAGCGTCGACAGAACCTCGTGTCGAAAAATCGGTGAGCCTCAGTCCAGGATTACGGGCATCTGAGCAAATGCTGACTGTGCGATATCTGTGGCTGCAGTGCCTATGGCCATATCGAAGCCGAAGAGATCCGCAAATTTGAGGCGTTGGAAGCAGCTGGAATGGATGCCGATGGTGACGCTCGTTCGATCGCGCCCAGCACCGCTGCAAAGACCTTTCGAGACAACCCGTTGGGATACAACGACACGCGAGAACGCATGCAGGCAGCGTTTGGTAAAGACGCCCTTTGGGAGCGCGAGATGGCAGTCCGTCGAGAAGAAGAAGCTCGAGAGGCTGCAGAGCGTGAAGTCAAGAGACTTGCCGAACTCGAATACCGCAAGGGGGAGGCGGAACGGGCAATGCACAAGCTCAAAGGCAAGAAGGGAAAGAAGAATCAAGCCAAGTATGAAGCCGCAGCGCTCGAATTTGCTAGATTGCACAAGGAAATCAATGGACGAGAGGCTAGCTTTGTCTCACGCAACCCCGAGAGTGCTTCCATTGCTCCGACTGTGGAGGATGAGCAAGACCAGGGAATTGCTCAGACTGAAGAAGATGAAATGCCTGCCCGTAGCCGTACCCCTATCGAGCCGCCAAAATTGGATCTGTCTTTGCTCAGCGAGAATGCTGCCGGAGGAATCTCGTCTCTTGCCGCACAAACTAAGCGCAAAGGTGTATCGGAAGCTGCTGCGGAATGGTTCGCTCGCGAATCCGACGAGGATTTGTCAGAGCAGGATACTTCTGAGGATGAGGCGGAGAAGCGGAAACAAGCACTTGAAAGAGCGCGCAAAGCACATACGCAGAACAGCGCAAGTGTGAGTTTTGCCGCGGCACTCAATTTGCCGAGAGTAAGGGTTCAAGATGAGAATGGGAGTGATAGCGAGGCTTCTGAAAACGACAGCAGCAGCGAAGACAATATCCCTCTATCTCAATTGCGCAAGAAAGCTTCCCCTCGCGTTGGATCCAGTACATCATTCGGCAACGTTGCTGGCGGTCCCCCTCGTATCGGTGCGGATGACGAGTCATCGGAGGAAGAAATGCCTTTGGCGGCTATCGTTGCGAAACGCAAGACGCGCCAGAGCTTGGCCGGAAAGCTTGACATCGACTTTATGGGGGCTAGTTCTCTTGACGCCAGCGCAACAGCAAGGAGTAGCATGCCTGCCGCCTCCTCTAGAAGCAGTGCTCTCGGGCCGCCTATAGGTCTCCCTGCTCTACAAAGGGCGGCACCACACACATCGCAGCATGAAGACGATGACTCAGACGACGATGCTCCATTGGGTGTCAAGCATGGGAATGGGCTAGCCGCGCTCGCCGAGTTGACCAAGAAAGAAGCGCAGCTCAAACAAGCTCGAGAGAAGGTGGCGGACCTTCAAGATGCAGCTGCCGCCCAAATCAATGACAGCGATGACGACGATCGTCCTCTGGGCGTTGCGCATCCTCAGGCGGCAATCATAGCCGAGCAGAGGGCCTTGATTGAGAAGCTACAGGCAGAAGCTGCGGAAGCGAGAGCCAAGATTGCAGCTACAGAAAGTCCTTTCGGGGTCGGTCCTCCATATGGATTCAATTCGCGCATGTCAATGATGCCTGGTGCAGGACCTTTCGGGCAGCCTAGTATCGCACCGGGTCACATGAGCATGATTGGCATGCCTAGCTTTGGTCCAAGCACATCCTTTGGAGGTGGTATGTTCCCGCAATCTCCTGGACCTAACAACATTGGCGTGCCCATAGGTATGGATCCGACTACACTGCCACCCGGCGTGGGACTTGGACCGGATCCGAAAGCGACCTCAATCGATCGATGGCGCTCGCAGGTTCCCATCGACCCGCAGCCATCCACAAGCAGCAACTCAAAGTAGCTCGTACACATGACCCTTTCAAACGCTTAGCAGCACACCAAGACGATGAGATTGCTCGGATAGAAGTTTCGGTAACTGTCCACGTCTGGGGTGGGTTCTCTCAAAGGCATTATGTGTTCATTCATTCTTGGCGCCGCGTTGCCACTACTTGACCCTTGAACGAGCGCACGTCCGACCCTACTAATAGCGGCCGATGACACTCGTGGCCCGAAGACTAGCAACGTTGCTGCCGCTTCTTCTGCAGAAGTGTACACGCCACGTGGTCGTTCCACTCGCTGCTGGCTGCACTCGATTGTGTGGATTGTGTGAATTTGGGCTCCGCATACTTTTTTCAACAGAGACAGATTTCGTGTAAAATTCTCGGTCATGCGACAGCTTTGCTGTGGCGTGTGACCGCGCTGCCATTGTTCCATGTCTTGGGTGTTCGCAAAATCCTCGGAAAGGCCAGACAGGTCTCTGAGCACTTTGTGCTTGATGCAGACGTCCTATATACTGGGTCACTGAGTACCAGAATGAGCCATTTGTAACTCATGACTGCCTCGTGCCCCTCTTCCAAATGGTCGAAGCTCGTTCTCACGATGATCGGCTGCCTTCATGCCACAGGGTGTTAAGCTCAGACACCGGTGAGTGCGCTCACCTTGCCAGAGCCATGTGTGTCTCATGCTTCCTTCTGTCAGCGTTGCAGGCGAAGTCCAGCAAGCCCGAGGTCGTCTACGTCCGACGACTCTTTTGAGTCGGCATCCATGGGCTCGACGTCGAGCGGACCTCGCGTCGCATGCATCGCGCCGCTATGCGGTGACGCGTTGTGTTGTCCCACAACGCTGACTGTGTACGGTTGCTTGCCTTCGAGATTATTCGTCTTCTTTTGCCGTTGAAGGCGATAAATCAATGACCTCCACCGCATCTTGCCGATCTCACCGGAATGCGCTTTTGCCAAAGCCGCTTCTTTGTCTGAACGTGACTGTCGCAACTTGTGAAATCGAGCCGAAGTTGTGCGAAGCGCAGCCTTCTCAGAGTAACGCCGGGCGTGCCCGTTTACCTTTGCGAGTGTCCTTTCGTGCTCAGCCTCTCGTATTGTGGCTGATTGATGATTGTACTCGTTCGACTTCCCAATCCTCCCCCCTCGTTGTCTTGAAGGCCTTCCTGGACTATTAGTCAACAAATCGACTCGAGCGCGCTGCAGACGCTGGTTGTAGCTGTGCTTGTGTTCCTTCGAGTAGTACCGTATACCTTGCGTCTCACGTGTCTGCTCAGGGTGGGAGATTGTGTCGCTCTTGATAGCCATGCCCTCCATCTGTCTGTTCAAATCTCCTGCTTCTTGCGCATGTGCCGGCACGTGAGTCGACGCAGCCAAGGTTTCTTGTCCAGCAGCATCCTGGCCATAAGCAAGCATGGCTCGCACAGCTTCCTCAATCGTACCTTCCTCGACGCTTCGCCTTGCTCGCAAGAAAGCGAGAGGCGCCGGAGACTGCTGATCAGCACTAAGCATCCCACTCATCAGAAGCGCCGCGATGCACAGAGAAAGGAAGGTGCGATGAGCTGCATAGGCAGCATGCATCGTCTGCCTGCAAGATGCCATCTTTAGACCAACAGATATGGAGAGGTGCGGACAAATGCCGAAGGGACAAGGGACAAAGTCGGAAGGACCACCGGTCTAAATAGCTGGCAACTGATTTACAGACCTTGGGCCAATAGTGCGGTGTGACCGACTTCGCCACTTCACGTCCGATCTGAAAATGTTCGGGTGGCAAAAGCTTTTGCGTAATGACAATCGCCATGGGACTCAATTTCCCGCCCCTTTCATCAATAAAGCTTTGCTGCACAAGGGTTGTCTCAATTGGCAGTATTTTGAATGGCTACCTCCCCAGAGTTGGCGTCCAGCCCTATGGTGAATGTAATTAGAGATGAAAGCCGAGCAGCCAATCAAGCGGACGTAACTGCACCACTTGTTGCGAGTGCCTTGGTGTCTGCAATGCCGCCAAGTAGATCGCTGCTCCAGTCAAGGTTCAATATGACAGAGGATGTGTGGTTTCGTTTGAGAACTTGGATACAAGTTTGAACGCCACTTTGACCATGAATGGGCCGGTCCTGATCCAGATGATGAGGACAGACTCCTGCGTGAACCCCTCACCATTTGTCTTCCCCTCTCACCTATCAAGGCCAGTGCATATGCGGTGTTGCGCATCCAACATTGTCAAAGCGGATGCCCAGCCTCTGTTCAGAGATCTCTTCAGCTTGCTGAGTATCTGCTTCGCTTGGTCTGCATTGGTGAGTGGGTCAATAGGCACGCCTGAAAGATTGTGGTCTGGCAGGGGGCAGAACGCGCTGGGGTACAGGTTGCTGATGCCTTGGCACTGGCCATCTCATTGCTGCCAGATTGCCTGTCCGCATGGCGTGATCTTCCCAAATTCGCCAGGGCAGGCAGCAATTTGACGCCATGCCAAATTACGGAACCTTAAAGAGAGAGACTGAGGGAGACTTTTAAGCTCGCGTCGAGCGACCTGCTTCGCTTGTGGGAAGTGGACCGGGTTCCCGCGTGGGACTCGTGAGTATGACGAAGGAAGCAAATGAAACACTCGAATTTTTTGAGGCTGGCATGTCAGCAGGGCAACGGTCGTGACTGACCCAGGGACGCGTTCATACATCACGACCACAGCCATAGGACGGCCCTCGTCAAAAGTTCAACATCGCGTGCTGCAGCTGAGTTCACAGCTCCATGAAAGTATTCTTGCCGCCCAGGCCCGCCCATCTTGAGTCAATGTACTGTCTGACGTCCTCTCCCCGTTTCTCCTACAACGCCATGAGTGTTGGTCTTCTCACAATGTAGTCAGCGCAGAGATACACTTTGCCGTCTCCGGCGCGCGATATCAAATGATGCTCGGCACTCGTGCGTAACAGCCTCAGTGTTACTCCCTTTGCTCAAGGCGCGCGAAGCATCTGCCCAATCTCAGCCGCTTCTCCTACGATACCGCCGTTGTGTTTTTTTTTTTTTTTTTTCCTCGTCGGCAGTCATTCCTGTGCTCAAGACGCGTCTTAAAACTCGCGACTTTGGAAAAAATCCTAGCGATTGTGCGGCCAGAAGTTTGCTGAGCTCTTCAACTTCTTAAAGTGTACGTTGTTTGCCTTCAATGCGATGGGCCTTGTGATCAAATTTCTAATTTATAAGTGTGCCTCAGCCCGCGGGGAGAAGGAGGCAAGTAACCAAGAGGGCCGGTCTCCGTGTGTCTGTACACACCCTCCAAATTCGGTGATGGCTGACAGAAAGGTGGCTTTGGTTGATGGTGGAGTGAACGAAGCAAATTGCAAGTCAAGAGACAAAAAGAGACCGAAGAGTGTTGTGAAATTTTAGGCGTCAAAGAGCATCAAGCTTTTTTTGCTCTGCTGGGCAATGTCTCGCACAGAAACAACTCTCGACATAATTTTCTTGCTCAGAACTCAACGAAAGCGGTGAAGACCAAAACGAGCAAGCTCTAAAAAGCAGTCTTCGTGCCTTGAGGAATTTTCGTGTCAAAGACCCAAAAAGCGTCAGGCTCGTGCAGCGCGACCTGGATCAAACTAAACCAGGCAATGCAATCGAGTACTCTCGCGCTCAAATTTCATTTCGCAGCCAGACAAGGGGCAGCCAATAATTATCTTAGAGACCTAGAAGCATCATCTCACCTCAAAAGGCCAATGAATTTTTTGCACCTTTATCACTGCTTGAGTCTGTGCAGCACAAGCTGCGAGAACCTCAAGGGGAAAAGCGCCCAGCTCAAGATGATTATTTAAGAGAGAAAGCTCCACCATACTTCGATCTTGATAAAGCCGAAGACAAAGCAGCTCATTTGTTCGGACTGACGGTACTGAGAAGAAACGATACTTGTGAGAGTGCCATCGAATGAGTTCTTACGCAATTCTTTTGAGGCAGCGATGCTGTTGACACGATACAAGCCTTCCAGAGCACTCAGTACGCACGGTAAGTTTCCATTCACTGTCATGTTTTCACGCGTAAGTTTGTACCGCCTCGTGACGTTCAAACTGGCAGCAAAGACCAAGAAAAATACACCAATTGCTGCTTCGCCGCGACAAGATGGCGGTTGTCATGGCGCTGATGGCCTTTGAACCTTTCCACTGAAGACTCAGAGACTGATTCAATCAGAAGAGGGTCAGACATGGTTCGCATCGACGACGACGGAGTGATTGCGGTAGCGGGGGATCGGCGCGCTCAACAGCTTGCGAGCCATAAGACCCACTACACGCATGTGACGGTAAATTCGCCATATGATGTAATATGACATCTTCTCTCTGCCTTTATTCGCCCGACGTGCCTTTACGCTTGCATGTCCAAAAGTGACTTTGCGATTGACTGCGAGCATAGCCATGCCTGACAATTCAGCGTGTACAGCATAGAGATACGTGCAGGCAATGAAAATGAGGTCTGTGATGTTCCCGTTGTCTGGGAAACTATTTGACACGCGTCATCTTTGTGATCTCGAGCAAATTCAGTCTGCAAACCCCTTCGAGACCGAGGTCAGGTCATATTAGCTGCGTGATGTCCTCACGAGTGGCAGTCTTTTGGCCCTGGCCACGCCAGCCGGAGTCCTGTATGTGCTGTCACATCAAGATAGGCAGGGCTCAGCACACCATCAAAGCTCCAATCTCCTTGGGATCAATATTGTGCTAATGTCTTCACAGATCGTGATACCAGCAATTTTCGTTGTCTACGGGTCACGTCTCGCGAAGGCAAGAGACACCATCACTGCAAAATTAGTGCCACAACGCGTGGCCACCCCAGTAGAGAATCCCAACCAGTCTTCCTGAACCCGAAACGAAATGAGAATCAGGCAGAAGCATAATTTCTCTTTAGGTAAAATCTTCAGGCGCTAACGAAATTGGTGTATCCAATCGTATCATCTTCGTGACTACCTTCGGCTTTATCTTGACCATCGCGGTGTACTTTCGTACCAAATGTATCTCCAAAGAAGACGTCTGATCCGCTAGGAAATGGCCCTTGGCGGCATTTCCGACGGCGCACGGTGATTCAATCCGCAATGCATCAAGACACCGTCGTGCTTGCGTGCCTGCAAAAGTTACTTGAGGTGCTCATTGCGGATGAGGTGAGACTTGCACAGCCCACAACAAGGAGTAGTCCCATCGGTGTTTCCTTCATCATGACTCTTACACAAGAGCCTCGACCAGCTTCACCGAAGCTATTAGATCCTCGTTCAGCCGAATTCTACTGGTCACATACGGTATGCCAGATGTGATCACTGCTAATCTTGATCGAGGGAGAAGGCGTTCTGATGTTTCAATCGCTTGTGCAGACTCATGTATAGGAATCGGAATCTTGTTGTAGAGACGAGGTGGTCCCGTGTCGACTCGCGCTTCGGGTCAAACCCAGCAAAAAGGCAAAGACGAGCATTCGGGCTCCAACTAGCACGCTCAATTTGATATTGCGAGCTCCAGGAGCAAGCTCGAGAAGCTCAAGATCTCATCCCCGCAATACACAAAGGCATCCTCATGCACAGTGGCCTGCTTGCCAAAAACCAGCTTCTCTTGGTTGACAGCGTGCCTTTGCCTCTCTGCCATCTTGCTCTCAACCTCAAGTTGTGCAGTCTGCCACCATCCAGTTCAGCCCAGAACGAACTTGTTTGCCTAATTGGTGTTGCTTGTACTCCTTGACCAAACCTGCCGCCTGTTCGACAATGTCATAGTTGGTGATTTGGTCTCCAACAGGCAGTCAATGCACGCCTTTGCATCTGGCTCAAAGCAGTAGCTACCGCCCAGTCATGCCGAGGGAGGTGCAGAAGTTAATCGCCTTCCTCGAGCACAAGGAAGCAGAGAAGCAAGGCCGCAGTAAAGGACGAGGACGACCAGCTTCGTCGACAATTTCAGTTTCTTCCTGTCATCCCAACCCTCCACAGAAGCTGACGTTTTCTCGCGTGAAAGATGGCAGAGCGGAGGGGTCAGCAGACAGCGGGGATAAAGAAGGACACTTCTATAAGTACGTGTCCAACACCGCCGCACCTGCTGATTTGATCCACTTCGTCTCCATCGGAAGCGTCATCCAAATGATTCCTGACGGACAAGCTACCGCCCATGCGGCGGTAGCTACTGGACCAATTCGGACGCCGACTGGACCAATTCAGAAAAAACAAACAAGTGTCAGCTTGTATATTGATAAATGAGTTGCTGCTTGATGGTGACAGCCAATGGCACAGCATCATCAGAAAGCCAACTCCTGTGCATGCCCAGCATCATGCACTAGCTGTACGTAGCTTGATTGTTGACTTGCAAAGTGCCTACTTTATAAGGCTGCATGCTCAGTCACACGCACCTGCATGTAGGGTCCATTGCTTGTAATCCAGGGCAACTTTAGCCTTTGCGCCTTTGTATGGTGGGGCCAAAAAGACGCCAGGATCCAAAGAGCAATGGCGGGGTGTAAGGACTGATGATGACAAGGACGTGCTCTTGGCCTTGCTGACTGAAGACCCCTGCAGCAAGAGCTCTGCAGGTGCAGTCATTGATGGCGGGTTGATTGCGCTGCCGTTTGAGGACCCAACAAAGAACTGTGCCCAAATTCTTTGCAACTCCCGCATCCTGAGGCAAAGGATGTTACCTTGACGTCAGAACAAGAGTCCAGTTCTCACGCTTGATTCACATTCCATGATGGATGTATTGCGTAAATCACAAAGCGGAAGAAGCTACAAAGAAAGCGCGTATGAGCTGCTGGCCAAAATGTGAATGGCATGGGTGCTACTCAAACTCACTGCGCTTTAACAAAAACTTGCAAAGGCGCACCAAAGCTTTGAGGCAGCCCAGGTTGACCTCTGCGTTCACCAGGCAGGGGCCAAGCTCATTTGCCCTGTGCTTGAACTGGCGCTCATATTCTCCACTAATACCCGGGCAGAAGCAGGCCGCCTTTGTGTATTCCCACTTCTTCTTTGCTCAAACGACCTCCTCTTCAGCAATTCTCACTTTGGTTTTGAGCTTGAAGAGCTTTGGCTCTTCAGGCACGGTGATGATGGTAGGTTGGATCTGGGAAAGCAAATAGTGATCTCAGCGCTGATCAAGCCGCCCGATCGTGCGCGTCCATACTTGACACTCACCTCAGAATGCTGGCCCAGAGGCGCCATGCGCGCAATGAAGAGGCCATTGCCGCTCTTCACATGATCAGTGATGAGCTCACCCAGCAATTCACAAAGAGACCTACCGTTCCAGAGAGGTTGCCAGAGCAACTGGCAGAGATGCGTTAGGATCTGTTGGACGTGGCTGCCTACAAATTTGCACGGTGAGTCAGGATGAGGCAATTGAAATGAAATGTTGCAGGTGGCCAACATAGAGAGAAGCCCCGACTGACTCCGTCCTCATTGGTCTAGCGTCCGGTCCCAAAGCGACAATTCCCCACTCTCTGTCTCCTTCAACTTCCACCAACTTGGCCTGAGTCTTCTGCTGCGCAAGTCTGGGCTGCACTAGGGCCCAAGCGGACCCTGTGGCAGCATCTGACATAGCTGGCTAGCGACTCCCAGCAAGCTTGTGGACGCAGGTAATCCATCATGCATCTCTTCATGCTGACGGCGAGATGCTTTTTGACCTGCTTCTTCTTATCTTGCCTCTGTCTAGCCTTCTCCAGCTTCCCTTCTGCAACGTCGAGGCGCTGCCTCAAACCGGCCACCTCTGCTCTCAGAGCAGTCAGCTCAGGGTGTTCTTCAGTGAGTAGCTGATAAAGACGCTCATAGATCCACTGGTTCGCTGTCTCGGGGCCGTAGGGAAGCTGCGCGCATAGATGGAGAAGAGCTTGAGACGCCGTGTTGAGGCGCTTGTTGGTGGGGTCGGTGATGACAACAGGGTTCAGCTGGAAGGGCTTGGCGGTAGCTTGACTCGTTTCTTGCGTGAAGGGGCTGCTATTAGAGTGCGATTGGAGTCCGTCCTCGTTGGTCTAGCGTCCGGTCCCAAAGCAACAATTCCAGCTGCGCCTGACTCCGTCCTTGTTGGTCTAGCGTCCGGTCCCAAAGTGACAATTCCCCACTCTCTGTCTCCTTCAACTTCCACCAACTTGGCCTGAGTCTTCTGCGGCACAAGTCTGGGCTGCACTAGGGCCCAAGAGGACCCTGTGGCAGCATCCGACATAGCTGGCATGCGCAACAAATCCTTTGGCTGACAACTCGAGCACAGACTGTTGCAGGAGACACCAACCAAGGTCGCAAGGGTACTGCTGCCCATGCTGAGCCAATCCCTGGAGCGTCATCACTGCTCTTGCCTTGCAAACATAGTGCTGGTTGGGTTTGTTCAGGAGGAAGCAAGGCCACTGAAAGGGGTTGAATTGGTTGGCATTCTTTGCCATTGCATGCAGAGCTGCTTCTTTACCCTCTCGCGGAACACACGATCTCTCACACGCACGCCCACTTTGCTCACTGTGTGAAGATCAGCGCTCCTTTTGTTTCCGCGTTCATTTGCCCTCTCGTGGAGAACGTCGGCTCTTTGGCAGCACTGGCCACTGCTCACTTGATTTGCCCTCTCGTGGAGAACTTCGGCTCTTAGGCAGCACTGGCCAATGCTCACTGGATGAGCATTGGCCTTTGGCTTCATCGCCACGTCTAACTTAGACGTTGCAATGCAAATATCTGATTATCTCACCATGGTCATTACATGGTCAATCCAGCTGTCTCTGCCGGTGAGTACTTCCAAGTAGTGGACGGTCCGTCTGGGCATGGTCCAAATGGCAATCCAACCTTTCCAAGCAAGGCCATCTCCAACAACTCCATCACACAAAGTCCACCCTATGTTCATCAAGGCCATCATCTGCCACACAGCACCGGCATGCTGGCGATGCTCATTGTGGAGGCTCAGCAGCAGGACTTGTCAAACAAGGGTCCAAGGACAAGCAGGAATTGGGTAAGTCACTTAAACATTGTGAAGTAGCTGACTGAGCCTTTGCGGATAGACGGGGAGTAGGGCTCTGTGCCAAAGAGGTGTGATGGCAAGGAAGGCAGGGGCAGGTACGGTGGCCTATGGCCATGCTATTGGTAAGTGACACTCGCTGTGCGCAGTCGCAGTGAGGTGACTGAGCAGGTCTGATACTACCTTGGCCTACACAGTATGTACGCGGAGGCAGGCGCATGATCGAAGGCACCCTGAAGACATCAGCATTCAGACACGCTGACATCAACAGCAGCAACAGTAAGTCTATGCCGCATCCTTGCTCACTCAAGACTCTTGGATAGCTGAAACCTTGCCTCGAACACACCCACATGCCACCTTGCTTGCTACGGCTGCAAAGGCTAAGTCACGGCGGGGACTTAGCCTTTGCAGCCAGATAGATTGTGTTGCCCAACGCTGACTTTCCACCTCTCACAGGGTACCTCAATCAGCCTGCCTCCCACCTCAAAATCATGTCCAAACTGCACAACCCCTTTCTTTGCCGCCCCTCTGATAGCACATCCCATGCCCCGGCCTGCGAGCATAGGTGAGGAAGGTGAAAGCAACGCAGCATTGCTGCGATGGTGTCCTATCCAGCTCCGGCAACTGGATCAGTGGCCGATCTGCTCCTCAAGTCCTTGGAGAAACGTGGTGAAGTGCGAAACCTTGCGCAGGACTTGGGCGCCGATCGCGTCTACCTCCTTGATCTTGCAAAGTGCCAACCTCTCTTGGTGGCTCTTCTCTCGGTGGCGCTTCTCCACCTTGGCCTGCTAGTCGAGGCATTTGCTTGAGGAGACCTTGCAAAGCTCCCTCTGCGCCTTGCGCATCTCTCCATGGCAAAGTTTTTTACCATCCATCCACTTGTGCACAGTCTCCTTGCTGCAGATTGCGTGAGCGCCCAAGCCATTGCCCAGCATGTTGATAATGCGACAGACGGCGTGCGTGGTCTCAACAAATTTCTCTTTGATAAGGTCCTGGGTGTGCTGCAGAACCGTCGAAGTCTGATGCTGCTGCTCCTCAACAATTTTGACGTACTTATCAATGTGCTTGTTCAGCTTGTCACAAAACTGAGCGTTGAACAGCTGATGACTCTCGCAGACTTGCGGTTGAGTCGTCAATAATTCAGCTTCAATGGTTGCGGCGCCAACTATCAGCACTTGAGGCACTTCAAGTTCTTTGGTCTTGCGCTTGAGGTCCTTGTTCTCTGCGTGAAGAGCAGCAAGGTCCATCTTTTGGCGCTTGCAAAGAGACACAAGTTCAGCTTTGTGTTGGGCTTGAAGCTGGGCAAGCTCGCCACTGAAAGCGAGGTGGAGACGCTGCATCTCCTGATGCCCACTTGAGACTCACACAAGGCTTGAAGCTCTTGGTCTGCTTCCATTCTCATCTGCTCAACTTGAGCTGCAATTTGCTGGTCATGCTCTCGTCTCAGCTGAGCATAGAGCATCCTTGCTCGGATCGCTGATGGAGACTTGAGCAGCTCTGTCAAGTCTACTTTGCCATACCAGCTGCAGCTGGGCAAGATCAGTGCCTTGGCCATGCTCATTGTTGCGCTGTACCAGTGATCTGATCCGCTTCGCAATAGCAGCACCAGCGGTTCCGAATGGACTGCATCGCAAACCAATGGCACATACTGCTCTGCTTGTACAATCACACTCCCGTCAATGGTGATCACCACCACCACCCTTCCATACGCGCTTGCAGCAAGGGTGGCGTGTGTCCCAGCACCAAACCAGGCCGCCCAGTCATCCCGACAATTGTTGCGCGCGCACAGCAGCTTGTCTCAAGCTGTGAATGCTGCAGGAGCAAGTGCTTGAAAGAGGTGCTGGTGCGCATCCGCCGTTGCAGCAAGGTCTCTTTGCACCTCTAGCCACCTGTCCTCGCTGCCAAAGACAACGTGCGCAACTGCAGCAAACCCACAGTGGCCCAAACCGGGGGGATATTGCGACTTGTGTCACTTGCGATCTGTGGCAAGACACCATGGGCTCTCTGTTGGTCACCGCAAGAGTGAGAAGTGAAGAAGGACCTTGAGCGGTGTATACGCTGCGCTTGGGGTGGAGATCATGGTATTACAGAGGTGGGTGACGCGTACAGTAGGGGGCAATATGGGCGCACGCGCACAGCGGGAGCTGCAACGCCTATGAACGTGCATCAGGATCGCACGTTGCTGGCTGCTTTGCGATTGAAGTCAGAGATAATGAAGCTGAGAGGTGCAGTGCTGGGGCTGAGCGTGCATTGGGATTGCACGTTGCTGGCTGCTTTGCGATTGAAGTCAGAGATGATGAAGCTGAGAGGTGCAGTGCTGGGGTCTGAGCGTGCATTGGGATTGCACATTTCTTGGTTGGGCGCAGGTTGCTTTGGACTATGGACTACAAAATGAAGGTTGCTTGCGTTTGGATGCTCTTTATTGAAGGGTCCACATGCTACTTGAAAGGTCAGCCAGGGAAGAGAAGCTTGGATTTACGCATCAGCAGGTCACTCTTCCGGCCAATTGCCGCACAAAGTCAGTCGACACCGAACAAGCCAGCAAGGCTGGCCCCAACGGTGGTTATCGCACTCACCACATAGAGGTATGGGACCAGGAGTTTTGACGGGCGACCGAGGTCCACTCAGATAGAGAAATACGGGGCTTGAACAACAAACAGCAAGGTGAGAGCAGAGCAGAGCGAGCAGGAGGGGAGCTGCAGGACTAATCCTGCAGCTCCCAAAGGAGAAAGGCTCTTTGTTCAGTACAGATTTGATAGAGCGTTTCACATTTCCCTTGGCACCGTCACATTTGAAGGCGCGCTAGTTGCGCGTGCCATGAGTCCAAGTCTGCTCCGCTCTGCTCCTTTTCTTTCTGTAATGTTGTGAGTCACCCGGGACCGTTTGTAGCCCATCTTTCCGTTTGTTGGACCAGCAATTCCCTCCACTCCTGTTGTGTCCCTACTCCTCTATGTGATGAGCGCAAAGCACCAAAGTCGATGTCTTCCAACATGCAACAAACAACCTTCCAAGAGCGTGCTTCAGCAACCAAGCAAACCACCTGGCCTGCTACCAAGTGAACACAAGGCGCTTTCAAAGTGACGCAAAGCATATTGACCCTTGCAAGCAAGCCCCTTGTATTGCTATTGTCATGCTGCCCCTTGCGAAACCCTGGTATCGCTGTTGCGACCTGCAAATCACATTAAGTCAGTGGGAGGTTAACTTGGTTGTCGTACACTTGCAACTCACTCAAGCAAAGATCATTGGCACATGTAGTGCCACCGCACTGATCCAATCAGAAACTTTGGCAGCTTTGGCAACTTCAGCAACGGCAACTTCAGCAACTTCAGCGACCGTACTTGCTTTGTCTGCATGTTGCCAGAGAGTGAGAATTGCGGAACCTGCTCCCTTTCAGTTTCCAGAAAGCTCCTTCCAATTGCCAGAGAGAGACCAAATGATCTGGGTGCTCTGCCAAGAAGTCGGTATTGTTGACCCGCAGATCCAGTCCTTTGACCTGCAGGCAGTGAGGACTGCATGCCAGAATTTGGCCCCAAGGTCACCTATGACATCTGTGAACTTGATGGGCATTGGAGGGAGTGGTAAATGTTTTAGAGGCGGCAGAGAGAAGGGATTTTTGACAAAGTTCAAGACGCTAAGTTTGAACTTGTCTAGCCAGTGGATAGGATTGATCTCCATGGTGACTGTCAGATGGAGCTTGAAGTAGTTGACCAGTCATTTGGGAACTTTGTTTGGATGACGAGCCCACTTGGTGAGCTCGTCTCCAGCAAAGTGCCATAGAGTGACCCTTGCCACTGCTACGGCAGCAAGCATCAGTCCCAAAATGAAGTACTTTTGTTGGCGCAGACCCGTCTTTGCTCTGATGAATGCTATCATCGACCGGACGTGGAAGGACAAGCACCCAAAGTTGCGCTCCCAATCAACTCTTTGCGCCAATGTGATCCGTCCAGAGCACGATGAGCTGGACTGGGATCACTTTGCCAAGTCTAGCTCTGACAAGCTGTACAGTTGCGCGATGCACTCCATTGAAACTTGCTAGCAAGCTTCAGGCGCTTGTTCTCTGATGCAAGCACCTCTGCCTTCTCCTCCAGCTCTTGACACTCGATTTGAACCTCCTTTTGGAGGTGCTCCTGGTCAGCCTTGTGCTGAGCCAAGGCGGCCTGGATCAACTCCTTTACCTGAGTCTCAGTCATCAGGTTCTTCTCAGACTCAAGGGTGTGTTACCCTCAGCATCATCACTTGTTTGCTTTGCCATTGATGTTGCCTTCAAGATTGAAAGCATTGTTGTTGTGGCTAACATGACCTGCTTGCTCCACATTCTGACACAGCCTTGCCCAATCCCATCCTTCCAACCTTCAGGCATGCCGGTGCCACCAGGCGACCTAGAGAGAGGTGAGTGCAGCATGAGTTTGCACGCCGGCGCAAGGTGAGTCAGCACAAGCGTCGGCGCGCGGAGAAAAACAGCGCGCAAAACGCTATACCGTTCAGCACGTAGCGAGGTTAAACGAATACTATCTATCTATCTATCTATCTATCCAGCGCGGGCGAACGTGAGCGTGAACAGAAGAAAAGTTGCCAGACACGAGTCGTGCCAACCGCGAGACACTACTATCCAGCGCCATCGTGCACACTCGCTTGACCTCTGCTCGCCCGTTCACCGACTCGGCTCAGCGTCGTCTTCTCCAGTCGAGACCTCATCCAACCCCAAATCCGACACACGTGAGTCTAATGCAACATCGTGCACGGTGCCCCCCCCCCCCTCTTTTTTTGACTTTTCTTTGAGTGACTTTAGACACAAACAACAGCAAAGAAGGGGGAAGCAAAAAGAACAAAGATGCCAACAAGCAGACTTTCCGTGAGCGTGCCGCGTCCGTTGTACACGGCGCTGAAGCTCCTCGTGCATGTTCACACTTCCGACCCATTTAGGAGACTCCTACTCGATTCGAAGTTCTGATTGATGCTTACTACCAAGACTTTTAGAGGCTTGTGCATGTGCGTGTGCGTGTGCTGTGCGCGCGTGAGCATAGTGTGCTGTGCATGAGAATAGTGTGCTGTGCACGCGTGAGCATAGTGTGCTGTGCATAGTGTGCTGTGCATAGTGTGCTGTGCGTAGTGTGCTGTGCATGAGCATAGTGTGCTGTGCGTAGTGCGCGATCTCCAGGAGCAAGTGAGCTGCCTTCACAGTGCAGGCTCTGCTACTGCCGCCACCGCCACCCCAGAGGAGCTCAGGCTTACCAAGGTAGAGACCTCTGCTCTTCGAGAGTGCTTGGAGCGCATCGAGAAGGAGAAGCTTGCAAGGCCGCAGCCCGCGACACTGAGCATGCTGCCCTCCTTGCACGCATTGATCAGATAGCAGCCAGCGTCACTCCACACAACAATTGCGAGGCGGCAAAGGAGCACCTTCAGCGAGAGAACGCTGCACTCCATGCACGTCTTGAAGAGCGCTCGGACTCTATAACAGCCAAGCTGACAGATCTTTGTGCCCGCATGGTTGTGGTGGAAGAAGAGCAATTCTACCCAGTACATCGACGAGTCGAACAGGTTCAGTGGCAGAACAAAGATTTCATTCGGGATCATGATCCGCAAAGGGAACATCATTCATTGCACCCGACCCATTCCCTGACATGTGTGACATGTCTCATCGCCCCACAGAAAGCTACGAGATCGGACCCAAGACGCGTGCGAAGGGTAGAAATGTTCGTCAGCAAGTCTGGGTCGCAGAACACGCGCTGGAAGATACGCTTGACTTTGGATATCCAGCGGTGACATGAGCACAATCGCAGGCAACTCACCTTTCTCGAACTCCTCTTCCGCCACACTTCCAGCACAATCGACCTCCAATCCTTGGATCGCCCGGTCTCACAATGACAGCACCTGGCGGTGGCCGACCGTAGGTCCTTCCAAGGCTGGCCAAGTGAGACCCGTAGCCTCCACCCGTGCCGGAGGTTTGAGGTACAATGTAAGGACGTGGACCTCCTGGGTATCCCGTTGGATTGTGATGCGGCTGATGGTGCTGTGTCGCGGGATGAGCAGTGGGGTGTGAGTGAAAAGAGCCGTGATCATAGGCTCCAGGTGGTGCGGGCGAAGGACCGGGCGGCGGCCCGGTCGGACTAGCATACTGTTGTGAAGAAGGCGGAGGCGAGAATGCGCTTGCATTACTTGTTGAAACGCCACCTGGTTGGAGTGTACCCGTGCCACTCTCGGATCCTAAGCGCTGCGGAGGCAATCGCATATCTGGACGGACTCTGGCAACTTCATCGTAAGCAGGCGGTGCTTCGCCATCGCCATCTCCTTCGGCTTCAGCCAATCTGGCTTCTTCCGTACGATTTGTTCTCGGCGGCTGAGGTCTTGGTCTTGGTTGAGGAGCAGAAGCCGGCGACGGGGAAGGGGCCGCGTAAGCGCTCGGTTGGGCCGCAGATCCTCGTAGGACCGGCAAGACGGGGTTCGAGTAGAATGACAAAGCTCGCGAAGAGCCAGACCGCCAATCTGGCAGGCCTCTTTGCAGCTCGAGCTCAGATGCAGTGCGAGGATTGAGAAGAACCCGCACCACTTGCTCAGGGTACTTGAGTCCGTACGACGACCAGCAACGACTACACGGTTTCGAGGCATCTCCACCTTTGTAGCCCGTATTTGAGCCTGGACAGCAGATTGAGAGATTGACGTGTCAGGAAGCTCATGGGGACGCTCTGCTCCGAATTCAGCCTCACTCAGCCAGAGACCGAACAAGAGTGTGCTCTAAACTTTCATCGTACGAAAGGCCACTAAAATACTCACATTTGTGGCACTGCTGTCCTCTTGCTACGACCAGCAGGCGGTCTGCATTTAGAAGTGGTTGCCCGTACGTCGCCCGGCTGCGGGGCCAGTACCCCTCTGGAATTGGATCTGACACAGCAAGCTGCTCCACCAAGGCCCTATGAGGCGCTCCGTTTGCCGCGCTAGAGCGACGGAGAGACGGATGACGAGGAGGTGCAGCAGCAGTGCTTGCAGTGCTTGAGGCGCTCTGTTCAGTGCCGGGAGGAGGACCTGGAGGAGGGGCATAAGTAGCGGACGTAGGCGAAGCTGAGGTGCGCAAGGATCGGGACCTTCCGTCAGCATTGGAGCTGAATCACTTGCAAGCCGCAGCCCGCCGGAGGGTCGGCTAGAGAAGCGCTGTTTCAAGAGTTTCTTCGCACCAGTTCTTGCACTGGGAGCCGCCGGGGAATGCCAAGAGCGCTCGAGCTCTCGCGCCCGACCACCGCATGTCGGACGATTCGAGTGGCGCGGGGAGCCGCGTGTATGCCATCATCGACTCACCAATATTGGAACTTCGCTGAGTCGACTCAATCTCAATCTCTTCACCTCGAGCCAATCTAGCTGCGATCTCGGCATCCCGGGAAGTGTCTGGCAACACGCTCGGATCCGTGCTCGATACAGCAGCAGAAACCTGCAGAGGGACGGGTGTTGAGGTGTTCAGGGTCGTCGGTACAGGTGGTTCTGTGGGGCGTCGAGGAGGCAGATTAGGAGGCTGAGCGCTGGAGTCTGTCGCGGCTGATGAGGCAGAAGTGGTTGGCCCTTCGCTGTTTGCCTGCGCTCGCGCTGAAGCAGCAGAAGATCCAACCATGGGTGGGCTGACCGAACTGGTGGCAGCAACTTGCGCTTGCGCTTGCAGTGACGGCTGCAAGGGATTCTGATTGTCGAACATTGCGCTCCAATCATCCTCCAGCAAGGAGCTCGACGTTTGGCTTTGGGATGTTTGCCCTGACCCCACTGTACCCGCACTACTAAGAGCCGTGGTGAGGGGTTGGCTGTCGCTGTTCAGGCCGCCGAGAGTATTTGAGAAAGTGGCAGCATTGTGCGCTTGCGATGGCTGGGATAGCGTCATGCTGGATGAAGAAGGCTGAGCAGCTGCCACGACTGTGTGCGGTCGCGCATGCTGGTCATCACCATGGCTAGAGGCGACGGCTTGACCCAAGACGTGATCGAGGTCCTTCATGTCTGGGAAACGCTTCTCTGCTCCTTCAGGCTCGTGCTCGTGCTCGTGCTCAGTCAGCCCGCTGCGTGCCGACGATGAAGCTGGCAGCACTGGACCTTTTGTTTGTGGTGAGAGGGCCAAGGATGGGGAAGTAGCAGCTATCCCAGCACCTGCCGGTCTCATTCCCACTTCAAAGGCGCTCAGCTGCACTTTTGGCCTTTCGCCATTGTCATGGTGATTGCGTGGCGCTGCAGTCGAAGTGCTGGCTGTTTCGTCATCGTGCGAGCTTGCATCTCCTCTAAAGGGATTGTTCGACCTGAAAGAGGAAGCGTTGGAGCTGGATGCTGCGGATTGCCCAGTCATTTGATGCTGAACGTGTGCGCTCATGTCGACGACGCAATCACCAACGCTCGGGTCGCGAAGGCCGGGTATTGATTGTTGGCAAGATGACTGCGCGTGACCTCATCGACACTGTCACAAGTGTGAATGATGGCCTGCTTGGTCGATCAGCGTGAGTGCTCGCAGCGAATCGTGTCAGTTGCGCGATGATCACCAGGATTGTAAGCTGTGCTGGTCGAGGCACACGAATGGGGACTTGGTGATTGCTGATTTGACTCGTGATGCGTACATGGCGTTATGCTGAATTGCTTGGCGCCCTTAATTCCTGCTGCCCGCTTCAAATAAGTCATCTTTGTCGTGCGCCCCACCGCGGCCGGGTGCTGCACCCCGGCGCTGCTGCGCGCTGCTATGCATGCATGCATGCGTGATCTTGCGCCTCCACCTCAAGGGCCTTATCTGGTGTTAGGTTGCGCTGCAGTCATTAGTCACGTGCACATACGATTTGGACCTCATTTCTGATTTTGATTCAGGTTTCAAAATTCACGATTCAAATTCTTTTTTGTAAATTTCTTGATTCCCATTCGTGATTCAAGAATTTTGCTTCAAAGCCGTGTACTCGCCGTCAACGTGCACTTGATCATCACTCTGGATAGTCATGCCGCATCCTTCATCGAAACCGAAAGAGGATCTTGACAGATTCGCGATTGTTGTTGGAGATGGAGCGCGCACAGAGCAGTCGTTGAGCGGAGCTCCGTGTGAAGTCAAGCCCCACCGAGCTTTGGCTGTATGCATGTGCAGTAGCCCTGCTTGTGGAGTCTACAGTGGTGAAGCTCTTGTCAGGTCAGCCAAGTCAATCTCAGTCTGCAATTCGGAAATCGCTTCCACTCAAAGTCAAACTTTTCCGCCAGCAAACTCATGACGGAAAGAGGATGAAGAAGCTCATGGCGGTGATCACGCATGGCTGCATGGCTTCGCTTCGAGCAGCATGCAGCATGGCGTGCTCACGAGCAGCTTTTGTGACCCACGCTAGCTCGTCGCAGCCACGAAGCGAGGGAGGCCGTGCGGATGTGGCCACCGAAGGAATTTGACTGCCTGCTTCCCGTTGGAGGGTACAATGTTTGTGCAGACGCAACTCTCAGCAAATGCGTGCATCTCGATTCACGTTGAAGTGGAAAAAGAGGACGACCAAGTGATCCCGGCAGAGCAAACGCGATTGGGATGAAATGTGATTCGTAGGCGTCTGCGAGTGTAGAATCGCAATCTACAAATCCTTGCCGACCTTGTACTGCAACAGACGGCCTCAGCTGCATCAGCTGAGGCTGCAAGTCGTGCGCATCATACTCAACTCTATTCCGACATGCTCACCTGACTCAAATCAGTATCGGGCTCCAACTGACCATTCCTCTGGTTCCTCTTTGCGCCAAAGAAGGTGTAGCTCAGCACCACTTCCTTCACATCCCTCGCCGAAGGGTCCTCCATCACATCCCGGTCTATGAAAAAGAATACTGGCAGATCGACCTCTTCGCCTGCAAGTAGTCTCTGCTCCTCAAAGCAAAAGCATTCCACCTTTGCAAAGTAGGGAGCGATCTGCGATGCAGCGCAATCGTTGATGATCATTAGTCTGGCTCATTCTCATGCGAGTATAGCCTTGACGCAATGTGCGCCTCCCATGCGACACCCGCTGGCAGGCAGGCTGGGCTCACCTTGTCTGGCGCTACATTGTACGTGGCGATGCCCGTGATATCCTTTGCACCCTTGTTCCAAGCCTTGTAGAATGCCAGGGCAGTCTCTCCGGGCAAGACCCAAATCTCCTTTTGACTGGGTTCGAACTTCCACGGCAGAGCATCGCTCGAGTCTGCATTGAAGGTGACTCGAATCCTTTGCGTCTCTTTGCCTGTGCGCGGATCCAGCCATGCTGGGATGAGGTGCGTGGGCGCATACCTGCCCAGGCCCACGATGGGAGTGCCGCTGAAGCCGGTCTGTGCGCAGAATGCTCGGTATAGCGGCACCGCAGCGTACGTCACACCCACGCCGAGAATGAACTTTGCAAAGGCGCGCGTGCTAGCATGTCAGCTTTGCTTGACTCTTGCTTGATGTGTGGGTGGTGTGCGTGTGCGCGTGCGTGTGCGTGGATGTGTGTGTACGCGCGCCGGCTGCACTCACAGTGGCTGCAGTGTACAGCAGCAAGCTGTTGTTCCTTTGCGAGTAGTACGCCCTCCTTCGCTCCTCCTCCAATCGAGCTCGATCTGATGCGCTTGGACCTGTTCGCGGTGCAGAGGGTGTGGGAGCGGGAGAGGCGCGCGTGGTGGTAGTGGAAGCATGGCGTGCAGCCACGAGGTGCGACGGCGACCATGCAGGGCGTGTTGAGCGAGATGACGAGGCGGTCGCAAATGGCATGCTACGAGAAGATGCGCATTTCGAACAGAGTGGCCGCAGTGAACTGTCATAGCCTGATGATCTGGCTGAGGAGCGGGCTGGGCGGGGCAGAACAGTGCGAGTGAAGAAGATGCCTCGCAGCGCCTGGGAGTGGGAGGACATGGCTGTGCGCGCGCCTGTCGAGGACGAGATGGTGGCGGCAGCCATGGTGGCAGGTAGGGAGAGACAGGTCAAGACCGAGTCGTGCTTTTGGACGACCAACATCGAGCAAGTCGACTTGCTGGGAATCAAATCAAGAATCACAATGATGAGTCACTCAATACGGTACGTACCTGCTTGACTCAAAACTCAAAACTGCACTCAGACTGCCTGGCTCAATCAATGAATCACCATGCATGCAGCTGCACCGGATGGAAATGTCACGTGATACATCCTCACCCAATCACTTTGGCGTCACGATTCGTCATTCACATCATTCACGATTCTCGATACTGCAAGTGCGCGCAAGCATATGAACTACTCAGACAGCAGGACATCGAGCCAAGAGACGAGTAAGTGAAGCCATGAGACATGGACTGGGAGGGGGACATGAAATTTGGTGGAGAAAGTCTGAATGGCGAGTGCCGTTCCACGGGGTCTAGGACGAGCAAGAGGGCATGCCAGTGTAGAGCGGTCTTCCAATGGTGCACAGCCTAGCCGCCTCCTCTCGGTGCTGAGGTTCTCCCACATCTTCGCTGCCCCACTCATTGAAGGGCTCGTAGCACATCTGCACATGATCGATCACAAAGGCGAAGACATCAGCATGACGGAGCGTGTCAAAAAGTGAGCGCAAGGAGCACGACTCACATTCAATACGCGCTGCAAGAAATCGGTATCGTACTGCCTCTCTAGTCGGTCGACTACCTCATCAGTGACCCAATTCCTCAAGACAAACTTTGGATTCTTGCTCTTCATATGCTTCGTGACTTCATTCGGAGACCTATTTTGATCCTTTATGGCCTGTCCAAGCACCTCGAGCCACTTCTGAGCTTGATCCTTCTTGACGGCTCTTGCGTACGCTGGAATAGTGGCCTCGTCGAGCCACTGCGTGCTGAATGCCTCTGCCGCCTCTTTAGCATCTTTGGAGGCGAGCAGTGCAGGAAAGTCGCAGAGCTTTCGCAGGGAGTTGGTCAAGTCTGTATCTTCCAGCACGTCAAGCAACGGGTCGATCAGGTACTTTTCTACATTCTCGTCCGCTGCAGACTTGGTCGTGGCATCCTTGACCAGGCCCAAGCGGTCTCTCCAGCCATCGCGATAATGCTCCTCCAAAGTCGTCTTGAAGAGCTCCTTTACCGACTCGCGTGCTTTCTCTTCACCCTCGTCGGAGAGCATCGTTAGTTCCTTCTCGGGCAGATCGAGCAGTTCGCCAGGCCTGACAGCTCTGCCGCTCTTCTCTTCGAGCGCGATCAAGGGGCTCAAAACGAATGTCAAATGCTCAATGGCAAAAGCGCCGGCTGATGGTTGATTCTTGTATCTGCGTGGCAATCAAACATCCGTTGTGAGAGTCAGCGAACATCAAATCATTAAATCGCCGCAAGGCGCATGCTCACACGTAGCGCCCCTCGCCATCACTTTTGTTGCTGGAAGCTGCCTTGTCTACAATGTCGATGAAGCCATATGGTCCGTAGTCTATGGTGAGACCTAGCATGCTAATGTTGTCCGTGTTCATGACTGGCGTTGGTCAGGAAGAAAAGAGCGAGCAAATGTCGCAAGATTAGAGCAACGATCCTGGGCTGCATGAAATACGACCCTACTCACCACCATGTAAGAAACCATAGACTTGCCAAAGAGCAATGGTTCTTGCGTTCCGCCTCGCAGCCTCCTCGACCAATATCCTAGCCCAAGGTTTGCCATCCGTCAAGTCCCAGCCATAGCCAATCCTCGCCACCCACTCTCCCAAGGCCCTGACGGATTCCCACTCGCCGCGCGAGGCTTGGTGCTGGAAAGAGCCGACGCGTAACCAGGAGCGAGCAAGTCGTGTGCAGATACCTGCTGTTTGAGCTTTCTCACGTATCACCTTGAGCTCTGGCAAAGAGACGAGCGCGAGAGCTCTCGATGACGGGATACCCAGGGCAGCGACGCTGCCAAAAAAAAAAAAAAAAAATCGAATTGTGAATGTCAGCGCGAATTCCACTTGCCAATTCCCTTGCTGCCGTAGCTGTTGTGCTCACGCTTCCGATCCGAGGTACTCTCGCGTGGAGCTTGCAAGAGTGGCAAGGCCATCCGCAAATCTGGAGTAAGGTGTGCGACCAGCACCCTTGAGCTGAACCTCCGTGCGAGGCTCCGGTGTCTCGACTGAGGTCAAGAGAGGGCGCGTATAAGCCCGCGCTCGGCTCTCATGGCCTCGTGCGGCACTACTCACACAAAGTGATGGCGCGTCCGTCACCGAGCTGCCCAGCCCATACGCCGAATTGATGCCCAGCATACGCGTTGGCCCAAGGAGCATACTCTGAGTTTTCAGCTCTCTCGACTCTTTCCTTCTCTCTGCGCTGCCACCTCTCCTTGGAAGTCTCTTCCTCCGACGGTTGCACGGGCTTGACGATCTGATCAGTAGCGAAGCGAGCACCAATGACTCGACCGCTCAGCACATCGCTTAGCAGCTGTCGAGAGTGCGCTGGTCCGTCTTGTTTCGAGACCGACGCCGCTTTAGATCCGCTCGTGTACGCTTCGGCGTCGCGCACGCCTTGATGAGATTCGATCCATTCTTGAGCATCGCCAATGTCCAGGCCTGGCAAATGCTCCTGATGAGCCCGACTCGCCACGCCAAGCAATCGAGCAGATGGATAGTCCTCTTTCTCTCTGCCCCGAGGCAAGTACGCTTGAAGACCTTCGTCTTGTTTCGCATCATCTCGAGCTTTGAGAGGCGCATACTCCCTAAGCAGCACCTCGATCCTCTTTCCCGCTTTTTCCTGCTCCGTCAGCGGACCACTCTCGCCCACCTGCTCTTCCCTTTCCAAGATCTCGTTTGCATGCTCGATTTCCTTTTCCGTGAAGTCATAAGGAAAGCTTAGGGGCAGAGGATCGACAAAGGAGAAGAGCGCTCCGCTGCCTATCGCCCTGCTTCTACGCGTGGCGGAAGGTGCGGAGTTGGGACCTCCCAAAAGGCTCGAAGCGCTCGGAATCGCGGGGTCCGATAGCAATTGCGACTGCAGTCTGTCAGAGACGGGCGGCAGTGGCAAGCGCAAGATGGGCACGCGCTCGCTTGGCTGCTCTGTCGACACCATGGCGCTCGTAGAGATTTGCCGACCGAAAGTCGCAGCGCGAATTGGACGTAATGTGATGCCTGGTAGCTGCGCAAATCTCGATGGATGAACGACTTGCATAAGCATATGTGTGACTTGGTCCACAGCTTTGCGTGATGCTTTGCTGAGTGGGGGTCAGTGATCTGAGAATGGACTCGTGACTGCATTCAAAGACGAGATGGTGTTAGCTCTTTCGGCAGTCGTGAGTGCATGGCCCAAGGAGAAGGGTTGTGCTGTGGACGGCAACATCCGCAAGATCAGGCCGCCAAGTGGAGGCCGTCCAAAGAAATCGCGTGATGTGCTTGTGCATGGCGTGGCAGTCAGTCACGAGTGCGCGAAGGTTCTCGACCACACGGCTTGACTCACTCACTCGCACGAGAAGGCCCGGCGAGAGAAGGAATGCGAATGCAGCCAAAAACGTCAGATTCCCCCTCGCAAGCTTCATACCCCCTGTCTGCTGCGTAGCGTAGCGCGGTTGTGTGCTCACCGGAGCAGAGCTGCAAAGCATGAGATTCGTAAAGCGTTGAAATCGCGATAGTGCTATAGTGGCTGTACAGGGCTTTCAATGCTGCTGTGAACGTTGTTCTTGGAATCGTGAATGCTATTCGTGACTGATGTGAAGGTGGTACATGATGATGAAGAGTGCGAGGTTCGCCTTGACGTGGTGTGGTGCAGCACGGTCGTCAACAAAACCTTTGAGGAGTTGCGTTGCATGCTGGGCTGTGCGCGCTTGAAAACAAGCTACATGTTCCGGCTTGGACCATACAACCGACGTGAATAGTCTACGTGCTCTTATCGTGCGCAGCTGAAATATAGTGCTGCTTGTGTCCTCAGCCAAGCTTTCGTGCGATGGCCAATGATGTGGGTAGCGGAGGCTGTGGAGCCCAGAGAACGAGTGGCCGAATGGATGCCATGATGGCCATGGCATGGACGATCGTGCCAAACTTTGAGCGTGACTGCGCATCACTGACATTCGTGAATGCCAGTCAGTAGCAATGAAGAGGGCGGGTGGTCTGGACAATAGAGCAGTTAAGGTGCGTCTGTTAGCGTGTGTCGCACTCATAAGCAAATTCGCGCGCATACAGCCACATGAACTTTCAATCCCCCTTGTATGCGTCAGCGTAACTATGACATTTTTTACGCTTTCATCGCTCATAAGAAGAGCAGGGCGCGAGTTCAAAACTCAGCAAGCCCCATGCCTCCAAAGCTAAGCGACATTTGGGAAAAATTTTGCATCTTTCGCACATCTAGCAACGCCGACCCCATGGCCCATCACCAACTCACATTCTTGTCTTTTGAAGATGATCGATGCACTACGAAGCCCGTGCCTCTCTTTGTTTCTCCACGTCCAAATTAGCTGCCAATCTAGCCAGCGCACCTCCTACCAATCCGCTGCCTCCTCCACTACTCGCAGCCGCCGCAGCATCACCAGCTCCGGCAGCTGCCGTTCTCCTCTCAAAGTTCTCTATAAAGGTACCGAGCATCGCTGAAGCGTCGTCGAGGGACTCCGAACGTTCTTCTACGATTCGTAGACGTAGAGGAGGATCGAGTGGTAGATCCATGATGAGAGGAAAGCAGAAGCTAGACGAGGAAAGCTTGTGTGCGCAGTGAGGACGAGCAAAACTTGGAACGCGATTCGCCTGAAGTGATGCTCGGTCTCGCGCTACCACAAGGAGCCGCGAGCTGATGAAGAGCGAGGTGCGATGGGAAGAGTGAAAGAGCCGACAGACGCGCTTGGTGAGAGGTGGAAGCAGACGCATAGAGCACGCACGGCAAACTCCTTATTCCTGCACACGCAGACAAATTTTGTGGCACGTGGTGCTGCTGGGCTTAGACGCGCGCATCGATCGCCTGACTCGTCAAGACGCGGCCACCGCGGCAGTCACGCGTCACGAATCGTGAATGATGAATCTTACCCACCTCACACGCATCTTTCGACCAGCTCCGACAATCACAATCTGAATCGATGTTTCTCTGACCCCAGAAAGTCTCCCAAATGCAGGTCAAAAGCCAGCGATCTGGACCGAGATGATTCGCTCATTCCCTCTTGCTTGAGTGACGCGAGATACAGCAACCGCGCAACTGTACTCGTGATCAAATCTGCGCGAAGGGTTGAAAGATGACATTGGATCACAGGCACGGAGGCCAAGAAAAATAGCGGACGGCCAATCAAGGCGTCAACGCCCCAAGAACAAGCGATCGAGATCAGCAAAGGAGAGAGAGAGTGGGGGCAAAGATGTGACGATGACGCGCAGATCAGCGCGTAATAGTGACAACAGGAGCAAAGTGACTACACAACACAAATCAAAGAGTAAGGACGGTGTGGGAGGACATTCGAAGTGTCCTATGGAGTCAAGTTCGAGTCGAAGAGGCGTTCGAAACACTGCGGAGATGGCAGCAGGGCTAGACTGCTCAGACGACTGAGTGCATCGTGTGAAGTTTTGTCGATAGCGCGACGAGCCGGCTAGCTAGCATACTGGCTGCTAGCGCGGCTGTCCCTCTCGTGTCCGCTGCGAGCATGCTGAGACCGACGGTTGTCGTTGCCAAAGGGATCAGCTTGGCCGCTCAAGAGGTCTTCGCCATGCTGTGCATACTCGTCGATAGATTCAGCATCGTGGTCGACGACGACGACCGAGGGAGGTGCAGACCTCTCGATGATCGAATCCCTCCCAAATTTGACCTTGGTATCGCGTCGAGGTGGGTCTTGGACTGCATCCTTGAGCTGTGGTTGCGTATCAGATCCAACAGAGTCTCTGAAAGGTCCACTGTCAATGTCCGAGGTGGCATCGAGGAAAGGATCAGAGCCGGTCGAGTAGCGTGCGACACGAGTTCCTCTTTGCAGCTCCTTGTAGGGAGAAAAGGACTTGGAGGCGCTCACAGCTGCACCGGCAGCATCCATACCAGGCTGGCGCGATTGGTAGCCGTTGTTCTTGGTGACACTTCCGTCGTAGTACATGTACTCTGTGCGGTTAGTGGAAGAAGCCTGCTTGCGGTGGCGAGCTCTGAACTCTTCGCGAGATATGTAGCGCGCAACACCGCCAACGGAAGAGAGAGAAGCATGCTGAGAGGAGGTGGTCTGACTGCTGCGGTCTGCGCTGTAGTTGGAATGAGACGCCGCCGAGGAGGTCTTCGCTCCGAATGTGCCGGCAGCCGCTGTGCCGTTGCCGTGGCCGGCAAGGTTGTCTTCCATCTCCTGCATGTAGTGATTGAGACCAACACTGTGAGCGTGGGAAGTCTCGGCCTCAGAATTGATGGACATGTGAGTTTCGCGTGATTCTGCCGTCTGGTACGCATCTGTCCCGCTTATGCGAGAGCCGGCTTGTGCCGAAGGGAGATTGTAGAATTGGCCTGCCGCGTTGTTAGAAATGCCAGCTGCCATAGCGGGAGGTGAAATTGATCGGACCTCATCCGAGTACGAAGGGGCCATGCTCAGACGCGCGTGATGACGCTCGCTCATGTGAGGCTCTTCCGCCTCGTCGTGGAAGGGGTCTTGAGCAGCGTTGTCATCCGTGCCATCCGCTGCACCGTAGTAAGTCGTTGTGGGTCGTCTGAGCCAGCTTTCTCCGCTGAGACCCTTGGCGTTGCGGCTTCCGGCGACGGTGTAACCCGGATAGTGACTAGCTCTACGCTCCTTGACAGCATTTCGGCGTCTACGCATGACGATGAAAACTAGAAGAGCACCCGCAATGAGGGCGGCAACGATGCCGATCGGTACACCAATCTTCGACCCGTCCGATTTGCCCGGATCTGGAGAGTTTGCATCCACGACGGACGGTGTGGTGTGACCACCGTTGCCATCTGGGAGACCTGTGCTCGTTGGAGCAGCGACGATTGATGTCTGAAGGCTTCCGTTGGCGTCCGTGAAGCTGATGGTCTGCGATGCGCCATTCACATCCGCGGCACGTTGCGCATCGCTCGCTATCGACGTCGAAGCAGAGTCGTCGTCGTCCTGAGCGGCTACAACGCCTTCGGAGCCAGGACTCGAGCTGCTGTTGGCCCCCGTGCCGCCGGCGTTGGAGTTTGAAGCGCTGGTGCGCTGCGCATCAGCTGGTGCCTGATCACTCGAGGCGGCAGAATTGGTGCCTTGCCTGCTGTCACCTTGGCCATTAGAGCTTGGCGCGCCGCCTCCGTCAGAAGTGTTGCCCCTGTCGCTAGCTCCAGTCCCACTGTTGCCGGAGCTCTGCCCGCCGCTGTGGTTATTGTTGTTGTTGTTACCGTTGCCAGAAGATCCGCCACTGTTACCTCCATTGTCCCCCTTCCCGGCTTCTCCACCGCCACCACCGCCACCTCCACCACCGCCACCGTTGTTGTTTCCTCCATTGTTGGAAGGCGGAGCTGGCTGTGGGGAAGGTTGGGGTGCTGGTTGCGGGGAAGGTTGAGGCTGAGGTTGCGGCTGCTGCTTATGCCCTCCAAGCAAGCCACCGACGAGGTCTCCAACACCGTTCAAAACGCCGGAGATGAGCCCTCGCTCGGCCAACTCAGAAGCTTGCACGTCATCGTCGCGCAGCCCGAGTCCACCAACGACGCTGGCCACAATTCTGACAGCGTCGCCCGCTACGTGACCCACATTGTTCACCGCAGCAACGGGAAGATTGACAGCATCTCCAACTGCAGCGCCGACGTCCCTCTTGAGCCCGAGGCCAGCAGCGCCACTTGCTGCAATCTCAACAGCGTCGCCCGCGACATGTGCCACGTCGTACACGATCGCTGGGGGAAGATTGATAACGGCTTCGACGACCTTTCCAGCGTCTCTCTTGATGCCCAGTTGACCGAGTGCGGGTGTGGTCTTCAGCAGAACGTCGCCACCAACGTGCGCGACACTATTGACTACGTCGACTACTCCATTGAGGGCGTCGCCTACAACATCGCGTTCGAGAGGTCTGACAGCTTCCAAAGTGCGCTTGTGTCGGCGACGCATCATGCCGGCCGAGGCAGTCGTGGTGTCCATCTTGATGATCTTGGAAAGAGGGGGGCGAGGATGCAAAGAGTGCTGAGGATGAAAGTCTACTCTGTCGTTATTTTGCTGAGATCAGCGTGGTCCGGAAGCAAAAGAATGTGTTTCGATCAAAGAAAGGGAAAGTAAAGAGCGTATGGGATGAAAGGAAAGGCACAGTCAGACGACTACAGGTATGTCTGGCCCCAGCGAAAGCTGCGCTGCCTGTTTTCGACTGACAAGTGCAAGTTTGTGTGCACAAATCGTGGAGAGGGGGCGCCAATGAGGGTATGAGGATGGCGGGAATGAAGGGATCGAGTGCGGTCAAGGCATGAATGAAGGAGTTTGCGCACACGCCCACTGACCGACGCTCGTATAGAGGCGCTCAGAAAGGCGAAGTTGCACAGCGCGATCGGGGCGCAGAGCCTAAGCAAGACGCTTGTGTTGAGGTGGTAGCAAGCAGTTGGACCGCAACTCGATGCATGGCAGAGGGTCCGCACGCCTTTGCGCTGCTTGACAGACCCATTGCGAATGCTTTGCGCCGAGGCGTTTGGCCCACTAAGAACGTTGCACTGACAGACCTCGCAGCGGCTCAGCGGCGATCAGACACCTCTCTCTCTCCAACCGAAGGCCTAACCTCAGTCATACGGGAGTCGGTGTGCAGAAGGGCCAGCAACGGGGCAGCGGGTGACTGATGAGCTGCTGTATGGACGATGCTATTATACATGTTCCTGCGCCCCCCCCCCTCGCTGCATTCGCACAAGACCACGAGTCCTTCTCGATCCAAAGAAGCACTTCAGCACTCATCCAAAGCATTGCGATGAGCTTATGCAGAGCTGCAGGATGTGCCACGAAGCACGCGCATGCATGCTCGTGCACCACCTTTGGCCATCGCATCACAGGGAGAAGGAGAAGGTGGGGCTATAGCTGCAGCGGACGAGCTGCACTTGCCAAGTTGATTGCACGGAAGCAACGCCATGCACATGCAGCAATCACAATTAATGCAGCCTATAAGCCCTGCGTCCACGCCTTGCTACACTTGCCTCCAGTTGTACGAGCACGAGCAAGAAGGTAAGTGCGGATGCACATATGCTGCTGCCCCATCATAAATGCAGCATGGATCTCCGACGTAGCAGTGATCTTCTCCTAAGAGCTCCTTGATGGATGCAGTGCATAAAGTCAAGACGGGCCCCACGCGCCTAGCAGTAGTAACCGCACCTAGCAATTAGTCGTTCGAGAAGCTGCTGTCACAATAAATGATCATAGGTGCGTTTGCAACTGGCGGTCACCATGCACAAATTTTTTCAGCATAAGCGCGCGCGGGCTTCCCGCCGAGGCGGGTGCGAGCCACGAGTCACGAGTGCGCAGCGATGAGCAGCTGACTTGACAAAGGCCTTCAAAAAAGACCCTGGACCACCGATCTGCAAATGGGCTGCCAACCCCCTGCCTGGAGGCTCTGGCGAGTAGCAACGCCCTTTCGACCTGAAGTACTGATTCCCACCGCAGTCTGGGAATGTATCAGTATACCCTGCCTGTTTAGAAAGGTGCTCTGCAATCATGCGAATGAGGCATCACGCAGCTCCGTTTCGAGCAGCGGCGCAAGACGATGATATTGGCGCGCCCAATCGTGGATGCAAGGTGAAAGAGAAGTATATAAGTACAACAGACATCGGGGCTGCAAGAGGCAGACTAGCATCGCTCATGCACTGCCCCTGTATGCCATCGAGTCCGACGGCTTGCCCATCTCGCTTCGGCTTGAGGTGTGAGACCGGGATGAATGGGTTGGTATAGGCCGCTTAAGGGAGGAATTGTCCAAACCGTCTTTGATGGACGGGCCAGCATGGCGCAAGGTCCGATCGGGCGACGTCTTGCCCTTTGTCGAATTGGGTGTGCTTCCTATCCCGGGTCCTTGATTCCACGGGCTTCTCCTCGGAGAGGGAATGGCTTGTTGTCTTGCGCTAGGAGTCATGATGCTGCCTTTTGCTAGCGTGCTACTAGCGACCGTTTCGCGGCTGTCCTTTTCACTTGAAACAGAGACGGGTATGCCGCCGACGTGCGTGTCCGACACGGCGCGACGAATGGAGCCCTTGTCATTGACGGTCGTTGATCCGGCCGATCTAAGCTGCTCCAACACTTCTCGCGCAAGCTCTCTAACAAGAACAGCGCCATCGTCTTGCGCAAGCTTCTCGATCACTTCAAGAAGTTTGTACTGAGCAATGAGCGCAGGATGCGAGTCGCAGAGCAGCTTGGTGAGCCTAAGAAGACCAAGACGAACGACGGCCTTGCTGTGATCAAGTCGCTTGATCAAACGTTTGATGAACGCCGACGACTTCGCCATGGCAGAGGTGACGCCATGTGGTGATAGACGCAAGATCTTGAGATAGGGCTCGAGCAGATTTTCGAACCCACTCGTCGCCGTAGTGAAGACTCCAACGAGACGATCGATGGAAGCGCTTTGGAGCAGAGCGTCTTCGACGGGCGCCGTCTCCTCCAGCAAGTAGATGTGAATCGCTTCCAGCGCCTGACCTTGCCAGTACGGATCTTCAAGGAGCTCGAGGTAGAACTGAACACCGCCTCCATCCCGATTCATCGCTTTCCGCGTCGCCTTGCCCGCGTGCGCAAAGTCGCAGAGAATTGGCAGCGCGAATTGCTTCAACGGGGACTTGCTCCTCACAACCTGTAGCAAATGTGGTATGACACCAGCGCTAGCAGCTTCCTCCTGTCGAGATTTGTTGAGACGGCAGAGAGAAAAGGTGGCGCTGAGCACCTGATTGATGATCTCGCTGCTGTGGGCACCCTCTGCGCGTTCACCGAGAACTCGCACCAGAGTTGGAATGGTGTCTGCCTTCTGCAGCTCATCCAGGATTGAAGTTCCGCCCATCGATAAGCACTTTATGCTCTTCAACAGGAGCGTCAGTGGCTTGCCGTCAAGCAAGAAGCAAGCCTGCAGCATTCGTCGCAGGACGCCACGAGTGGCTACCTTCGTCTTCAGCCAAGAGTCCGAGTTCGAGAAGATGAGCAGGGTCTGGAGGACTTGTTCCTGCGCAGTCATTGCATACTCGTGCTCCTTGTCTTCGATCACCAACAGCAAGACAGCTGACAGCGGCTCCAGCAAACCCTCCAAGGCGAGCATGCGGCAAAAGTCGTTTCGAGATGCTTGCAGCTCCAATACGCTGTTGATACAACCGATGCCCAGCCAGACCAGTTCCTTTTGGCTCTGGTCAGAGTAATCCTCAATAAGATCCACTAGAGTCTTGAGACCGCGGCAAGACAGGACAAATTGAAGCGTAAGGCTGGAGGCCGAGCACATGGAGTAGATAAAGTGAGCAGCCTCAAGCCGAATCTCGTGGGCAAAGCGCTTGGAGGTCATGCCCATGACGACAGGAATTGCACCTATCAGGCACAGGGTCTCTTGTGCGGCCGTGTCGTCGTAGATCAGCACGTTCAAGAGGCCTAGCGCTCGACTGAGCACAAGACGCGACTTGGTGACCTCCAGAAGCTGGACGACCGCCAAGGCTCCATGGGCCAGGAGCATTTGACGTCGCATCGCCGCTCCAGTATCCTCATCAAGCATCAGCTGCTCCAGCTGATCGCATGTGTCCACAAGCTGGTCTTCCGCGCTGTCGGCGCGCAGTGCTTCGACCAAATTGCTGACAAAGGCAGCGTTGCGCGCTTGCTTGTCGCGCGCCAGGTTGGCTTCGAGATCCCCGTCCTCGATAAGTTCGCCATCAATTTCCGCGAACGGGTCGTCGTCTTCGCCAAGCTCCTTCTCAAAGCTCCAAGTCTTAGTGGAGAGGCGATCAGTGAGGTGCAAAGTGCCGCTTGCTGAGCCATTAGGAGCTTGGACGGCTGTCGCATCATTTCGAACAGGTCAGCAGGAGACACTAGATCAGCGCAGACTTCTCTACACTCACGTCTCTCGCTCAGCTTCTGCTCGCCAAACACGTCCGAGTAGTCCTCCTCTCCATTCTCAGAGTACTTGCCGAGCGTCCGCCGCATCTCGCGCCACTTCGCGTCCTTCTCCACATTGACGCTGTTGCTGCGACTTTGGCTCGGGCTGCGCGTCGCGAAAGGACTGCTTGGCCGGGCAATACCATTTCGCCTGGCAAGACTGCCTGTGGGTGAGGTGGTGGGCGAAACGAGAGGGGAGAGTGGGCCCTGCCTTTGTCCCGAAGAATTCCTCTTACTGCTTGAGCCAGTACCAACGCCAGCAACGGCTTTGCTCGCAGTGGCAATGCTCTTGAGATCGTTGGGGTGAAACAATCTGGGTCCGACGCTGTTTTGCGCCTGCAGCTTGCGTATCCTCTCCGACAAATGCGAGTCGTCGTCAGCCGCAATGAGATCAGAGTAGTCCTCGACAGACTCATCACGATTGCGCAGAGACATAATCGGCGCAAGACTGGGTGGTCGCTGATGTCTCGTTGAGCGCCCAGGAGAACCCGAAGCTGAGGCTTTGGGCGGCGTGGGTGGTCCAGTGCGAGCATCTCGATTCATCGAGCGAACCTCCGCGGAGTTGCGGCTATCCTTTCGAGGCCGAATTGTGTGGAAGTTCTCGTCGAGCAAGTCCGCATTCTGAGCGCCTTGCAACGCAACGACCGGTGTCTTTGGGTTCTTTGGCGCACTCGAGGCGTCTCTTGCTGCCTGATTTCGCTTGGCGCCCCTCGCAGGAATGGTCTGATCCGCGTCTGGAGCAGAGGTCATTGATTTGTCAAATCCTGCAATCTTTGCAGTTGGGATACCCTCCTCAAAGTCTGCATCCCAATTATCGTCGGCTGTCTCCTGTGCGATCGGCGCTCCCGCAATCTCTCGTCTCGACTCCAGAAGCGATGTGGCCATCGGCGCGATGGCCGCAGTAGCGGCAGTGCGAGCAAACCCGATACCTTTGTCATTCGCAGCGACTGCGGGAGAGGTGGATGAAGTGCGGCTGACGGCGGCGTTTGAAGGCAAGGGTGGGGCTTTTGGGGTCACACCGAGCTCGCGCGCTCCGTTGGGCCTGCTGACGGAGCGAGTATTTCGTCTCGTCGGTGTTCGCTGAGTCGCAGCTGGTGAGAGGCTTGGAGGGCTGTGAGTATACGTAGGAGGGTGTGCTGCTCGCGCTTTGAAGGTACCACTGTCGACGCTCCTTCCCAGAGGAGGCAATCGTGCGGGCTCCTTCAAAGCTTCGTTCCACTCCTGCACGCTTTTGACTGCGTCGTCGTATATTGTTGCGTTTCGGCCACGCATGGAGCCATCACTTGTTATGGCTTCCAGCTGCTTCCGAGCATTGGCCATCCACGGGTGTTTCAAGAGTTTGCGGGCAGAGACTCTCAGGTTTGCATCCTTTTGGAAACACAGCATCAAGAAGTCTTTCACGACCTGCGAGCATATGATGAGCATGAGTCAGGGATCGAGCAGGGTGTCTAAACGTGCTGGCTCTCAAGCTGTCACTTACCGGACTAGCAGATTTAGGCAGGGGTGGACAGTCATCCTGCACGATGCGGAAGAGGGCTGGCATGGGGTCGAGGTCATGATATGGAGGCTTGCCTTCTAGCAGCTCTATAACGACACAGCCGAGACTCCAAATGTCGCTCGCAGTGCAAGCGCCGCTCTGGTCGATGACTTCAGGCGCCATCCAATATGGGCTGCCGACAACGGCGTAGTCGGACATGGCTCCTGTCCTTGTGGCCACTCCGAAATCAGCCAGCTTGACACTTCCGTCTTTTGTTGTTAGGATGTTGGCCCCTTTGATATCTCTGTGAATGACACCTTGGTCGTGGAGGTATAGCAGCCCTGCCAACACCTGGCTGATGTAGACTCCAACCAAGCCTTCTGGGAACTTTCCGAATCGCTTGCAAATGTGTTGCAATGAGCCATTCTCGCAGTATCTGCGGCATACCGAAGGGAAGGCAAAGATAAGGTGCGTTCATTGAGTAGCACACGGAGGCTCCGAGCACTGCTCTGTGCTCACTCGAGAATGATGTAGAGATAATCTCTCGTCTTCTCCGACCCTTTGTATTTCACAATGTTCGGGTGCTGCGTGCAGGGATGTAAGCGGGGTGAGCTGAGCAGCTTCGGACAGAAAGCTCACGACCCCAAATACACGCACCTTGAGATTCTTCAGCAGGTCGATCTCGGACTGCGCGCATCACAGCAGTGTGTTAGAGCGCAGACTGACCACGACCCATCGAGCGCGAGCTTTTGGTGTATTCCTCGCTTCCGGATGGACTCACCATGATCTCTCCCAGCTCGCTACGAGGAATGTTTGTGAGCTGGATCTGCTTGATGGCCACCGTCTCTCCCGTGATCCAGTTCAGTCCTCGAAACACGCTCCCGAATGCACCTCTTCCCAGGCAATCGCCGAGAGACTAGCGCAGGCGCAGAGCAGCGAGCAATGATCAGTCGCCGTTTAGATGGGCACCACTTCGCCTTCTTGCACTCACATATTTGCCGATCTGGGCATGCGCAGGCGCATTCATGCTGCCACTAGAGATTTGTCTAGGCGCTGCATTGAAGCCGGCCACGTGTGAAGGCGTACCCATACCGATGCCAGCAGTGTCCGACCCTCGCCTGCCCGAGCTGCTGGATGGTCGCGACATCTTGGGAGGCACAGGCGGCCCGCCAAACCCCAGAAGAGAAGGGGTCAGCTTAATCTGAGGCTCTGGCGCTGAGGTTGAGGCGGCCGCTGAGAAGTATGACGAGATGCGGTTGTCACTCGACCTGCTTGCGTTGCTGTTGGTCGATGACCATCGACTGATTTCGTTCTTTCTCGCTCTCGTGAAGTCATCAGAGATCTGTTGAAATCCGTCTGCGAAGGCTGAGTCGGGCAAAGCGCTGGAATTTGGAGCTAGCACCTCTTCTTGCTCGGAATCCGATTCTGGTGCGATCTTGGGTTTTGGAGAGTGCGAGCTCCAGCGTTGCTGCCTAGGCCGTGGTGCAGGTGCCTGAAAGGATGGTCGATCAGGCGAGAAGCGGAAGATCTGAGGGTGCAAATCGGCCTGAGATGCTGAGCGCGAGTGCCCTTTGAAGGCGTTGGTGCTATGACTCGTTGATGCTGAGCTGACGGAATTCGATAGGTCCAGAAATGAGCTGGGCGGCGGCGGTACGCGATAGATGTCCCCCGCACTTCCTGGCCGCGATGCAGAAGGTGCCAAGGAGCTCCGGCGCGGTTGCTCAATCTGGTCAATGAGACGCGCTCGTTGTGGGAGCGGCGTTTCGGAAATGCACCGCGGTCTGGGCCGGGCTGCTGGTGGTGCTCGGCAGCCTTTTGGGATAGCAGAGCTTGAAGACTGCGAGGTGGCAAAGTGGCAGAACGACGGTCAACAGCCGTGGATATATTGAGACAAGGATGCCATATGAGAGTAAAGGAAGAGAATCCGATCGGCGCCCTTGAGCGGCAACGAGCAGAAAGACGACGACGCTGAGCACCTGTTGGTGACATTAATTTTGAATGATGATGTTGGTTGCTGGTGTCGACGCGAGCTCACACTGCGCCCAGCAAAGCGCAAAGTGCCTCCATCACGCCTCAGCGCCCCTGCGCGCGTCTGCCAATTGTGAAGGCCGGATCAACACCCACGCGCGCGCGCGCGCGCACTGGAGTGATGCCGCGGGCAGACGCGTGCTGTATATGCGCGCGCGTATACGCTTGACAGCATCAGTGCTACAGTACCCCGGTAGGTGCAGCTCGTCGCGGGCGCCAACGGCCCAACCGCTTGCCCAACGGACAGCAGCGGGGCGGGGCCTTGGCCCAGAAGCGCTCATAGCGTGGGAAGGAAGCAGCTAAGCGCTTGTAGCACAGCCTCGCGCAGCCAGGCTCAGCCCGTCCGCCCTAGCCGGCCTGCATGGAGCAGGAAAGGATCCTTCTCAGGAATCGACTGCGACGTATGCGCATCCACGCCCTCCATCACGCAACGACCAAACCGGATGCAGGCGCTAACAGCTTGATCGAGTGATTTGAATGACTGAATCCACTTGTCCGTCACAAGTCGCAACGCTCATGGCGGCTCAAGTCTCGATGGAGCTCGAGACACGCGTTCCGTCGGGGCAACCATCCCTATAGCTGAAACGTGGCCGCGAATAATTAATCGCCGGCCGTGCGTCGCTGCATACGTGATAAGAAAGTCACGAGTCGTGACGATTGACGATCGACGATCGAGTGATGACGATCCCGGACAAATCTGAGTCGTCGTTGATTCTCTGCTCTGCGTGCGCGGAAGCACGTCTCGCCGGCAGCAGCAGCAGCCCTTGACCGAGTGGGAAGTAAATGCTCGGCGTCTTGCTCGTCTCGTCGGCTCCAACTGGGACCCTTGCTCGCGCAGAAGTGTTTGCTTTATTTCCAGCCTGCTCATATACTGGCAGCCCGATCAAATTATCGCAATTTGACGCCAAATCGCACTCGATCCCTCGCAGTAGTGTAATAGGCATGTCGCCGCCGCGATCCTGCCCTTATATGGCAATCTCGACTCCACTGCAATTGAAGCGACTGGACCCAGCGCGCCCATGCATGCGTACTCGACTGTACACAGAGGACTCACCGATGTCTGCACCTCTCGCGCCCATCCAGCAGCAGCAGCAAGCTGCGCAGAGATCCTTCTCTTTGCTCCCGCAGCGCTTCGCGGTCTCTCCGACTTGACAGGTGATGGTTGAAGCACAGTTGGGGCAGCAGCAGTGAGAGAAGGAGGTGCGGCAGCGGCAGCAGCAGCAGCAGCAGCGTATTTTGTCGGAAAGTGCAAAGGTCGAATGGTATCTCCTCCGCTACTCCCATCACCGCTGCTGCTGCTGCTGCCTCCCTTTCCAGATCCAGAAGACGCATTGCTATCGCGCGTTCCCCAAGTAGGAATGGAGCTCATGGTGCTGGATGTGGATGGCATGCGGGCCAAGGTGCTCGTAATGTGCTCGGCGAAGTGGAGGGGATGAGATAGAACATGAGGTCCGTCGCTGTGGGTACGAACATGGTTGGGCAAAGCTCTAGGACCGGATGGAGCTCGTGGACGCGTGTAGGTGGGCGAACCACTCTGCGATAAGCTCGGTGGGCTCATAGTCAGAGCTGACATTTGTGCTGGTATCGCGTCGAACGTCGTTAGGGCAGGAAAAGAGGTAGCTCAGGATACGATAAAGGTGATGGAGTCGCTCAAGATCGCCAGGATCGACGAGGTCAGCATCAGGATGACAAAATGTGATGGTGGATAGGAGAGCAGATCTCTCGGAGTCCAATGTATTTTCTCGACATCCTCGAGAGCCGAAGATGAAGGGGCAACAGCTTGCCCACCACGTACCTGCGAGTCCGCTATGGAACGGAGCGTTCCCAACGAGCATCACGAAGTGGGATCGAGATATCTTTCCTCGGGTCGTCGGTGTGCCGGCAACACCCACCGACTCACCGTACATGCAGCTACAGTAGCGGCCTTTAAGATACCGATTAAATGCACGCGCACTGCTGAGGAGTCCACATGGGCTCTATAGCCAGCTCGGACAGTTTGAGTCCTTGAAAGAGGCTTCAGAGTCACGAGTCTGAAGAGTGCAGCCAGCGTATGCAGGCACAGGTGGACCGTTCGTTCCCAATTAAGTGATCAGCGCACTCAAAACTGCACTCAGTCGGACAGCGCAGCCGCCGCCTGCTAGGCAGACCTGCATGACAGCTGCTGACGCGTGTTCGTGCATGACTCGGACTGTGTAGCAGCGTACGTGTGTGCGCCCTGCATCCAGTCACTCGACCGGTTTCGCATCCGTGCGAGCAGCTGCTGTGATGCTCATCATTCATATATGCAGCATCAAGTGTCGTCGACGCACACCAATTCGCCGGGTCCGTTTCAGTCTCCGCACGGCACGACGCATTTCGTCAGCTAGTGTGTTGACCAGCCTGCCTGCCACAAATCCCATACTTTTGTTTGTATAGCCGCTCATGATGTGGTCGGTGCGGGTCTCTCAGACCCTGCTTGCTCGCACGCAAGCTATATATCTCTTGGCGAAATAAGCCACCTCTCAATCGTCCCCCACTTACCACTGGTGACTGCTTGCTCTGTTGTGTCAAAAGCGCGATCGGCCGGCGACGCGTAAACAAATCACGAGGCAGCTGTTCACAAGCACTTTTGACTGGTCGGTGGGGGACGGATCGGCGAACGGGTAAACAAAGTCTCGATCGAGCGAGGACTTTTCTTGGCATTCGTGCGTGCACATTTGCGCTTGCGCCAAAGCATGAAAGGTTGAAAGACGAGAGCTACAGTACCTAGCTGATCTTTCTGCGAAACACTACAGTAGCAGTCAGTCATCATTCGCCATTCCCGATTCTGCCTCCTGCTATTTGCACTCGGTACGGACGGAGGCCGCTTCTGACGAGTGAAGACGAGCATGAGCGCGGGCATGGCAACCTCTGCGAGGATCAAGCAACAAGGTAGCATCAGGTCCAGAGGACAAATCTCCATGCAGCTTCGCACGCAGCATGCAGAAATCACATCAAGGTGCGTGATCGCGTGCACAAACCGCTGCGCTCGCTCTCGACTTCACCTACTTCGGTGCGTCTGCAGCACACGCGTCATGCTCTGTGGGCGTACAGCCACTTGCATGCGAACGATCCAGCACAGCCTCTTCTTTCGCGGACGTGCACATTCACATTCTTGATTGCAGCTTTTCGGCCTTGATTACGTGCCTCTGCCCGACTGTACCAGTCAACGCCAAGGGGTAGCCGCACTCATCACAAGACGGACGACTTCCCGGGCCGCATGCACATCGATGAAGATTGGGCCAGGCTATCATACTGCTCCGAATCTCTGCAATGTCGCTCCCTTCCAGTTGTAACGAATTGAGTGTTCATGAATTGTGAAGGTTGACTCATGCATGCAGCTCGTGATGACAGTTGTGGATCTCGTGGACACGTGAACAAGTGGCCGACAAGGTGTGGGCGCTCCGTGGTTTGAAGAATGATCATCGATGGCAATAGGGCAGCGCCACCTCCTGCAAGTCTGCTGCTGCTGTCATCGTGATCATCCCTCATCTTTGCCTAGATGCGATGAAAAGTCGTGCTTCAATCGAAGCGGACCCTTCCGGGTGTCGAAGGCGCAGCGGCATTCGCAGTCTCGCTGCCATGGTTGGCGTCTGCCTCCACCACCAGACCTTGACGCAACCAGCCGTCCGAAGTTTCCTTGCTAGCCTCTGCCTGCTCAGCAGCCAACTCTCTTTGCAGCGCAGCCTCAGCTCGGGCATACCAGGTATGAGGCACATTGACATGTTGAGCGTCCGTGCTGGTCGATTTCTCCGCAGCTAGCGTCGCCGAAGCAGGACGAGAGATGGGCAAGGTCAGATCAGGGGTTGGGTGAGCAAGTCGACTGGGCGCCTTGCTCTGCTGCTGTTGCTGACCATTCTCGGTCGCATCGGAAGCTTCGCTGGTGGATTCTCCGGCTGCTTCGAGCGTGCCCGGAGAGCCTTGAGAGGTGTCCTGCTCATGCGCAGGTGCTTGCTCTTGCTTTTCCTCGATCTCGCGTTGACGTCTTGCCTGCGTCGGACCGCTGATCTCTGCTGCGCTTAATGGACCGCGAGGCGGTGTGTGGACATGCGCGCTTCCATTGCGTCTCCAGACAGACGTGGGCTCCCAAAAGAACGCGTAGGATCTGGCGCTCGAAATCAATGAAGGAGGGGCCTTTTGAGGCAGCGTCTGTCCCTTGTCGGGCTTGGCCAAGTTGGGAGATGAAGCACCGTTCAGAGTCTCGGCCACAGTAGGTTGTCTCGAGACTGGCCTGGACGCGGTCTTGGTGACGCTCATGGTTCGCTTGACTATACGGGGTCCAAGCTTAGCGAGTGGTATGCAAGTGCCGTGCGTAAGCACGCTCGCAAAGACCATGAATAGGGTGACGGGAGTGTAAAGCGCGCGAAGACGATCTCGTGAGCCGTCGTCCGGCAGCTGCTTGAGAGCGATGGTGATGTAGAAGACCGCAGAGACTCCGATGGGCCCGAACCAGCCCAGAAATAGTGCTTCTTTGAGCTCTGATACAGCCGGGATAATCTTGTACATGGCCAACACTGCGGGTAGACGTCGTACCAACAAGACTGCAATAGCCATCACGACGACTCTCCAAGGGTCAATGCCCAAGGACGAACCGCCGGTGCTGTAGTCTCCCCAAGGAATGATGGCGCCTATGTAGATGAAGGCGCTTGTCGAGAACAAGGCATCAATGTTGTCTTGCCAAGAGTCCATCTCTTGCTCACGAGTGCGAATGCGGTACCTGATAGTTGCGGTGACAGCGACGGCGGGTGAGCAGGTGCGCCCTACCAAAAGCACGTCGATACCATGTCAACTCACCAGTCATTCCAGGTGAAGCTGTTTCCGGCTATAAAGCAAGCGAGCACATCGTCGCTGCCGAAAAGTCCCGTCGTGCCGAGGACGAAGAGGGCCAAGCCCAAGCCATATGCAAAGAAGGTGTCCTTGTCCACATACCCGTGCGCCTCTGCCCACCGGAGCGTCTTGCGGCCAAGGTACCCCAACAAGGCACCATAGACACACGAGAGCAAAATCTGATAGATGACGACGCTGTAGAACCAGCGCCAGATCTCATCGCCAATGCTCTCGCCAGAATCTACCGATGTCCTACGCAGCAAGTAAAGAGCCAAATACAGAAAAGGAAATCCTAGCCCGTCATTGGCTCCAGATTCGGCTACGATGATGTTGCGGATAGCTTGCGGGACATGCTTCTCTGCGTAGCGCCCGCTAGAGATGGAATTAGCGAGCACTGGATCCGTTGGTGTGACCGCGGCAGCTAAGCACAAGGCTTCCAAGTAGCTCAGCGGCCTGAATAGTGCATATAGGATGCCTGCAGTTACGAACCTGAGATCGAAAGGTGCAGGACTCTGCCGTCAGTTGCAATCGCAGCGCGACTCTTCGGCAGTGTCGAGTGGCACGCACCATGCAACTGTCATGACACCTCCTAGCAAGGTGAACAACGACAGCATCTCCTTGCGAAGGTAGGCTGCGGGTAGACTGATGCCGGCAAAGAGGACTTGAACACCTATGACGAGGCGAGTGAATTGGTAGGTGATCTCATTGGTGCGTTCGGCACTGCTCGACCAAGAATAAGGATCGAACCAGTTGAGTACATAAGGTCCGACGATGATACTGAGAGCATCAAGGGAATGCCGAGGGGCAAAGCGAACATTCAGCGATGCTTCACAAGCTTTCAGAAGACTACTAGTCTGACTCACCCGACAGTGGTCGCTACGAGTGCCTCGCTTAGGTACAGCTTTTCCTTGACCACATAGCTTCCCAGGCCATAAATGACGATGAACCCGCCAAGCACAGCGAAAGCGATCGACACATTGGAGACGTCCGTCTCCACTACATGAACAGCCATCTCGTGCTCGTCGTGGCGCTCAACGACGTCTCAGTCCTTTGCTCGCGGGAGGACAGCAGAGCCTCGACCGAAATCTCTCTTTGATACACAGAGCTGATACAGAGCTCTGAAAAGGCTCGTGTTATTCGAGGCTGGTGCCGAGCTGCACGTACTGGGCAGCAGCGAGAGAAGGCTGAGACGCTGAACGAGCGACGCAGAACACCATGGGGCAGCTGTCAGCGGCAAAGATATGCGGTGTATGTGCTCGCAGAGGGGCCTGACTGAGTAGCGGCTTGTGTGAGGATGAAGAGCGAAGTAGGCGGTGGTGTACGGATCGTGGTCAGACGATGGGGTGAATTTCAAATGGTGTACGCGAGTCCGAGTCCATGTGTGAGATGTGCTGCTGCTTACGCATCATCTCCCGAGAAGCTCGCGACGGTGCATGATGGCCTCGCAAAAAAAGCACGCTGCATGCATGCATGCTTGCCGCACGCGAAGCTTGGCGATCAAAGCCGCATCACCGGCGGCCAAAGCCGAGTGTGAGTGTTTTGAGGCCATGCAAAACACACTCACGACTTGACTCCACATAAGTAGTAGTCGTACCCACCGCTGAAACTCACGATTCCCTATTCAAATTCGATCTCGCCTGTGGAGCTCAAAGCAGCTGCGAGTATCAGCACTTGGCTTGCCAAATCCCTTTTCAAATGCTGCATGGCAGCTTCACATCGCATTACGCGGACCAAGATCACCAAGCTTGCATCGATGCAATTCTTGATTGTGATTGTAAGATTTGAGTCAAAATGCGAGTGGAGTGTGATTTCTAAACAACTGCTAAGATTCAGATTGTATCCACGAATGCGTACGTAATTGGGCGAGCCTCATAGAGATGCCTCAATTATCCTCTGCAGCTCCTTGTCAATCTTGATGGAGGCGACAACACCTGTTTGCTTGTGACGAAGACCCAGAGCTGTCAGTCGGCTGCACGAACAAGGGTGCAAAGACATGCGATCAGCACCAGCAGAACCTTTTCATCAAGCGTCGACACCTGTTCGTCTTGACTCACTCTGGCTTGGTAAATGCATTCTCCTTTCCATAAAGATTTTGAGCAAAAATCCCGCTATAGGGGTTCTCCTTGCCGCCCACGAACTCTTCGAAGGCTTGCCTGTCCAGCACTTTGAGTTCCTTCTTGGCTGCTGGATGTCCAGCAGCTTTCAGCTCTTCCACCATCGCCTCGAACACGTCCCTCCAGCTAAAGGTGTCGGGCTCAGCTGGGAAGGCGTAGTGAGAGGATGTGTGGCGCATGCCAGGTGTATGAGCTTCCAATTCTGCGATGAGGAGCACATACGCATCGGCTAGGTCGTGCACTCCAACAGCGTTCCATTGGCTTGTACCAGGTGGAAGAGCTGCGATTCCATTCTTGATCATGCAACTGAGCAGCATGGGTGCTTGAATGCTGATACGTCTCCACGGTTCCGCTCCGATGCCGTAGATTAGAGGAGGCATCATGATGGCCGCACTTGCATTGGCTGCCTTTTCTGCCGCATCGTTGAGCAAGATCTGGCGCAGGGGACCGTCGACTTGTCGGTGAAGAGCATCCGGGGCGATGCGCTCTTCCAACATTTCATCCCCTTGAGCATCCGACAACTTCTTTTCCTCCACGCTCTTGTCCCCAAAACCCTTTGCAGCACCAATCATCTCGTCATTACCACTAGTGTGGATGAAGACTACATGCTTGGACTTGTCCGCACGATTCTTGATGCCTTCAGCCGCAGCTCGTGTGCTGGGCAGATGATCGGCAGTCGCGGTATGGATGACAATGTCCGATGCTCCTGCGTTCTTCTGGATCAGCTCCACATCATCCAATGAACCGAGCACAGGCTCAATGCCCAGAGACTTGAGCTCTTCAGCTTGCTCTTTGCGACGAGTCAGCGCCGACAGCTTCAAGTCTGGACGGACCTCTTTTAGCTTGAGCAACAAGGTGCCGCCAATAAATCCAGGCCCGATTAAAAAGAGCGTTTTGGAAGGTGTTGACATTCTGGGCTTGTATGCGCAACTGACCTGGTGGGGGTTAGGCAGGTCAGGGAGACGAGGAAGCAATTTAGTGGTTGTTGGAGAGAGGTTCAGAAAGGGGTCACAAATTCTCGGGATTTATAGCTTTTGCTCGAGTCATGCTTCGGCCCCGTCAAGGATGCTGCAGCAGTAAATCACGATCGAATGCCACAGCAAGCTTGAATCACAATTTTGAATGCGAAGCATCATCGTGATGGGGCAGGCAGAGTCTTCAATCATGAATCACGAATGTGAAGGTTTCGGCCGTATACATGGGACACGAGCCGTGCATGCGCGTGGCGTACCATCCGCACACGCCGTGCGTGACCCAGCCGGATCTTGCATGCGCTTCGCCATGCTAGCACCGACGCCTTTCAGCTAGATGCGCCGACACGCACCATTCAAACTACCCTCGCGCCTCTCTCCTTAATCCAGAGCTTGTTTCGCAAGTCTGCTTCAAGTTTTGGATGTCGCAAGTATCGAGCGGCTATGTGTCGGATTTAGCACGTTTGGTCAACAATCATCATGACTGGCTAAAACGTTCGGGGGTGTCGTGACACATGACCATGTGCCTGTCCCCACGGCCATTCGGCGAATATGCGCTATTCCGCGCCTATAAAGTACGGCGACTCGGCGTCAGGCAGACATGGTCCGGAACATTCACGATGGGGGAGATGCAGACGGAGTGTAGAATTTTGCGCTATCATTGTGCATGAAGCGTCATCGTTTGACTGGGAATGATTGAGCGGTGGCAGCTCTTTCATACATGTACATCACCCGTGGAGAGATGAGATGATGGAGCCTTGGCCTCTGTTTGTGGATCTTGAACTGCGCTGCTGGTGCGAGCCCACGCTCGACGCGTGTTCCTCCTTCGATCAAACGGCAAAAAGCCGGTCGGAGTATGGAGCATTTTGCCCACATTTTTCCAAGTAGATGGCAAAGACGGGTCGCGCAGAATTAGCGTGTCCATCACGAGTCGCATCGTATCTCGTCTGAAAGCGTGCCATTCCTCCCTGTGTCGCTTATCTGGCGTGTCCGAGAGGAGGCTGAGACGTTTCTGGTTGCGTTGCTGGACCTCGAGCGCTTGACGCAGCTCTTCGCGAATAGGAGCATTGATTCGCAATCGTCTTGCTTGCGATCTCGGCGTCCCATCCGTAGAAGTGCTGGCCTCGGCGGGAGCCGACGCTGCGCTCGCCGGGATCAAATGATCTGGTATTGGTCCTGCGGCCTTTTCGAGCTTGACGAGATCCTTGCGCATCCTATTGCCCGAGCGGAAGACCGCACCGCGCAAGACAGCATCACGCCGAGTGCCTGACTTCATCGCGCGCTCTACGAGCAGCTGCGCCCCAAGGTACAACCTTCTTTGCAGAAGCATCAGGAAATGGGAAGTAACTGCGATGGTGTGAGGCGCTTCTCCTGATGCTCCAAAAAGTGTCCTGTTCGCTCGCTCTACCATGGCAGGTTCCCGAAGTAGCACCGGGTGAGCTTCGCGAGCTACGCGTTCTCTCGCCAAGGCGATCATCGTAATGAGAGCTGCGTCCGCTTCCAAGCCGCTCTGCTTCATGACCTCAAGCTGGCGCTCGACGCCAGTCCAGTCATCATGTTCAATTTGTCCGCGGATGATGGCCGTGTGAAGTCGGAGAGTAGGTCCCGTGCCAAAGTGCTCTGCCGCTCTTTGTGTAACCTCGCTCGCATCCATAAGTAGGCCGCTGGCCACCAGGCCCTCTACCAGAGGAGAAATATGAAGGATGTTGACATTGACGCCTGCCCGGGGCAAGTCTTTGACGAAATTCATCGCCTCATCGAAATTCTTGTCCACAACAGCCAGCACGCGGAGGCGCCGTGCCCACGCGCCGGGAGACAGCTTCTCAGGTGGCGTATCTTGGCCCAGTTCCGAACCACTTTCAACTTCTCGTCGGTCCTGCGAGCGACGTGGAGGACGGCGTGAGCTTGAGGTTTGCAGCTTCTGCTTCTCCCAAAAGCCCAGGAACGCGAGCCTTCGCTTGAACATTCGCAGTCGAGCCAAAATGCCTCGTTCGGTTCTTTGTGAGTGCAAGCGCCCACGGAAGCGCCTAGGCTGCGACAAGGGCACTTGCAAGAACGAGGTAGCGAGACGGTCTTGATCAGGCATAGCAGCATCGGCTGTGATTCTCTGTGAGTGCGAGCGCCTACGGGAGCGCCTAGGCTGCGACAAGGGCGCTTGCAAGAACGAGGTAGCCAGACGGTCTTGATCAGGCATAGCAGCCTCGGCTGTGGTGATCATCAATCGAGCAAGCGCAATGCGAGCTGAGCTAGGGAAGCCTTTGCGGGAAGGGTTGATGGACGTAGTGCTGCTACGCTGCATGGAGCAGAACATCAGAGAGAGCACCGCTCGAGTGCTTGGCACACGGTCCGAGACTGGCATGCTTGCCGCAGCTTCCATTAGCGTACCGAATATTGTCGTGTTAGGCCGGACCTTGAGTCGCATCCTCTCTAGCGCGGCCCCGCCATCTCTTGACGCCCATTCCTGGGACTGGTGTCTGGCGCTGTCCACATGATCTCCTTGCCCATCGGTGAATAGGTAATCGGCGCATCGAAGGGCATCACCAGGCCGACCAACATAGATGAGTGCCTTCAGCACAGCGTTGAGAGCGCATAAGATCCAAAAAGTGTCGAAGTGCTGCTTGCCATCGTGCCTGTCAGAAAGCGGCTCTTCAGCGTGCTTCAAGGCCAGCCCGAGGAAGCGCATAGCGAGGTCTGGTTTTGCTAGACCTCTACCCAACAGCTCGGCGACTGGTGCGTACGTCGCAACGTTGGGTCTAGGACCTCCTGCATGCGCGAGTGGTGCCTGTGAGCCTGTAGGTGCGCCAAAGACGCGGAGCACTAAAAGCGTCCCGCGAATGTCACCCTGAGCGCATCGTATGCGCACCAGATCGTTCAGGATCCGTCGCGGTTCCGAGTAGTATTCTAGGCTTGCATCTTCCATCGGTTTGGGTTGACCGGTCTCCCGCGGACCACGCCACTTCTGCGCCCGTTGCCGCAGAGGAGCCGCGGTCGCTAGCGCGGTCAGCGTATCACGGAGCGCTGGATGCGCACGGATGAGGATCAACCATGTCCCAACATCGACAGAGTGACCATGCGCCCGCATAGCGTGAACGATCCGGCGAGCTTCTCCCAAGTTCCGCATGCCCAGCTGGAAACGTAACAGAAACTCGAAAAGATATCGTGGTGGGCTCAGTGCTTCGGTCCAGCTTCCGCCTTCGCCCATCGGTAACTGGCCGAACGGCTCTGGTGGCCGCTTGTAAGAGGTGTAGCTCTGCCAATATCTTTCCAACCGGCCCCAATCGAAGCCATTTGACGCGCGGCTCGCCATAGAGCGAGCTTGAGCATACAGCAGCCATTCATCTGCACGTCCACCATGCGATTGGATGCACAAGTTTACCAGCTCCCTGACGACTTGCGCATCCCCAGCTACTCCCACGTCGGCAATGAGTGGGTGTATGCCAGCAAGGGGAGGAGCGCCAAGGATGCTGATCACACGCACGAAGCGAGGAATTGGCGATTCACCTATCGCGAGGGAAAGCCTCAGTAACCAAGCGGCGCATTCATGAGCCGCGAGCACGTCCTCTGTGGAAAGTTTTGTGACTAGCTCCGAAGTGGTAGCTCTTGATGCTGTGGACGCAGACGTGCCTGCGTGAGGTCTGCCACGAAGGGAGAAGGCTCTCTTGTTCCGACACAGGGCCAACCCGAACGCTTCCCACAGCAACTCGCTCTGTCCGGCATGATCCATCCTGCGATTTGCTGCATAAGAGTCAAGGAAATTGCTTCGTATGGCTTGAGCAGCGTGGCTGAGGTGTCGAAGTGCACGCGACAGGGAGATTCTAGTGACATCCAGCGGGAGTTCCGTCGCACTGGACTGTGTCAAGAGTCCCGTGGGAAGATGTCTACTGAAAGGCCCACCCTGCTGCGGGGTCATCCAAGCTTGTGTTCCGGCCCAGTCGATTTCCTCTCCAACAGGTGTTGACGCCCTGCGTTCGCTCGGCCCTTTGCCCTTGCGATCACGTAAAAGGGGGGAAGGGCTATAAGTATTGAATTTGTATTGCGGGAACCTCAGTGTAGTTTCTCGAGGTCCAACCCAGAGCCTTCTTTCCAGCTCCATGAAGTGCTTGACCTCTTCGCTGTCCCATTCCTCCGGCTCTACGACAGGCCGTCCTTCCGATGAATCGGTCGAGAGGGTAACTTTGGACGTCGATGCAGTAACGCCTGCCATGGACTGGTCCTCCTGAATCGCCTCGAGCGCATGCTGGGCATGATCTGGAGCACGACGAGTGGTGGAAAAGGTTCTAAGCGAATTCAAAGGGTCGCTCCCTCTTGAGAACTTACGCCGCACAGAGTGGCAGCGCGTCTCTAAGACTGGACATAAGAATGATGGAGGCAGAGACGAGCCAGCCGGATTCCCTGCCGGGCACCTAGCGCCGCCGAAGCTCCGAGGACCCGCAGCTGAATGTAGCGTCACAGCTTGATCCAGGGCTTGCGCAAAGCATCTCGCGGCACTGCGATATGCCGGATGGCTCGACGCTGTCAGCGGCATGTCACTGCCGGAAGGCCCTTGCCGCAGAGGCTAAACGCTCGAGCTCCGGCTACCGCGGCGCTGGCCTTGCAATGGAGAGGGATGGGTGATGAGGCATCTGCAATGGATATTCGCGGTTGTCGGGGCCCTGAATTCTTCACAGATGCAGAGATGCGGTGCAGGGGTGATGTGGGATGGAGAGGGGAACATGGCTCATGGTCTATAGATATGCAGCCAGAGCATTCTTGGCTTTCTTCTTGCGGTCAAGAGTCACGAGAGTCTTGAGTTTGAGTACAGAGGCGAGCTTTCAGCTAAAAAGCTGACTACGCGTCACGTGCCAGGTGCCATCGCGTGAGCAGGCGCGGCAGCACATGCATGCATGCACATTGCGAGCGCGCGTCCCCTCATCGAGCTTGGCTTCTTCTCCACCTCAAACCACCGTCATTAGTCCTGCAGAGGCAGTCTTCTCTCCACTTCCTGATCTCAAAGATTGCAGAGAGGCGACTGCACACAGACTGGGAATCTAGTAATCTCTGTTGGCATGATGCATCCCTCAGCTCCGCTGCGAGTCAGCGGGAATCGACAGTCCAGTGTTGCGGAAAGCGCAGCTGAGGGTCAACCTTCGGGCGCTGGACCTCCTCGCTTCAGAGCACCCAGGTATTCTCTAGGATCATCTGGCAGTCTCAGCAGGACAGCGCCCAGGGACACGAATCAAGTCTCTGGACCCTCGACGCGTGCTCCGCATGAGCGAGCTTCGCTGGCTTCGAGTCGTCGAACGCGGCTCGACTCTCCAGATGCCAGTCGTAGTTTCAGAGCATCATCAGGTCGAGCCAGCTTGAGCTCTACTCGCTCAACTTACGAGGATTTTGATGCTCCCGCATTCTGTAGAGAGTACAGCAGCTATATCGCCGCCGCCCTAGCTGACCGCGGAAACCATGTCGGCGAGAGTCAGAGCGGCCGAGCGAGCGCTTCCAAGCGCCTCCGCACATCCTTTCGTTCGCCGCGAGCGTCAGCAAGCATCGCTCAGCCGCCAGAAGAGGATCTTCCTGATGATCTGGCCTACATTCTGCAATCTGGAGGCTCGATAGTCGACAAGGGCAAAGCTCGTGCTTGGAACGAATCTCATCTCAACGAAGAAGATGAAGCCACACGCAAGCAGAAAAATGCGTCTTTCTTAGCCAGGATCAATGCGTCGGTTGAGCAAAAGCTGGCAGTTTCACAAACCAAAATCCCCAATGAGGAGCTTGCCGATGCCCAGCAGCAGGCCGATCTCCTCACCGACAATGTTGCTGCCCAGCCAGCTGATGCAGAGCAGCAGCAGCAGACAGAAACCGTATCAGAAGCTTCACAGGCTCTCAGGCGAGATGAAGCGACTCAGACCACATCTGCCGTATTTGAAGGCCCTGCAGAACTTAGTGCAAAGCGGGAACAAACTCCCAACGGCAGGGTTGACCTTGCAGGACGCGCCATAGAGGAGCTTTTGTCCCGAGGAGGTTTGGCGTCCCCCTCTAACGAAGCGAGACAACCTTTTGGCGGTCTTGAAACGATCTCCCAAGAGAGTGTTGGCAAGGACGGCCCTTCAAGCTTGTTTCAAAGTGGTCTTGATATAGAGGCTGTCTTGCGGCAACGCGCGCAGATGGAAGAAGCACAACAGAGTGAAGCGGAGGAGGAAGGCATGTACCGCGAAAGTGCTGAGATCTCACCCGAAGCTGGCCCATCTCGCAGACTGATTCAGGTAAGTGCAACGCAAAGGGCTGTGAGCATCCAGGGGCAGGTTCTCACGTCCGCTGTGGCATTGCTCCGCTAGGAAATCGAAGCCGACCAACCCTCTGTTGAGGATGTCCTTTACGGCAATGCTGGTATACCCGAGGAGGACCATGGCGATGCACCCATCGAGCAGGACTCTGACTCTGATTCTGATTCTGAAGGTGGGGATGAAAGCGAAGACGTCATCGATACCGATGGGCAAGCCGAAGCAATATCCGACTCTGGCATCAAGGTTCAGTATACGAATGTCCAAGGTCTGACTGACGAGGCACCGGAGTATGACTCGGACGAGGTTGTGAGCGAGGACACTGGTCAACAGGAGGATGGTGCAGAGGATGGCGAAGAGGAGGATGGTGAAAGAGAGCCATCTGAAGAAGAAAGTGAGGAAGATTATAATGGGTTCGGCGCCGATCCATCTGGTCGAAGCAGGCTGTATGCAAATCCTGCATCGCAAAAGACAGGGCATTTACCGACTCGTTCGCCAAGTGGACAACCCGAAGTCATCTCACTCCTCAGTGACAGCGACGAGGACGAAAATAGGGCAGGCACTTCCCGCGAAGGAGGAGACTCTTCAGAAGAAGACGAGTTGTCGGAGCGTGGCGCTGAAGCGGAAGAAGACTTTCCTGCGTCGCATCCCACCTCCGCCACTGAGGCCCTACAAGAAGACATCTCGATGGAGGAACCACGATTTGATCTTAACGACCAGTCCGGCTCCCGACACGACGATCAGAGCCTTGCAAACGACTATCATGCTACGACCTACTTGCCACCCAATCTATCTGCCGAAGTCCCGGGCTGGCAGGGTGCAGCTGAGTCAGCAGGTGTTGCGTCTGCCATCGAGAGTGTTTGGCAGCCAGCAGAGTCGCACGCTCAAGTAGGCGTCGACGACGATGGTGTGGGTCGTCAAGTCGACGGCATTCGCTTCTCTCTTGCCGAAGCGCCAGGCTCCTCGCATCACGCGCACATCGACCCGGGCCTCTTCGCTGACTGGATGCACTCTTCTGCTCCCCATGCGTCCATCGCTTTGCCTGTCACTACGGACCCCTTCACGCCTCACGCTTCCTTACCATTACCCGAGGAGACTACTTTGTCGTCGAACCTACCAATCGCACTGGCCGAAACCCACCTCGCAAATGCTACAATGCCCGAAGCAGCGACGGTGACCCTAGGGAATACCCCTACAAGCTCAGGTGCATCCGATCAGAGAGTGGAAGAAGTGACTGCACCCTCTTTCGAAGCCGAGCCAGGTGGAGCACAGAGTCTTGCGGAACAGACCATACTGCCGACAACGCTAGACGAAGCACCCACGTCTCGCTCAGCTCCGCTTTCTGCACAGCCGTCTCTGCACCACGAGAACAATCTCCATCCTGAAGGAGCCGACGTGTTGCAGCAGCCTGGTGTCGAAGAGGCGACGGAAGAGCAAACGTTACGACGGAGTCCGTCAAATCCTCCCGGCAACCCGGATCGTCTTCTATCATCTCACGACACGTCCAGCGAGCAGGACGACGTTTTTGCTTCTGCCACGAGTGCTGCAAACGCGACCGAGGTTCAGAGCGGGGAGGAACTTCTAGCTTTGAAGCATTCAATCCAGTCAACGAGTTCAGCGAATCTCAATCCAGATCAGCAAGTCCGACCACCGCCTTCCCTTGCTTCGACGGCAGGCTCGGCGATTCGCGAGGCTATCGGCGCGGTTGCCGTTGCCTCTTCCTCCGCTGCATCCGAGCACCTGCCGTTACCCGCGCCCGGTGGCGGGGGTTTGATTGAGTTCAAGAAGCGTTTTGGCTCGACACTTCCTGCTACATCTGAAGTTGCAAGTGCAGGTGGCGGTCGTAGCGAGCCTCCCACACCAGGTGTTGTGGCTCCGCAATCCGCCTTTCCACCACCAGATTCACACATACTCAGGCCTCTGAGCCCAGCCCCTCCTATCAGTACCGATCAAGTGCTGGTGGCAGACTCAGCTGAGCTCTTGCGGGTCAAGGAGAAGGCAGCCGAGCAGGTTGTCAGCCAAATACACTCAGCGCCAGCCTCGACCCACGGGGGAAGCGTTGCCGGTACAAGTCACCGCGAAAGTGATCCTAAATCGGACTTCAACTATTCGGCTGAGGTTTCTCAAAATGCTGCTATCCAACACATTGAGACAGCCGCGGATCTTGTTGACATGAAAGCTCACGTCGCGCTAACAGAGCCGCCAAGAGCTCCTGGAAGTCTCAAAACCAACCTGAGCGATGTGGCTGCTTCTCATGCTGACCACGAGCCGGCAGAAGCTGAGCTCGACGGTCTTGCAGAAGATGTCTCTGAGAGCCGAGCTGCTGATACGGTCACAGCAACTTTTCACTCCAGTGACACGCTTACCACCCTCGCGTCAGAAGCGCCGCCACTGACCACTCAGAACGATCATGTATCAGTAGCACCAGCTGTCAAGCCTCCAGTAGCGGCACCAACTTCCTCATCTGCTCTCACCAGCGAGCCTACCTTTCTAGATCCGCCGCTGCGTAAGAGCAGTGGAAGCTCTGACGCAAGCTCTTGGCTAGCTCGTGGTCAGCATCGGCACTTCCATCCTCACGGTCAGACTGCCCCACGCATCATGCAAAGTGGTAGCTCTGTCACATCGGGCGCCCCGAAGCAACCCGCGAATGACAGCCAGACTACGCCAGAAGATGAGAACAATGAGGGTCACAAGACTAAGTCGGCAGCAGACGACGGAGAGAACGGAGAGTTCGTCCCTCAGTACGAGCGACCAGTTACTCGCTCGCAGTGAGTTGAGCACAGAAGAGGAGCACCGCGTGGGGACCCGAGCTAACGATGCTCACATGTCCTTCTAGATGCCATTTCTCCCTGATTTCCTTCCCCTCGATGACTTCACCTGACGGATTTTGCACTTTCGTCGCCCCGCACTGCTCAGTACGCCGAGATCGCTTGGAGCAAGAAGGGGCGAAAGAGCGTGGAGCTGCCAGCGAAGCTCAGAATAATGACAAGGAGTGGTTCAATTCTGTGGATCTGCCAGAAGAGCTGTACCATTCCCTATGCCGCGTGTGCGACCCAGATCTCCTGGAGTTTACCGCGGTCCTTCCGGACACGCGTCCAATCGAGTTGCGAACATTCCACGAGAAGAGTGAGGCGTCTAGCGAGCCCCGCGAGCACAATCACGGACGCTCCAAGGCTGCTACTTCTCCCAGCTCAGCTGCCGCAATGGAGCTGCCCGAAGAAGAGAAACTCGACGCTACTGGTGAACCCGACGCTGCCGCCCTACTGAAGCAGCGTGACGCAGCGATACATGCGTCGCAGCCACAAATTTCTAGTACGCCCGTACTTGACCATCCACCAGCCGTGGAAGAAATCAGAGGCGTGTCTACCTCTCCACGTCGCGCGCGCATCTCGCCAGAAGTCAGGTCTCCCCTACGCCGTTCCGAAAGGGCACCCAAAGCACGCAAGCAATTTGACGACGACGCTTCGCCTCCAAGCGCATCGCTGACCACTCGTTTGAACGAGCGCATCATCCAGACGCGCCGGCCTTTTCGCGCCACCTCGTCTTCGATGGTCGATCTGGAATCGGACTCCGAGGACGCGGCTACCGCGTCTCCAGTCGCGTCGCGCGATTCTGAAAGCGGCGTGACCACCTCTCCCTCAGCAACTCGATCGGCGCCAAGGAGTCACGCCAAGCGGTCTGCGCGACGCTCGGATAAGGGCGGGCCTCTGGCAGACTTTGTGCCTACGAGCAACGCGAGCAGCGATTCGGAGGAACAGGGTAGGCGCGGAGGCCGCAAGCGAGCTAAGGCAACGGATAACGCCCCTGCTCACGAGGACCACCTGGACCACGTCGCCGCAGCCATCGAAGAAGACAACATGTGGCACGCATCGGCAGACTTGCAGAGTCCTGAACAAGCGCCCGCAGATGACAAGACTGATGCAGACCTACCGAAAAGCGCAGAATTGATCACGCCTGCGCCAGTGTCGAAGCGCACTTACTCAAGAGCGGGGAGTGCGCGCGCAACTAAGGGAGGTCGCAGGTCTGTGGGCACAAACGCTGACGGAGGTCGCTACGTCGAGAAAGTGAATCTAGCTGGCCCTCCTTCGTCGGAGGAAGAAGATGTGCGCGAAAGGACGGAGGCGGAGAACAAGAAACGAGCTAGGGCACAAGGTCGTCGTTCTGCGAAAAAGGCAGAAGCTGCGCAGGAACGCGAAGAGGCGCGCGAAGCGGTCAAGGAGCTCAACACGCTCGATCCCGCATCCCCTAACGAGTCTCGCAAACGTCGACGAGCCTCCAAAGATCCCTCTTGGAATCCTCGCAAAGCGGACGACGCGGAGAGCGAAGAAGCTGCAGAGGAGGGAGGAGACGCGGACAGCGTCGTCTCGGGTCCTACTACACCTGCACCACGTCGAGGAAGCAAGCGAGCCAAGAGCGGTAGTGTGGGTGCTGAAGAGTCTTCAAAAGCTCGTATCGAGCGCAAACAAAGTCCTGCGCCTGCCAGACGTAAGAGCTCCAGGTTATCCTTTGCAAACCCGACTCCGAGCAAGTGATGCGAGCGCGTTCTTTCGGCCCCAACTTTTGAGCTGACCGACCCCTCCTCCTGCATCGAGATCTCCCCGTGTATTTCTACTCTAACTCACTCCCAAACCTGGCGAAAATCGCCACATCATTACACAATTGCCAAATCCCAGAATCTACCACCCACAAAAACGAGTGCAAGCTGTGTACACGATCGCGCGGACCTGATGTGGCCCAACATGCTCGAGTCGCTTTGATTTGGCGTACATTCACACAAGTTCTCACTTCCCGGTGAAAAGTCCCTCGTACGCTCCCCATGGCTGCCGCGCTAGCCACACCCTTTCCCAAGACTGGGCAGGCAAGAGCCACAGCGCACCACTCGATGAAGCGCAACTCGCAGCTCTTTTGGGGGAAAGACCAACGCCGCACAAGGCTCCTCTACAATTGCCCGAAGGGGTCTTGTCCGACAAATCATCTCGACTCTGGGCGCAGTAAGCTATGCTCAACGCACTTTCGGGCGTCGTGCGGCATTGGCGAAAATCGCAACTCCACATTGTTCAGCGAAAGTGCGCAAAGCTCTGAAGGCCGAGATGGACGAGAGAGGGTCGAGGGGCGTGAAGGGGGGAAACATGACATGATGCAACGTGTGAAAAGAGTGCGAGATTGCGGGAAATAAGACCATTGTTCGGTGGGTTGACATATCTGGTGGCTAAGTAGAGGACATATCCGTCGGCGAAAGACCGTTTTGGAGACAGATGGGAAGGTGGACGAGACGAGACGAGACGAGATTGACAGCGGAGCGCTGAGTAGCACTGGTCAGAATCTCTCTCTCTCTCTCTCTCTCGTCTATGCATGACCGCAGCACGAGCAAGATCCAGCCACTCTCTGCAGGACTTTTTCTCAAATTCGCCTCGCCAGCTCGCGCTTCCCCGAGAGAGAGTCCCGCATGCGTTGCCAAGCTTCATTCGAGGGCAATTTGGCCCCCTCTTCTCAATAAGCCGGCTCCGCTGGCAAGACAAATAGCAGTAGCAGCTGCGCTGCCAAGCAGCAAAGGCGTGTACGATTTGAGGAGCTCTCCTGCGTTCTTGCAACCTGCGCAAGTCCAGCCAGCTGAGCGTCGAAGGCAATCAAGAAAAAGAGAGTGCGCGCTTCAGCAAATCGTTTCGCGATCATGGGTATCACAACACGTCAACTGTTCTCGTGAACAGCGCGGTGACGGCTATATCTTCTGAGCTCTGCATCCAGCATCAAGTACAGCTTTTCCCGCCTGAGCGAAGTGCCCTGCTCGATGGACCCTTTCCCCCCCGCTTGCTCTTCCTTCTTCTCTCCCTCCCACTCATCAGCGTCAGACTGAATCGGCGTACTTACCAGAAAGAGGCGTATACGCCGCCGGAATGTACAGGGCGAATTGCACCGCCTGGTTAGCGTTGAACACCCCTGCCTGATTGGTGGCAGCGTCCGGGCCCTTTTCGTCAAAGATCTGCAACCTATAAGTAGCCTGAGCCAACTGTGGCAAATTCCTAGCCCCAGCAGATTGTTGATAGTCCCAAGGGCTCCAAACCACCTGCGTAGCAGCACCCGCTATTGTGGCGATCGGTATGGTATTCTTTTGAGCAGTGTTGACTGCTTGGATGGTCAAGGAGCTGGGCGAGTGTCCCGCAACGATGCTCGTAAAGTTCCATCCGAAAGTCACACTGATACCCGAGGCTATCTTGTAATAAGAAGCGTCTGCCGTTTGCACAGGATTCGTGATGGTGATTCCACCAGCTGCTGCGTTTTGAGGAATGGAAGAGAGCGATGAAGTGTTGTTGGTGCCTGTACCTGTTCCACCTTGTGCCGCTTGAGTCGGCTGCGCTTGACCTCCCTGCGCATTGTTGCCATTGTTGTTATTGTTGCCGGTACCCGCATTGGTACCGCCTCCTTGGCCAGCTGCACCTGGATCCACCACTCTCTGGGCATCCACCGCCAACACTGCGCATCCCAACGCCAAGACGAAGGGAATGAGTCTCATGCTGATGAGTGCTGCGCGTCGCGAATCGTCAGGAAGGTTCAAGTGTCCGAGTCCAACAATGAGATCTGGTAGTGGATTTCGCCCGTTTGCGGGACCTCCGAGGCGAGTGCGACAGCCCGCAGATGAGAAGACGGACTCGAGTAGGGAAAGGAGTTGCAGCGACGTCCAAGATGAGAAGTGACGAGCAAGAAAGGGAAGCCTTGGGCAAGGACGAGCAGGATGATGTGAGGGTGCGACGAGTACCGAGGATCAGCGGGCGCGAGCGTAGTGAAATGTAGAGGCCGGCGCTCCGCGGGATGGAAAACACTCGAACGGCACCTTCCGTCGCGCGGTTAGCGAGCGGGCGAGGGAGCGGGACTGGAGGTTCTGTTGGAGCGCAACGGGGGGTAAGGCCAACAGTCCAAAGTCCCTTTTGGCGGGTGGGAAGCGATGGTCGTGAGTGTGCTCGCACGTACGTCCGGATCGCAGAGCGAAATGAGCCACTGGTGTGGAGTTTGCGTGCGGCTGTGTCGAAAGCGATGGCGGCCCGCAAGGGTAAGGAGACGCGCAGGAGGAAAACGAGTCGAGCTGAGAGTCAATGGAGCTGTGCTTGAAAATCAGTGCGGAGATGATGACAATGATGGTGTTGGTGATGCTACAGCAGCTTCTGTCCGTTCACGACGAGTCTTGAGTCCACAATCGTGGATTGCCTACTGAAGAAGGCAGGTCAGGATCAGAGTCTGATGAGTAGATGATGGACGCGGTGGCACAAACACATCGCGCGATGACTTCCAGCACGGTCGATCACAATTCATTCGTCTCAACTTGGCAACCTCGTTGAACGAGATGCTGCTTGATTGCTGCGCGTGGATCAATTTGTGAACCCCCCTGCTGCGAGGGCGCGCGAGCGACAGCATCGCTCGTGTCGTCGGTATGCATGCATGCCAAACGGCGCGCATGACCGACCCCTTCCTGCTGCACACCGCATCTTCTGCTGCATGCTGCCTGCATGCATGCCCTTTTGGGGAGGGCGAAGCGAAGCGCAAAAGGCGATTTGGATGCCAAGCCCGACTCAATAGGACTCAAGACTCTAGGCTTACGATGCAAAATCGTGAATTCCAATCAAGAATCTTGAATCGTGAAAGTTTGAATCAGAATAGCGGCGCCTTGACTCATTAAAATTTTGAGTCGTCCTGAATTTGAAATTTAATATTGACGCTTAAAGTGACCCCTCCCTGATTGATTTCAAACCGGCATTCTCGACGATGGAGGGTTGAGTAATTTAGATTCAAGAGACAAAATGATTTGGAATGCTTCATGCGACCGGTCGGCGGAACTCCGCACGTGCGATTCACAATGATTGCTGGTGCTTGCTTGCTTCGAATCCTTCAAATTCCGAATTCTTGGCTCAAATCATGAGTGTCCGATCACATGAATTTTGATTTGAAATCAGATTCAAGGTCGAGAGCTTCTGCTGAGCGCCAGCAGGGAGCTGAACTTGTATTCTCGTCTTTAAAGATACCAAATCACGGATGACCGATTAGCCAGAGCTTGAAGGTCAGCAGCGGATAGATGTGCAAGCTGCCAGTCACGAGTCGAGAGTTGAGCCACCCTTGAAATTCGAAGGACAGATCAAGACCCAAAGCCCCACCAAAATGACCAACTCTTTGCAACGTCTCTCGACCGTCCCCGAACTCGGTAACAAGTCTGACGAGTCAGAAGAGTCAAAAGTCTCGAGACCAACTCGCGCGAAGGTGGAGCGGTCTACTTGTTGTCTGGTCGCTGTGATCACGTGATCAGATCGCCTGTGCTCACCGCTGCGTTGCGCCTGCGCTCTGCGCTCGAATCAGGCATGATCTTGAGCTCACGCTTGCAATGTGGACACGTAGAGGACTAGAAAGCTTCCATGTGTTCATAGCTGAAGAAGAGAGGAGTCTTCCTTCACCTTCGTGATGAAGCGGAGACGAGAGTCAAGAGTGAGATGGAGATCTTGCAGCTACACCTAGGGTGCCGACCGCGGCGCGATGGCACGCGTTCGCAACGCTAAAATTGCCGCCACGCAGCAGCATCACGCTAGCGCGGCCTTCCAGCACGCGCAGCTGGGATGGATTCGTTCTCCGTGCTGCAGGTTTTGCTCCCCGCGCTCTCACCTCAGCAGCTCGTCGAGCTTGCAGCATGGTCGACTGCATCATCATGCCGCATGACACCCTGCATGGCTGCATGCAAGCAAGCGGCACTTTCCGCCGGCTATAGCTGATGCTCGCCCTCGCTCGCTTCAAGAAGCGAAGCGCCCGAAAAGGGTAGCTAGGTGCATGCAGTCAAAAAGTAAGCCAAGTCACGAGTCACATACAAATTCAAATTGGGAGCATGAATCTCCAATTCAAGATTCTTGGTTCTTGATCTCGGACGCAGATCGCAGCTATTTGATGGGTACGGCAGACCGAATTCACGGAAAGCGTAAAGCGTGAAATGCCGCATAGCGTCATCCTAATCGTAACACCGACGCAGCAAAAGAAGCTTGGATTCACGATTCCCTCGAAGCCTCATGGCGCTATTTGGATTTGGTCCCCCTTCTTCGGCTTCATATCCCATGCGGAGGTTTCACAAAGCATAACCCTCGTCCACGCTCATTGATCCTCCAACCTCATCCCCCATCAAGCTGCGTATTCAACACCTAGAACCGTCCTTCATAAGATCGAGCCTGCTCCCCCTCGTACTTCCGCTTCCTTATCATCCTACGCAACTCTTCTGCGGAAACAGGACGCCCTCCACTCGTGCACATCCCGCAGCATCTCAGTCAAGTACCCTGCTTTTCTTGCCTACCCTCATCAGCTCTCATCGATCAACATTCTTGCCGACCAGCGTTCCATCTCCACACTTTGCACAGAGAAAAAGTCAGGCTCGCAGTGACGTTGCGCAGGCTGGTCACCTTGGATCATCATGGTGGAGAAATGTCCGGCGGACAACACCCAGAGCGTAGAGCAGGATAACTTCTGGACCGATGTCAGGTCTGGAAATTTGTGAGTCGCTAGCCGAGGGACGATGGTGCGCATCTTGAAAGGAAAGCCAAGCTTGTCCAAAGACGCTCGCTCCACTGATGAGAGCAGACATGCGGGCATGTAGAGCAGAAGTGCAGGCTGCAAAAAGAATCTGATCGCTAATCCAAGCGCGCCCTCCCCCTCCCCTGCCCCCACCGGATACGGATGCGATGCTGTTGTGACGATACTCACACTAGAGATGCGCATCACATTGGGTGGATCATCTGCGGCGCAGCAGCAGTCGTCACAGTGCTCTTATCCTTCATCACCATTTTAGGCCATGCTCGCAACTACAATCGACCTCTGGAGCAAAGGCAAATCATTCGAGTGCTACTGTTAGCTCCAGTCTACGCCATCGTCAGCTTCTTCAGCTACCGCTTCTTCAGATCCTACACCTACTTTTCGCTTGCGGAAACTGCTTACGAAGCGTTTGCCATCGCTGCTTTCTTGATACTCATGCTTCAGTACATCGGTGACTCCGTCGAGGACCAGAGAGCAGTATTCATGGAAAAGGACAAGAAACCTTTGCCGTTCCCATTTTGTGAGTGCTGCTGAAGCTTCTTGCTACTTTACTTTGCATGTATGCGCGTCAGCTGACCATGGTGCTGCCTTTGCTCGACGTTCGTGGCAGGCTGCTGGCGCTTCCGGCCTGCCAAGCCATACTTTTTGGTCGTCATCAAGTTCAGCGTCGTGCAATACGTTGTCATCAGTCCTGCCCTGACCATCGCGGGCATCGTGTTGGAGTACTACGAGCTGCTTTGCGAGTCGTCTCTGAGCTACAAATATGGGCACGTGTATATTTTAGGAGTCGACTTTGTCTCCATTTCTGTCGCTCTGTATGGTCTCATTGTGCTCTACGCGCTCATCAAGAAGGATTTGGAGGGCAAAAAGCCGCTAGCCAAGTTCATGACTATCAAGATGGCCATCTTTTTCATCTTCTACCAGACATTTGTCTTCGACCTGCTCCAAGATCGAGGAGTCATCAAAGCGACACAGTATTGGACGGCTACGAACGTTTCTGATGGACTCAATGCGCTTTGTATCACCCTCGAGATGGTCATCATTGCTGCATTTCAGATGTGGGCTTTCAATTGGAAGGAATACCACTTGGACCGCATCGCCGATCGGAGACAGGCTTTCCGCGGCAATGCGCTCAGCAAGAAGGGCAAGACGCCGGTGTTCAGAAGTCTTCTCCATGCGCTCAATTTCGCCGATTTTTTCGTGGAGCTCTGGCACTCGATTCGCTTTGCCATCGATCGGATGCGCGGTAAAGACTATACGCGCTCGGACAAGACCGTGGGCAAATTCGACATTGTGGGTCGATTCCACGGAGATGGCGACGAGACTGCCAGTAAGATGGGCGATTTGAACGAGATGACGCAGCGGACGGGAACTTCGGCACAGATTGCGTCCACGAATGGTACCTCCTTCGATACAGACCCTCAAGCTGGGCATCCTTATAGCTATCATAAAGCGTACGGAAGTGTTGGATCGGGCCAATCGGACCATCCTTACAGCGCAGGGAACAGGATGAGAAGACCTAGTCATGACCCGTCGCCCTTGGGGCCGGTAGTGCGAGGGGGCGGGCAACCGGACTTGCACATCGCGACCGGACAGATGGGACATGAAGGTGCCGGTCGAGCGGACGAGGGGTTATTGTCCGCCGGCGCGCTTCCAGCGGGAAGTTCCCTACCTCGCCCCACAACACCTCGCTCACCGCGAGAAAGCACTGGAAGGTATCCTTCCTTCCTGTTCAGCTCCACCAATCCTGCTGATGGCACCCTCACTCCTCCGAGAGCGATCACCCCAGATGGCAGGCGAGCACCGTCTTTCGAGATGGCCACACCTCCGCCCCAGCCTTTACCACCCCAACCTACGCCCAGCACATGGCAAAAGGGGGGAGCGTATCGCGTAGCTGGCTTCCCTCGAGCTTCATTCATCGAAGCGGAAGCGGACACGACTCCTCAGCCGATGTGGTTCCACTCTTCAAGTGCTGCGCCGCAAGATCGCACGCTAGATTCCTCTTCGGGCGGACACTCTGTTTCCTATGGACCTGCCGCACAAGCCGCATATGCTCAACCGGCCCCCACGGCCACACGGCAAGCGCCCCATCACTATTCTCAGCATCACGCAGCAGTGGCTCAGGCATTGGGCCCACAAACAAGCGCTGCACTCGGCCCTCCGCAATATCCCTCCTCCCAGTATGAGCGTCACGCTGCATCTCTTGCTCCACCTGCGCCTGCGGCGGCGAGCAATGTCGCCAATGAGTCGTACATTGACAATACAGAAGGTAGTCCGGAAGGCCTCAACAGGCCTTTGTCACATCACGACGACAGGCCTAGGAGCTGGGAACCTCAAGCTTTCTAACGGTCCGCCGACATACCCATTGCCCCTCTTGCGCTAGCACCCTCTTCGCGCTCGCTCCCACTGCCCCCCCGTCGTTCTCCGACGAAGCAGACTGGTCGAGCAAGCCTCTTGAAGCAGTGCTTTATTTTGCCTTGCTTGTTCTGACGTGTTCTCATCCACTTGTAACATAGTCTCTCTGGCTCGCCCTTCATCTAAACGCGTCTCTCTCTCGCATCTAATCCCCCACGCACACACACACTCTCTCTCTCTTTCTTGATAGATTCGTTGCCGCGTAGCCTAGCCTAGCCCTGCCTGCTTGCAAAATCTCATCCCCTCGTCTAAGCACATCCAGATTTCTCTGATTTCCATTCGTCCGCAATCGTCCTTCCCCCCCCCCCCCCCCCCCCCCCCCCCCCCCCCCCCCCCCCCCAAGCATCGCGAAAGTCACAGCACGCAAATGACGAATCGCGAGTGGGAGGTAGCGCATAACATATTCGCGTGGGGGGTAGTGCAGGAACGATGATACACTCTTCATCATTACCCCTTTCCCAATGATGCGTGCTTTTTTTGGGGGGGAGGGGGGTGGCCAGAGATGCTGGCTTGCATTTGGTTGCGTCTCTCAACGATCTCCCTCCATTCGATGCCTCTTTCTGTCCCTGTCATAGTCTCCTCCGCCCGGTGGACTGCGTCCGTCGTCTCTTGACGCTCCGCCCATTTGCATCGGTGGAGCCGCTCCAGGGAAGAAATGTGGATTCTGCCCATGACAAACAAGGGGACCGATCGGGGTTAGCAAACTTCTGGAGCGCTCCGAAACCGAACTGCAGTGCGATGCTTTTGGCTGAGGGGCGGCATGTCTGAAGACTGCTACCTTTGCCCTTCAGAAAATGCCCGTTTGACGCGTACAAATACTCACGAAGTGACCACCACCTCCACCACCTGCATGACCTCCTCTTCCTCCTCCTCCTCCTCCTCTGTATCCACCCCTTCCACCACGGTTCCCATTTCCCATGTGTCCTCCCATTCCCTGTCCAAATCCGCCCATAGGAAAGGGCATGTTCATCTGATTTGGCGCGCCAAAGGCCCCAGCTCCGGGTCGTGGAGGATTAGCACCATTTGGCCCGGCGGACATGCCCATCATACCCATCATGGCCGGATTGAACATCGGCATAGAGCTGCCTGGTCCGCCCATTCGAATCGGAGGAGCCATTTGGGGTGGTTGAGGTAGAGGACCTGCTCCTGCGCCGCCCATACCATTCCGATCCCTTCCGCCTCTTGAGCCATCGCTGTTGCCTCCGCCTCTTCCTCCTCTCATCCCTCCTCCTGGGCCCCCTCTTTGCTCTCGTGCGGGCGGATCTGCAGAACATGACGAGGTCAGGGGAGGTCAAAGAGAATCCTTGGCAGCCTGTGTGCACACTCGCTCCACTCACCCTTGGGCAGCGTACGGAATGGATTGCCATGCGCGCTTGTGCTCATTGTGATCAAGGCGCGCTTGAAGTTGAAATCGCTGTTTGGGGACGAAGGCGTCAGCCCATCTCGTGCTCGCAGCCACAACGAGCTTAGTGCATCTCACTTTTCCTCAAACCACGTCTTCAACCTCCGAGCTTCTTCTTCCGAGGAGAATTCCACCCAAGCGACGCTACAGTGGGAGATGCAATGAAGATGCGCAGCAATCTTAGTCGAGAACTCCATGCCCGCGCAGCCTGATGCGTCACCCACCCTTTGGATTTGCCATTGACTTTGTGTTCAGAGAAAGATACGTCGGAGAGGGATGTGTCGAGGCCAACATTCTGAGCCACCTGCCTTATATCCTCATCGCTGACCCACTGCAGCCATCGCAAATGTCCCGAGTGACACATTGCGCGTAGTTCAGCCACAAGGCTCGTGGGCGCTGGTCAGGCCAGCCAAACAAATACGGCCAACTCACCCAGTCGAGCTCTCCAATATACAGAGCGTTTTGTATGCTCGGATCCGTCACTTTGGGCCTGCCGGCCAGGCCCGAACGTCCGGGAGGAAGCGGTAGAGCAGCGCTTGCTCCACTACCGGAGCCGGAATTCGAAGCTGAAGTCGATGCTCCATCTTGGTGCAGACCAGAGTACCGGCCGTCTTTCCGATCCACCTGTGATGCGGCGACACGGCACACAACTTAGCTTCAGGCCGACCAGAAGCGAGCTCGCTAAATTCTTCCCTAGCATACACTCACGTCTTCTTCTATATCATCTCTGCTCCTCTTCACCGCGTTGGCGGAAGCATTCCTAGGGTCAATTCCAGTCTCAGGATTGATTTGAGGCGGAGGTATGAAAGAAGAAGAGCCGCCGGCTGACGGGCCTGCCCCATTGGATCGCAAAGCTGCTTTATCATCTACTTGGGAATCCTGCTCCTCTTCCTTGTACCCAATGAGGTCCTCTTCATCCTCTGCACCCTCTTGACTCTTGACCGGCGCATACAGATCTTGCTCCTGAATGTATGTCAGAACATATGCAAGGTGGGTTAGCAATCATGCAAATCGTCAGTTGACTGCTCTCTTGTCCATCTTGACCAACCCTACTGGTCCACTGCAGCCCTTACGATCCGACGCCGTCTAGCATCGTATCGTAGCACACATACGGAACCTTCGAAACTCACGCCGTACAGATCGAAGTTATCGTCGTCCATTTTTTCAAGTCTTCTCGGCTTAGCTTACAGATTGATTGATCGATTGGCGTGGAGCAGGGGGTGGGAAGAGACTGCCGACGTATTCGGCAATGCAGGAAGCTAGATGGAGCGGAGCTGAAATCAGACCCCACAGCACGGGAGCCTGGGGGCGAGGGCGAGAAGGGCGGAAGTGCGTGCCCAAGAACGAGGTGTGCAATGCGGTTGTGCTTGCTTGCCTGCTTGCTTGCTGGAGTGAGTCCTTGGGAAGAGCCAGTTTGATAGAGCGAGCAAGGTTGGTATTCAATGCCAAGGCAGGTGCGTCCAAGGTGAGGAGCCCGTGGTGCAGAGTAGGATGCTGCGGCTGATGACAGAACAAAGATGAGAAGCGATCGCCGCTGCACTCGAAACAATGTCCGTGTCTGTGATTTGTCCTTGATCTTGACAGCTGCAGCCATGCCATCCACTCATCAGCCGTTCGGTCGCTTCGGAGACACGCGCAGCCTTCGCGCTCGGCCAGCTGCCGTGCGAACATGGACATCACGTGTGAGATCCACTCGCGCGGGCGCTTTGGCTGTACTGTATGTCCACTCAAGACTCAAACTCACGACTCGCGACACTCATCACGCATCATCTTGAACACAACCACACCAAGACTCAAGACTGCGCACACTCGTGACTCTTGGCTTCATCAAGACGCTCATCTGCAATCAAAACGCAATGCTCCGAAGCAACCGACTTTCGCGTCTCACGCACAAATCTGAGCTGGACCAGATGAATGTCAAGTGTGCATTCATGAGTGATCTCTCGAGATTTCGGGAGCAAGAAAGGCGAGCATTGACGACGCCGTTCCCAAAGTGGGCTCCGTGTCGGTTCGATCTCAAGATTCCGGATCGCAGCACTATGAGATACTACGAGTGTTGAAGGTGGATGTCCAAGTGGCAAAGGGTAGGAGGAGGTGCTGTGGGATGAAGCGCGATGTAGCATAGTACTGTTCGAACGCACGTGGAGAGCAAGGTAGCCCGCATGTTGAAAGACGTTTTAGTGGAACACATCGCAGAGTGCACCTCGTTGGAGGAGGATGGACACTTGGACATTCATCCAGCACACAATTTATGCCTCATCAGGTGTAAACTCCCGACGTAAACGTTCTCCTCTCCGAGTGATGGACCCGCAAAACGTTCCAGATCCCTGCGGTGAATGATGTCAAGACAACACATCAGCTCGACATCGGCACGACTCCTCGAATCCGTGACGCAGCGCAATGTTGCAAAGGGATCCAACACGCAAAGGCTCACCTTTGCGTTCCAGCAGCAATCAGAGTCGTGCGTGACTGGAGGACAACAACCCCTTCCATTCTTGTCGTACGGTGCCAAAGCGGTGATGTCCTGGCATTCCGCCGATTTCCCACTGGTCTTGTTGTTCGAAATTCTGGTTTGGACAATTGTGCCAGTGCTCCTGGCAGTCTTTCCCAAGGCCGATGACGTAGGAACGCTTTGCTCTTTGAGCTTGGCATTCACACGGACATCGGACGCCCAGTCGGGGTTGGAAGCTTTCACGTCTGCCAATTGAAGCTTGAACGTGCGCAGCAGGTCGCCAAGCTGGACCGCTTCCACTTGCTGCATCGTCGTAGCATCGGAGCTGGACGAAGACATCTCTTGAATAGGTTGAGCGATGCATGAGCCAATGTACACTGCTAGCAGGGCGAGAGAGAGCAGGAAACGCGCCCAAATGCAATGGATTGGTCGCGAGGAAGGCCGAGATGGACTGCTGGCGGGACTGCGGGATTGTACAAGCTTGCCGCCTCGACTCGCGACGGGCGTCACGGATAGTTTGCCTAGATCTGCCAGACGAAGTGATCGGTTCATCTTGCTGTTAATGCCGCACGGGTGGTTTCGGCAGGCAGAGAAAAGGGGAGGCTCAAATCGTGCAATCTTGTTGTTTTTGGCGAGGTGGGAAGACGCGAAGGAGCGATGAGAGGAAAGAAGAGAAAGTAGGATGGGGAGTCGTCGGGATGGGGGTCGTCGGGATGAGTGAAAGAGTTGAAGAGGCTGTAGACGGCGGAAAGCAGCAAGAGGGAGTGCGAATGGTGAATGAGGCGAGAAAGGCAGGGGTGGCGGGGGCAAGCCAGGGAGGCTGTAGAAGAACAGAGAGGGACAGTGGCATGTTTGATAGATTATATATGTATCCACAAGCTCAAAGAGTAGTTCGACTCGACAAGCATGTGCTCCTGCTCTTGGACGGCGCAACTCCCACTCCAGTCATCCTTGTCGCTGCTTGCTTGCACCTCTGATGATGAGACTCTTGATTTGAAGCTCCCTCTCACGACTCTGCGACTAGATGGGTGTATGCGCGGATTGTCAATCGCAAACAAGGAGAGCGATGTCCGATCTCGTACGGCATGCAGATCAAGAAGGCACACAATCGGGTCCATGCACTCGACAGCTCGCACTCGAGGCTGACCCGCTCTGTCGGGGCACAGCTAGTGCATTCTAGCGCGGCGGGCGAGCATTGGAAAGCAATCAGCCGCGCCGAAGCTGTAGCTCTCGGTCATGAATGTTGCACATATGCCGACGTAGTAGTAGTGAAACGGGCAGAATGGCCAATGGCTACATAGCAGGACAGTGCGCGCCCAATTCCCTACGACTTCTGATGTCAGACCGAACAAGCGGACCCCAACTGACCCTGACCAAAAGTGTACGCTTACGGTCTGCAGCTGGGCCCCAGCACTGTGTAGAAGTCGAACGGGCGCTCTCCAAATCAAGGTTGAAACGAGATCAGGTTCTTGTCCTTGTTTGGTAGTCTGACGCTCATGTCTGTCTCAAAGGGGCAGCGATCTTGTGAGCAGCTGCGAATCAGATGCGATTGCACATTGTCCGTCGCATATTTCCGATTGTACGCGCTGAGCAGAGGACAAAAGGAATGGGACGACGAGCAACGGAGCGCGGAGTGGCAGGAGACCTCACACTGCTCATGCACAGATATACGGCGCACGCGTCTATTATAGCCAGTCCTTCGCGGCAGATCTTGACCTCAAGCTCTTCATCAGCCGATCGTTCAAGCCTCGTCGCGCTTCAGCTCTCACAACGCTCCAGATCTCGCGTCATCAGGAAGCGCACACACCGTCCTCTTCGTCCAAAGTGTCAAACAAAAAAAACAGCTGTAGGGCACCGCGCGCGGCGATGCCTAATCCTTCGTGGGGGTTTTTCCCCATGCGACTCGCACTCGCTAACAAGCTGCCCTCCTTTGTTCCTGCAGCATGCGCAGCATTCAACGAACGTACAGTCACGAGTACTGTATGACCTCGTGCCGATCGAGCAGCTGATCCACACGTGCCTTGCCATACATTCTGATTCATTCGCCCAGATCGACTCGTGACTCGTGACCCTTTGCTCTGCAGCATCTCATCTCCTCTTCACGGGCCCGAATGACAGAATCCTCACGCTTTCCACTCGGTAACTATCGATCCAAGCTTTTGTAGCGCATATGCTGCAGCGCTATCGCTGTTCCTTTGGTTGCAATGAAGGGCAACTCGGTCGTCCGCATGCACCACCGATCATCTCGCGCAGCCAAACACCCCCCCC